GGAATGTCACGGGCTGATTTTCTGGTACTTTTTAAGTGTTCTCTCGGGTAATGGGGCTTGGGTTGGAACTGTTCGTAACGGGAATTGGAGCTGAGACCTGGCAGCGGGGCTCCTGGGAGGGTGAGTTCTGGGGAGCAGTAGTTGGCGCTCTTTGTTGCTTTGTCTCTGGATAATTTTTCTTATGTTCCTTTTTTCTGTTTGTATCCACTTCCTCCTATTCCAGCCTCCTCTTCTTCTCTACCCAAATATCTGTTTCCTCCTCTCATGGTTCATCTCCCAATCTCTTTCTATGGTTTGACTGCCCATAAAGAATTGAATGGGCAGGGGGCTGTATTTATGTTTATTTTTGAAGTTACCAACATTACTAGATAGAGGTTTTGCTCTCCCTTTGAAACTCAACACCTCCTGGGTTTGGCGTTTAGCATTTGTTGCTTGTACGACAAAATGCATTCCTATGGTTATCGACTGATTCTTAACCAGCTTTACTGCCCCCTCCCCCTCCCCAAGATGGGAGACCTATAAAAGCGCTCACTGGGACCTGGACTGCTTTGCAGCGGACCCCTGGTGAGTTGGGAGCCCAGAGAATGAGAATGCCAATGCCAATGCTTGTGGGCAAGGCTGCCATGAGGGACCGGGCCCAGCTGTGCTGATCTCCGCTGACCAGCTTCCTGATCGTGCCTGGGAGTGTTAGACAGAAGCACAACAAGACAGGGCGGCTTCTGTTAGAGGGAGCTGCTGTGCGGAGAGAAATGGTCAAATGGAAAATTAGTTTTTCTTTCCCAGTAATTGTTTTGACATGAGTAGTAATTAGCCAACAGATGACAGGCCAGAACTGAAGTGGGAAACGTGACTGGGTTAGCTGGGGCAGAGTGTCTCTCTGCACAACACGGTTCCTGGCTGTGCCCAGAGCGTCAAGCCCGGCGGGAACCAGGGACTGGAGAGGGCAGTCCAGCTAGGGTGCACTTTGAGGTCCTGGGAAGCGGGTAAATAGGGCTGCGAAGGTCAGCCTGGCTCTCAGGGAGCCGGGAAACCACCCTGGTTTCCTGGATGCGGTGGCATCAAAGACAGTCACCTTCCCTGCTCTGGTAAAGCTGTGTGCGCTTCGCTTTCCTCACCAGACCGACTGTGGCTCGCTTTTTTGTGGTGCGTGTTTGATTTGGGTAATTTGGGGTCATTTGGCTTTGTGTGTAAACCGGGAAACCTGGCACGTGCGTCTACACTGCGGTACCGTCTGTGCCTGGGCATTCGCTTCAACACACTTGTATGAATTTGCCTGGAACACTCTCTGGGCGCAGTGTCTTATGCAGAGAGTAATTTTTCAAAGGTTTTACTCTTTTTTGGGGCATTTCTTGTGTTCTTTGAAGTCATTGTGGTAATTTGAATCTTATGGAAGGTTGGTTTTTATTAGCATAGAATTAGAAATTATATGCTCATGTATGCACAACACTAACAAAAGATCTGTACTTATTGTACTCATGTGTGCCTTCTAATCCCTAAATCTGACTATCTGTGCTCACTTTCAGATTAGGCTGGCTCTTCTTTCTTTATTACTGTGATTCCTACTGGTGGGCATCTGTCTCTCTCTCTCTCTCTCTCTCTCTCTCTCTCTCTCTCTCTCTCTCTCTCTCACACACACACACACACACACACACACACACACACACCCAGCTCTGGGTGTAGTGCTTTCTTGTGTACTAATTCATACATTTCCTTTTTTTCTTCCTTTTTGGTACCGGGGATCGAACTCATGACCACATACTTGCAAGGCAGGCAGGCGCTTATGCCGCTGAGCTAAATCCCTGGCCCCTAACTCATACATTTCTGTCGATATTTCATTCTCTATTTTTCTTTGGTTTATTTCATCAGCCTTTACGTTTTTTTCCCCTAAGGTCTTAAACTGAATATTTAGTCCATTTATTTTTGTTCTTTTGGGTTTGGTAATGAAATAATGAAAGTTATGTATTCTCCTCCAAGATAATTTGGACTTTATTTCCATTTTTTTTGTATGCTCTTCGTTAGTATTTTCCCGGTGCATTGTCTTCTGTGAAATTTCCAGATGTTTAAGGAGTTTGGATATTGGGGACTTTGTGAATTTATTTATTTTTCTCATGATTCACATCCACTTTTAATTTTTTTTTTTTAAATCTCTCTCTCTTTTTTTTTTTTTTTTTGTCTTTTTCCTTTTTATCGGTACCGGGGATCGAACTCATGACTGCCTGCTTGCAAGGCAGGCGCTTATGCCGCTGAGCTAAATCCCCAGCCTCCGCACTTTATTGTTTTTTAGTCAAAGAATGTGGCCCATATTACTTTTCTCTTTTGCCATTTATTGATGACTTTTTGGTGACTAAAAGGTAGCCAGCTTTTTCAATGTTCTATGGCTTGTTAAAAAAAAAAAAGTGCTATTTGTGTTTATAGACCTATTGTGTTCAATAGACCTATTTCAATCAGCTTTTAAAATTAGACTGTTGAGATCTCCTTTGTGCCTTACACTGCATTTTCATCAGCCCCAGACTGAAGCAGACTAAACTTTCTAGCGTCTGGGTTTTGTTCACTGCAGTGCCGTATTGTTTGATAAGTAACATCTTGTCTGATGCCTCCCCTGCAGCTTCCTGCCAGTCTGCATGTACCTCCTCATCCCCTCAGCATCCTTCCTGATTTTGTCGCCCACCTTCCTTTTATGGTCCTGAGATTGACCCCAGGGCCTTGATGTGTGCTGTGCAAGTGCTTTACCCTGGAACTGCATCACGAACTCTTTAAAACAAGGCCACACAAGTTACTGTGGGTCTTCCCACTGTGGATCGTCCTGCATCAGCCCCCTGAGTAGCTGGAATTATCAGCCTGGCCTCACTTTCCCAGCTGCTTTTTGTTTTGGGGTTGCATGCTCCTGAGGGGTACGGGTGTGGATCTACCCACACAAGCTTAACTTGTTATTTCTTTTGGCTTCTGTGAGCCACTGCACCAGGCACTCATTTTATACCACTTTTGCCTTTCTTGGTGTGTGCTCCTGCCCTCCTTGGGAAGGATGGGGCAGACCTGCAGAGCCGAGAGAAGCTAACTGCCTGCAGGCGGTCTGCCGGGCGACTCTGCTTGTACACAGCCTGGGTTCCTGTGCTGTGTGTGGTACAGCGTGCAGTCCACCCCACATGTAAAAGGCTCCCCTTGCGATGGTCTTCACCACCCCTGTGTGCTCCTTGCATCCAGCCTCTGCTCCTTCATAGGGGAGGCTGTGTGTCCCTTATCCAAAATGCTTAGGACCAGAAATAGTCCTGCCTTGGAACTTTTTCAGATTTTAGAAGACTTGCATGCACATAACAAGCTATTTGAGGAATCACACCCAAGTCTAAACATGAAATTTATTCATATTTCACACATACAGTCTGCACATAACCTAAAGATAATTTTACATAATATGTTCAATAATCGTGTGCATGAGAGAGTTTGGGATGTGGAATTTTCCATTTGTGATGACAACCCTCAAAATATTTAGACTTGGGAGCATTTCAGAGTTTTGGATTAGGATGCTCAACCTATGGTAGATGTCAGGGACTTATGGCTCTTTTCTACTTGAAGGCTCAGGAGGTGGACTGCCTTCAGTCCATGTACCTTCCTCCAGCCCACCCTGGACTCAGTGTATATGTTTTCAGTTCTCCCAGTCCTGGGATTTGAGAACGACTTGCTTTCCTGGTCTCCAGAGATTGTGCAAGCTCGTGGTACCCAGGGACTGAATTTAAGGACAAAAGCAGCAGCCTTCTCCTTCAGCCCCGCCCCTTTCTGCTTTATTAATGAGTACCGCATGGCACACAGAGCCCTGTTGCAATTCCTGGCTCCCTGGACTGTCATGTCAGCAAAGCAGGTTTGAGAACAGTATATGCCCATTAGACAGGTACATGACCTGAGGCTCGTTGGGGAGAAATGGCTTCCGTAGGCTCAGGTAGCTGTATCTGGGTGGGAGCTACACTACAGGGACTGGGTCCATGGGCCTTGGCGGGAACTTTTGATGTCAGGAGCACAGAGGTGTGTTGGACTCGAAGTTGGCCATGGTGCAAGCTGGTTACGCCACAGAGGTTAGAAGATGCTACAAATCAGTGTGTCCCACACACACAACCCTAGAGTACATTTATTGGTGCATTAGAAGTGTGAGAGCCTGTCCCCAACATGCATGCATTATTAAGATTGTAATGCTAGGGCCCTCAAATATTTCCTTTTAATTTTACTAATACTGAGACTGCAGAAGGGCCGTACACGATCGCCCAGGTAGTAATTGGCTGAGCTGCATTTGGTGCAGTCAATAGACCTGGTCCTCTTGCTCTTATACAAATTGAAAGTCCAAACTCTGAAATTTTTTAAACAGAGCTATGCTGTCCTAAAGGTTATGATTTTTTTTAACTTTTTATTGGTACCAGGGATTGAACTCACGACTGCCTGCTTGCAAGGCAGGTGCTGATGCCACTGAGCTAAATCCCCAGCCTAAAGGTTATGATTTTGAAGCATTTCAGATTTTAGATTTCTGGATTAAGGATGTTTGACCCATGCCAAGTCTGTGCAAATATTCCAAACTCCAGAGACGTCCTAAACGTGGATCACTTCTGGCCCCCAGCATCTTGGATAAGGGATATTCAACCTGAGGGAGACGTTTCAGGGGATAATAGGAAAGGGGCGGAGGGCCCACCTGACACAGGAGAGCGATGGGACACTTGACTGGCACCTGAGACTCAGCTGATTTCTGGCCGCAGAAACTGGACTCTGCTGACCTTACTTCCCATTAAACACATTCCTGACAAGAAACTCAGTCACCTGAGAGTCCAGTAATCTGAGTGCTGGGGATTACAGAGATGCTTTTAACCCATTTCCAGCTCTGAAAAGTTCCTGAGATGGACCTAGCTACACGTGACTCCTCCCAGAACCCGGGGAGGAGGTGGGAGAAGGGGCTACAGTTGCCCAAGTCGAGGGTGCCTGTCTGTGGCCCACACAGCATCTGAGCCGTGTCTCTGTCCCCGCAGTGAATGGATACCACGCATCAGGGACCCCAGCGCACCCTCCAGAGACTGCCCACATGAGTCTCCGAAAACCCACCGGTGATTCCCAGGTAAGGTGTCCCTTTAAGGGAAGTAGGGCTGGCTGCTTAGGCAGCGCCAGGAAGGGTTCACTAAAGACGGGCACATTGTGAGACTCTAGCTGACCAGAGCCCCATTCTGCTCCAAGCAGAAAGTGAGTGGCCCATTGAGGTTGTTCTTTGTTTCCTGATGGGGAGACTTGGATGATTATAGTCTTAGTTTCCTAGAAACCAAGGGTGGTTTGCAGGAGGGTCTGTGGACATTAGTTGTCACCGTTGGGCCAGAAGAGTCTAATATATAGTCTACATTCCTGATACAGCATCTAGGTTTTTAGGTTATGGATGGCCCATTTCCTTGTCCTTTTCTGTCCTCTGCTCCTCTCATTCTGACTTTGTCTACATGGAGTTTAGTAAAATGTGGTCATCTCATCTGCTAAGCTTACAGAGCAGCTATGGATTAGAAAGAACCGAGAGTACATTTTAAGATTCCCAACTTTTCTTATTCACCAACTCTTTAGACACTTACACAAGGGCACAAGGTGGGTGTCAGGACATTTCCCATGCTGTGTATGAGACTGCAGGAGCACAGAATGCTTGTGCAAGTAGCTTGTGCAAGCCCACACAGTGACTGGGGAATCAGAGTGAGCCTGACAGCATGTCCTGGGCTCTCCCAGGCACATTAAGCTGCATCTAAAGGACCAGGACTGGGCTTACAGTCTGCTCATGAATTATCAAGAAGGGGTTCTTAATCAAGCTTCTAAAATGCAGAGATCTTTTTCTAGAATGGAACTGTTGACCCAGAAGTGATGATGATGATGATGATGATGATGATTAGCAGTAATGATACCTGGTGATGGTCATAACAGTCATATTGCTGGTGGAGGGAAGCAGTAGCTACCTTGGTGTGGTCTCCTTGTGTCACTCTCTGGAGTGAAGACCTGTGCTCTGTTAGTACCATTTCTAACGTGTGGCACTCAGCTTCACTTCAGGTGAGAATGTTAGTTTTTGACAACTAAGTTGTTCCCTGAAGAATCTAAGCATTGGCTGGGACCAGGTTCAGTTCAGTTAACTCTGGTAAAGAATTTGAACAACAGTGGAGGTCAGAGTTCTTAACATCTGCTGGACTTCTGAGTCTCCTGAGCTCTTGTTAAAATCCGCTGTTTTATCCAGGAGGCTGCAGATGGGCCATGTATTTCCAGCCAATATCCAGGTGCCGCTGGTGCTGCTGATGCTGCTGGCCTGGAGATCAAGCTTGAGTAGGAGGGACCTAGGCTCTGACAGTAACACACAGGGATGTGTCTGTCCCCTCACTCCTCTGCCAAGCCACCCATCTCAAATCAACCCCAGCTTTGTGTGTTTCCTGCCAAGTCCCCAAATAGCCTGCTCAGCACAGCCCCTGTCACTCTATCGGAAGGGATCTCACTTGTCATCTGATTTGAGTGTCTCTGGAGACATCAGCCTGGGTTCTGCTGTGGTTTGTGAACGACAAAGAGCGCTAGTGCCAGATTAAGCATCGTGGGGAAGAATATTAGAAACCACTCTCCCGTCTCCCTTCCCCAATACCACATGACTCCTGCTGCCTCCACAGTAGTAGGAAATTGTTATTTAACCATTTAAAAGATGTTTACTGGAATAACCAGCTTACAATGTAGAAGCTGACTCAATAGAGTGTACCACAAGGCTCTAACACGGGAATTTCTCTGCCAGCATCTGTTCTTGGAATATATTCAGGGACTCTGATTTATGTATAAGGCTTTCACTCAAGCATTATTTATAGCACTGTATCAGTGAACCCAACCTAATTGCCCAGCAACAAGGAATGAAAAAATGGGTTATGGCCCTAGACAGCCAGCCAGCCAGCCAGTGATATTATACAATCATTAAAAAGCATTCTTCCACAGAAAATGTAATGATCGGAGAGTTCTCACACCTTAATGTTGAGTAGGACAAGCAGAACACAAACTACACGTACATCTAGAGACGTTTTGGGTGTCACAACCGTGGAGGGTGGATGCAGGGATGCTGCTCACCATCCTGCAATGCACAGGCAGCTCGTCACAACAAGAATTATCTAGTTTGAAAACAGGGATTATGCTGAGGTGGCTAAATCTTGCTCAGACAGCAGGAGTAGTTTGTATTTTCTTTACATGTTTTATCATTTTTCATATTTCCTAAAATGAACACATTACATATTTTTTTTTGGTGGTATTTGGGATGAAACCCATGGCTTCAATGTGCTAGACAAGCACTCCCCTGTTGGGTTATACTTAACAACTATTTTTTGTTTTGATACCAGGAATTAAACTCACAACTTTGCACTTTGCCAGACAGGCGCTGTGCCACTGAGCTATATCTTTGGCCTCCTATTTTTATTTTTGAGACAGGGTTTTGTTAAGTTGTCCAGGCTGGCTTCAAACTTGTAATCCTCCTGCCACAGTCTACCAAAAAGCTGACTTTTTAATCCTACTTTGTGAACCTACAAAACTGGTGATCCAGAGAGGGCACTAAAACCTCAACACATGCACATATGTTAAGGTTTGTGTTCCCATAAAGGATCCCTAAGTGTGCTCTCTTTAGCATGCAGGCTGATTTGCTCGTATCTCCCAGGCTGTCCATCATAACTCATGATGATTGCTCTTAATAATAATTGAAACACAGATGGATGAAGATGCAGGTGAACATACACTATGTGAGATATGGCGGGGTTTGCAGTAAGGTGGTGTGCTCAAGGTTACAGTGACAGAGACCAGAATGACAAGCCTCATATCCCAAAAGTCTTGTGTTCTTTTTGTTCAACCTGTTGGTTGCCTCCCTTGAGCAGGCCAGAAAGGAAGATTTGAATGTTGGAAGGGCAGGAAGAAAATACCAAATTGTTTTGGAAGTCAGGAGTTCTCACTGAACTCTGTTGTGGGCAGGACTGACGGCAGGTACTCAGTAGGTCCTCAAGGTCCTGTTCCCGCCTTCTTTAAGCCTAGGGAGACCTGAACAGGTATGCACAGGTGAGGCCAGTGACGTAGCACCATGCGTTGGAGGGCTTCAGTATTGGGGACCAAGGGTTGACTGCTGTGTGGGCTCTGGATAAAAGGGGCCCTCCTGACTAGGAGAAGGATTGAAGGAAGAAAGTCTTACCAAACTCTATAGAAGCAAGTCCTAGTTTTCTTCTTTCTTACACACTAATGTCCAGGCTCTTTTGTGATCTGTCTTTCTGTTATTCTGGTTTCACGTGATCTTTTCTGGGAAAACACAGGAGGGAGGAAAAAGAATAGGACTCAAGGTTTAGAGACTTAAGGGACTCATTAAAGACAGAGTTGAGAATGGAGAAAGAGGAACATGTTGAATCTCTGCTCCTGCTCCCTTAATTCAGTGTTCCACTGAGCATTTGTATCTTTACAGACATAGAGACACATGAGGATACAGCCCCTGCCTTGGTGAAGTTTGTAGCTGGTCTAGAACAGAATTAGATAAAAGATTGCATAAATTGAGCGGTAATAAGGGATGTGTGCTCTATGGGGACCTGGTCTGGTGGCCATGGCGATATCAGGAACGGGCCCTCTAAGGAGAAGATATTTTGTTGAAGACTGGAAAGGATGAGCAAGGATTTAGCTTAGCAAAGATGTGGGGATTTGGGGTGACAACATCCCTGGAGAAGGACGAGCCCACGTGGATGTCTGGAGGGGAGGAGAAAAGTGATTTTTTGAAAGAGCCCACAGAGACCAAGTACAGCGGGCTGTGTGGTTCCTTAAATTAGAAGATGAGGCTGGAGGTGTCTGCCTGGGCCTCCCATGAGATGCTTAGGTTTGATACCAACAGTGTTTGGAAGCCATAGCGGAATTACCTACAGAATCCCTCCTGCCCAAGGAATAGGACCCAGAAGGTTATTCTCAGGGCCTGGCTATCGGCGGAGAGGGCATTTGGAGCAGGGGATTGCTGAGTCCCTTGTGAACGAATGACCTGCTAGCAACACTTTAGGCAGTGGTTGGTGTGTCAGCCACCTGCTGTTGGTCCTCATGGTGACCACAGAGCTGCTCAGGTGGAGTCCAGACCCCATGCTGGAGAGGGATTTAAAAAATAAGTGGAGGAGAGGAATTCTGTAGAATCAAAAGCAAAGGAAATTTTAAAAATATGGGAATTTTCAAACCTTATAAAAGTTGAAGGAATAGTCTAATAAAGTACTAAGAAACTATCATTTAACTTCAACAGTTACTAGCATTAAACCCATTTTGTTTTATTTATGTTATCTGTCACAGCCACCTAAGGCTCTCAGCTCATCTTTATTTAAAGCAATTTGCGGGTCTATTGTCTTAAATGCAAATATTTCAGAATGTATCTCAAAGGAGAAAAACATCGCAATACCATTACCACGCACCAAAAACATAAATTCAGTAATATTGCCTAATATTTATTCCATATTTAAATTCGCTCTTGTCCCCCAAATGTCTTTTGTATCAGCTTTTCTCTCCAGTGCAGGATCTCTTCAAGTTTTATTGGTTGCTGTGTGTCTCCAGCCCATTTGTCTGTCTGTCTTTCTTCTTTAGAAACAGCTTGTGAGAGTGTCATTTATGTTCTATCCAGTTTACTCACTTTTGTGCACAACCAGTGGGATTTTTAATGTATTCACGAAGCTGTGAAACCATCATCATAATGGATTTTGAAATATTTTAATCACCCCCAGAAGAATCCCAACAAGTCTTGGGCAGCCACCATGCTTCTTTCCGTCTCTGGATCTTCCAGTTCTGGGCCTCTGTGACTGACAGCTTTCAGTGCTAGTGGTTTTGAGGCCGGGGTGGTGGCATGGATCAGACTTCACTCCTGTGGCTGGACAGCATTCCACTGTGTACAGATGGAGCGTTTTACCTTCATGTGTCTTTAATCTCTTTTTACCTATGTTCTCTCGCTTTTTTTCTTCTGTCTTTCCTCACGTTGACTTTTTAGAAAGGCTAGGTCAGTTGTCTTGTAGAGTGACCTACTTTCTGAATCTGACCGCTTTCTCGTGCTTAGATCTATTAAGTTCTTGGGTTCCCATTAAGCGGTGTTGGTGAGGACTCTGAGCACTCCGGGTGCTTCTGGCATCCCGAGACACAGCTCCCCGGTTTGCAATCAGCAGTTTAAGCTCCTGGCTAATGTAGTGAGTATTGGGCTTCTCCTTTGAGGGGGAGCATTTTTCTTTCCTAACTTATCGTTATTCTGTGGGATGCCAGCGTGAAACTATGTGGTGTCCTGTTCCCTGACAGTCTCTCCACTCGGGGCTTTTGAACACCTGTGATGATCATGACCTGAATCTCTTTTGACACCATTTTAGTTCCCAAATGGTGAGTTTCTAGTTTTTGCTACTTTTTATTGGCATTTTTCTAACATGAAATGTTTCCTCCCCCACCTTGGAAAGATTCAATTGTAGTCATTTTTCATATTATGCTCAGATGGCCCCACAGGAAGTCAGGGGGCGCCCTTTAACGGAAGGGCTTTTGTTACATCATGATTATTCTTCATGCATTTGTTTAGTGCCTGCCACACTAAGATATTCGGGGTCTGCACTGTTCTGGGGACCAGCCCTGTTTCCCAAGGAGCTTGAGTTCCTTTTAGTGGGAAGTAGATTTAGAAACAAATGATACAGCTAGTGAAGGCTGACACAGTGGTGCCATGGTGGTGTGCTTCCATCTCGGCCTTCTCAGTGACACACAGTAGGGGTGTGTGTGTGTGTGTGTGTGTGTGTGTGTGTGTATGATGCATAGGTGTGAATCTCTGCACCTGTATGATGTGTGTATACGAGGCTGGAACGATAGGCACAGATCAGCAGCAGCCGCACAGAGACTGCTATTGCGTGTAGCCCCCCATCCAGGATCTGCGCTGGTTGAAGTGATCCACAGCTAACAGGGAAGAGATCAGAGGAGTCCTCACACACACACACAAAACCCCAGCCTCTATGCGGCTTGTATTCCTGTCCTGACCTGAGTCATAGTAAGCAGGTGTAATCTCTTTGTCCAGTCTCGTTCCACAGAGTTTTAAAACCACAGTCTTGAGGGCCAGGGATTTAGCTTAGTGACATAAGCACCTGCCTGGCAAGCACAAGTTCAATCCCTGGTGCCAAAAAAAGACTACAGTCTTGAAATGAATGCTGGTGGAAGATGGAGATCTCTTTTGTCTCCTGCAAAGATATCTGGAAAGCAAGATGTTATCCCAGGTCTCAAAGTGAAGAAGAGATATGCGGACTTTGGTTCTGGTTTGCACTGTATTTACTAGTCTTGTGACCCTGGGTGATGGAGCGTGTGGAAGCCTTAGTATCACGGGCTGCAAAAACAGATAAGATGCCACGTAACGTGCTGGGTTGTAAGGACTAAGGCATATTAAGCATGTCAGATGCCAGGCCCGCTGCTTGCCGAGATAAGCGAGTGTTCAGTGGCAGTAGCTCTTGCAGCGCGTCCTCCCTCTTGTCCCCATTCCCACCCACCTCAGCGTCCCCAGCATCCATCTGGAGATTTCAAAGACTGTGGCTGTGGATGCTGGAGCGCTGGATGCCAGGCACACAGTGACGGTGGCAATGTAATGTTTGCCTATAGTGAGGGGACAGTGAAATAACAGAATCTAAACCAAAAGCAGCCCTTCCCTTCCTGGTATGCATGTGCTTGGCCGGTGTCTCCACATGCAAGAACGCTGGGAGAGACTTCTGTCCCCATAACTTCTCCTTGGTGACTGACACCTGTGTCTCTTGCCATGGAGCCTCTGTTTGCCTTTGTCCTCCAACAATTTTGACACCTAACTCGGAACAGAACAGACAGCATGGGAGGCTGCAGAGTAGCCCAGGATGAGTTGACGCTTTAAAAATATTTGTGAAAACTGTGAACTACTACAAGTGGCCAGAGGAGTCACTATATGTAGGGACGCCTTTCGGAAATGACAGAAGGCTGACCGTAGCAGTGTGCCTCTAAGTGAGGGTCTCGGGTTCTATATGGGAGCGGCTCACCCACGGGGGTGGTCTGCTGGAGCTGCAGCTCTGGGAGGTACAGCTACATCTCCTTTAGGTCCCTATGCACCTCAAAGGCTAAAGACCAGCAATTCCAATCCCATTTTATTTATTTATTTATTTATTTATTTATCTATTGGTACCGGGGATCGAACTCAGGAACTGGCACTTGCCAGGCAAGAGCTTGTGCCACTGAGCTAAATCCCTGGCTCCAGCAATCTCATTTTATAAATGGTAAGACTGAGACTCAAGGAATTCAGAATCCCTGACCAGCCTCTTAAAGCCAGTAATCAGTTTCTTGTCTGTGAAATACATGGTCCTTAAGTAGAGTTAGTTTTGCTAAGCAGTGCTAAGGATATCACCTTTTACGCCCCGATTTACCAGCCTAAGGAGGATTGTTATGCAGTGAGAAATGAGCACCCAGTCAAGCTCCCCAGCGAGGGGCTGGCGCTCAGCCCGGCAGCTGGGTGGTCTAGGGTTGGACTGGCCTGAGGGGGGATGAGGGTGCCGCTGGTTTCCTCACTGACAAGGCCCTCGAATGCTTTTCCTGGCGCTCTCTCTGTGCAGAGATGGAGATTTCTTCTGTCCCTGTAGGTTAGGGTAAGTCTAGATGGCAGTGCCAGGGTGTACACAGGATGTTCACCCACTGTAGCTTAGGGGTAAGGTCACCGTGGGTCTGAGGACAGGACACATCTCAGGTCCCACCCGGGGCCCTCTGGTGTTGAACCTGGAATGTAATCGCTAACTGCACAAGGAAAACCCAGGGTTGACTGTTCTCCTTGGGGTCATCTTCTCTTAAGACAAATTTGACATTTTCAGCTGGCAGCCCTTCATTTTGTCTACCCACAGACTCCTAGCCTGGGACTTTGGCAAAGGGCTAAGGACCTGTGGGCTCAGAGGTCCTTGGGACTTCAGTCTGCCTGCTGGCAGGAGGGGAGACACGGGAAGGCAATCCAGAGACTGAGTGGAAGCCGATGGATGCCCAGCTTGGCTGAGAACCCTTTGCTCCTGCCTCTGGGGGCTAGGAGGGCCGCAGGTCTCAGCGGTTCCCGAGCAGCACCCCTGTGCCGTTCGATATTTTGGATCTGGGAGTTTCAGAATAAGATGTCATGTGCTGAATCCCCACCGGCAGGAGGCGGTGGCCTGTCATTGGCCTTAACTCTCTGCTCCCCAGTGGATTCTGCCGCTCAGACAGTGAGCTGTGCAGAACCAGTAACCAGCAGGGGGCAGGTGAGGGGTTAACTCCCCCAGTCACAGATTGAGTGGAGCAGGGCAGACCTGCTTGGGAGCAGTTTTCTCAGAGCCTGTACTTGCCTGCAGCCCGAGAGCTGAGCATGGAAGCAGAGTGGACTCAGGAGAGCTTCCTGCCTGCCCTGGCCCAGACGATGGTGACTCAGGAGTTAACGGCAGGCTGAACATCCCTGAACTTCAGCAGCACAGGGCTCTTAACCAATCCCGCCACCCTCAGGGAACCTGAATGGGAAAAAAAAAAAAAAAGTCCAATATGGAGAACAGCTTTGATGATGTTTCTTATCTCTCTCCCCAGAACCTGGGATCCTCCTCACCAGGCAAAAAGCAGAGCAAGGAAAACACCATCACAGTAAGTGGCTCACACTGGGTGCGTCCAGGTTGGGTGGCAAACTGGGGCGTTTGGCCACGGCTGGGCTGTTGCCATGGCAATGTGGACCGCCAAGCAGAAGGGATGCCCAGCCTGGAAACGGGGAAGTTCCAAAGCTTGCATTCAGCTGAATGTGCCCACTTTCCCTTTCGCTGTCAGTTTCATGTGTCCTTGTTCTACCCTGGAGAAAGCAGGAGAAGGAAGGGGGTCGGAACCACGCGGAGCCATTCTTGCGGGGCGGCAGGGGAGGGTGCGCGTGCGGGAGTGGGTTGAAGGGGTGGACTGTGCTGTGTGCAAGTGGTGTGACAGGTAAATTACAGCCACGGCAGGGTTGCTTTTTGTGCAGGGAAACTTCTGGGAGATAGCAGAGTTAAAAGCAAGAGAAGGCACCCTAAGAATAGAGTTCCTGGGAGTTCCTGATGAGAAGCAGACAGCTCTGCTTGGAGTGGCCAGAACCCCTCCCAGGGCTTTTCCAGAGCCCTGCCAAGTGCTCGCGTGGAATAGGGGTTCCATCCAGCCTCCTCACTTCAGCCCTGTGCCGGACTGGGGGGCTGGACATCAGTGTCCCCTCCAAGTAGGAGAAGGAGCTGTCTGGGTGCTCAAACAGCCAGCAACTTGGGGACTTGAGAAGTGGGTTTACTATTCTGGCACAAACACAGAGGGAAGAGGGGATCACTCTCCTGAGCTGTCTCTCACCATCCTGAGCATTCTGACCTCCCCCATGGAGATAAATCCATGGAGGTTGTGTTTCCCTGGCTTATCCCAGCTGGAAGTCCTGCTTCGTAGGAAAACACGCAGGCAAACCCAACAATATTAACTGCTCCCACTGTTGTGTGCATTTGTCTTGCACACGCAGTGTTCCAAGTGCTTGTTTTGCTCACTAGCTGCGTGAGGTGCAGTTAACAGAATCAATATGGTGGAGACTACATAACTGGACTCTGAAGCCAGAGCCTCACTTATGAGCCGTACGACACGTGGGGAAGCTTCCAGACTTCTTCCCTGTGCTGTGTCCATGTCTGTAAAGTAGGGAAGTGGGGCTTCAGTGACGTAGGGATAGTGTAAGGACACTCGCTAGTGCAAAGCACTTACACAAGCTCAGCACACAGCACGTGCTCAATACACACTAGTGTGATCGCCATCCCACTTACACATGAGGAAACGGAGGCACAGAGAGGCACTTCACTGGAGCCATCCAGCTATAAACATCGGTATTCAAAACCTTTTATCCAGCAGCTCTGCCCTTCCAGTGCTGGTGTGGGCTCCCTGGTCATCAGCCTCTTTTGACCTCCCTATTCCTCCCAGAGGCTGGTCAGGGTGGCTCAGCCTTTCTGTGTATGGAGGACGTGATAGAGCTGGACAGGGCATGGGAGCCCACAGGTGCAGACTTTGGAGGGTGCAGTCTCTGTCTTCAAATTTTTTGTCATGCATCCCAGAATGTGGGGGTAAGGCAGTAGCTCCCCAAAATGCATGAAACAGGGAAAGAAAGAAAAGAAGAAAGTGGAGGGGACCACCTATTAGAGTTCTAGAAGACAAACAGAAGAAATAAAGTGTGAAAGGTAGAGTGATAGGCTGGCCAGAGCTGTCTTAAAGGCTGTAATGCTGGTGCCAGGCCGTGAGGTGGGTACCTCCTGCACCCTCCTTAGTCAGAGCATCAGGCTCTGTCAGTGGGCTGCATGGGGCCCTGGATTTTCCTGGGATGGCACCCCCCTTAGTCACCCCTGCTTCAAACCCACAGCAGCGCTTCTCCTGAGATGGTTTGCAGCGTGTTAGCATTCAAGACCTTGGAGAAACTTGGTTCAAATGCCAGTTCTTGGAGCTACCCAGCACCTACGTTTGGTTTCTCTGGGGTCAGATGGGAACACTTTTAGAGGTTTGAAATAAACACTGTGCCTTGGAGAATTGTTGCTGGGCAAACTGAGTGCAAGAGGCACTGGCCAAAGGCCACAGAGCCGTGAGGAGCAGTGGACACTTGAAGCTGGGTCTTCTGGCTGCCAGCCCAGGACGTGGTCCAGTGCAGCACGTGGCCACCAGGGCCACACACGCCTCCAGGCTGAAGACTTCTGTACCCCTGCTCTTCCCTTCCACATAATGCTGTTCCCATGCCCAGGCCCTGGTTCTGGGTTCTGATCCTCAGAGCTCAGAGGGAGGGTATGGCCCTGTGCTCAAGACACTGAGACTAGTGATCCACCCCCACCATCCCCGTCTTGTAGGGACAAGGGGAGCAGTGTCCCTCACTGACCCCACAGAGCAGAAATTTCCAGGCCTGGGCAGCAAAGGGTGGAGTGTCCATGGCTGAGGAGCAAAAACAGGATTCTGAAGCTCAGTGGCCTGGAGCTGGTTTGGAAGGAGCTGACACATGGGTGACCTGGCAGCAGCGGGCAGGGCCTGGCAGCCTTGCCCAATCCCATACCCACTGGCAGCAGTGCACCCTGGCAGGTGGAACGTGCTTTTGGATTGGGAAGGGCAGGTGTTCATGGTAGCTTCCAGCCCCTGGCACAAATGTGACATGTCAGAATCTCGAGGACTCCAGGAGAGATGACAGCAAAGCCATGCGGCCACATTCTCTGCTGGCCAGAGGAACTCGGGAACTCTGATTCTTAGCCTCGGCTTCCCAGCATAGCCTATCAAAAGCCCAGCACCCTGGTCAGGGGCTCAGGGAGTGAGGAAGAAGCCTTTTCTCTCTGCTGGCCCGAAGCCCCCTCCAAGATCAGCTTCCCTCAGAGGAAATATATAAAGTCTGCTTCGGTGTCAAACCATGTTCCCTCTGTGCTGCAGGCAGGCGAACCAGACCACGGGTAAAGGGGACCATGGCTGCTCCCTACCTCGACCCCACACTGGCACTGCCCATGCTCAGGGTGACTCAGTATCCCCCACTGGTCCCTCAGGTGGATCACCCCATGTTCAGCAGCTCACATACCGTGGCCAGGTGCTCTACCCACAGCTGCTTCCCCCTTGGCACCTTGGTGGGAGTTTTAAGAGGAAGATTGGACAGACGTTGTGGCATCAGCTGCCCCCGGACAGAATGTGCTTGGCAGGAGCGTGGGCTGCACCAAGTCCCCAGCAGTGGTGCAGGATGTGTTTACTGTATTCTCCTGAGGTCGCAGAGTCCGGGAGGCAGTAAGGGAGAGGCCCCCAGAGCTGCCCCACCATTCACGCATTTGGAGGCCCTTTTGTTGAGCACCCCTTCCTGCTGGAGCCCTGGTCATCAGTGGGGTCAGGGCATATAGCTTCGCCTCAGTGTATTGGAGAGGTAACGTGGTATGGTTATAAGCCTAGAGTCTGGAGTCAGATTAGCTGGCTCCAGCCTCACATGCAACCTGTGTGAGCTGGTTCCTGACCTCTCTGTGCTTCTGATTCTCGTCTGTAAGTTGGAAATACTAACACCTGCCTTCCAGGGCTGTTGTGTTAATGAGTGGGAAGCACCTAGGACATTCTCAGCTGTTGTTGAATGCAGAGGGGCTCCTAGGCTGTCTCCTGTGTGTGCAGGATGCATGATGGGATTGCCACTCTTGCTGTGCCCAGGAGGCTTTGGGAGGAGACAAGCTTTTCCACAGGAGCAGCTGGACCGTGGCATTAACTGCCTGGAGAAAGTCCTCTGGGAGCAGGCAGGAACTCACAGGTGGGGGTTCCCACGGGGAAAAAGCCCAGTCCCTCTGCTCTTCCCTTTCTGGGTGTCGTGGCCCTGCAGGGTGGCGTCCCATAGCACTCCCAGTTGTGATCCAGGATCCAGGGGCTGAGCCTGGACCGGAGGCCTGGAGTCATCAAAGGACAGAGCAAAGTGAGAGTATCAGCCCAGGATTTAGGAAGCCAGCTTAGGAACCCTGCCACTCCTTGGCCACATGACAGCGGTAGCATTAGCCTCTCTGTGCCTCAGTTCCTCATCTCTGGCCCAAAGCCCCTGGGCTGGCTGTGTGAGTTTGCACCAGGCCATTGATAAGTATCACAGCTGACTGCTTCCTGGACATCAGCATGCCACCTCCCACTGACCACTGCCACCATCTCGTCTCGCATGTCCAGTCCCGTGCTTGGGGATATTCCCACCCCCAGGCCAGTCCCCTGGGGGTTGTCAGCTTGGCCTGCTGACCTTCCAGGGCTTTGTAGTATGGAGTTGTTGCGCGCTCTGTAGGAAGCCCGTCAGGCTCTGCTCACCTCTGCCTGCCTCTTTCATCTCTACCCGCCTATAACAACACTGTCCTGCTGGGCTGTAACAACCAACAATGTCATCACCAGATGTCCCCTGGGGTGGGGACAAAATCATAGATGCGCGACACTGAGCTGACTGGGTGTTACTCCTGTTCACTTGCAAAGCATCTGCAGGTTCTGCTTGGGCTCCTTTCTCACGCCATTGTAAGCCCCCGTGACAGCTCGCCCAGATCACCTGGTGGCCTCCCACGGTGACCAGTCACCTTCCCCCTCCTGTGCATCCTCCACACACACTCTAGCCCGTGCCCTTCTCCTGTCAGACGCTCCTGTGTGCCACTGCCCATCAAGTCAGATGCCTGCTTGTCCCTGTCCCCTCTCCCCCATCACCTTCCCACTCGGGGCCACGCCAGGCCGGGCAGCGCATTCTCCAACTGTAGGCCTCAGCCCCGGGCCCTTGCCTTCCTGCAGTGCCCTCTACCTCCTCACCTCCTGCCTTGGACCTACCCTTATGACCTCAGTGCCACTTCCTGTAACATCCTCCCGTCGGTCCCTGGCCCTTGTGCAGCCCCAGCACCCCATGCGTACCCCAGTGGCAAAAGGCTACTTAGGTGTCTCCCCAAGTATCCTACTGACCCAAACCACGAGGGGATAATCCCACCTCATACCTCTAGCCACTCAAAAAGCATGTGAACGGAAAGTGGATGAGCAAATGGCCCCTAGAATGGCATTGGTGAGGGCCTGTCTACTGTCAGCTCTCTGTGGACTCAAATACCTCTAGGGTCCTTGATTTCCTCTCATAAAATAAGATAAGGTCCCATGCTTTGGGGTTGCTGGGGAGCCAAAATGAGTATGCATGAAGCTCTTGGCACTGTCCTGAGTCAGGGCTTTCTGGAATGTCAAGCTAGGTGCCTCCCAGGAGGCCGGTGAGGTGGAGTTCTCCAGATGCCCACCAGGGGGCATAAGGCCCTTCAGATTCCGAGAGGTTGCTACCACTCTGGGAAGGAAAAATCCCAGATCAGCGTCAGAGACAGTAACAGGCACTCGGGATCCTTGGCCAGGCCATCACAGGATTAGTGTCCTCAAAGAGTGACCGATACAATAGAAGGGGGAGTCTTCAACTTCCCCTACCTTCCTGTCCCCCAAACCCACCAGCTGTTTTTGCTGGTTATTTCAGAGCCCTGGAGGGACCCCTCACTGTCTAGATCCTGACCCTTCCAGTCCCTGACTTGGGCATCTCTGTGGAAGATCACGTAGGACTGGGGCTCACCCACCATTGTGTCCCCGCTTTGGTGATCACAAGGCCTCCTTGGGCCTGGCCCCCACCTCTGCCACATGGATGCTGCTTCTCAGGCGCGAACCCTCACCGGGGAGCCCAGGTCCTGCCTGGGCCTGAATCAGAAATGAGCACTGTCTGCAGACCCTGCGAGTGACCCTGAGGCACACTCAGCCTTGATTCTAGGATGCAGCAGGGCCTGGCTGGGACTTAGAAAGGCTTCCCAGCCTCCTGCCAGCTGTCTATGCCCTTTCAAATGGTGGAGTATAGAGCCAGCTGGGATTTGCCACTGATGGCCCCCGCCCCACACCTCCACTGCAGGCCAGCAAGCTGGTCTTCATGAGTACCCTGGGGTGGGGAATGGCATCCTTGTCTGAGAGTGGACCCCCGAGGAAGGACCCTGTTTCTCCCATCCCGACTACCTCTGGCCAAGCTGGCCCCTCTCTCGGTAAACCTCTTGTTTCCTCAATGAGAGTCAAGGTCAAGAGCAGATTGAACAAGGAAAAAAGAAAGGGAGGGGCGGGGGGTAGAGCACAGGGTACTGTGGAAGGCATTTATAGCCCACTTCCGGGCCTGCGCATTCTGTGTGTATGGACTCAGCCACCTGTGGTTAGAAACGTTCAAAAATTGCACCTGTACCAAATCTGTACAGTCATTTTTTTTCCGTTTTTCCCTAAACAATACAATATAATAACTATGTACATAGCCTTTACATTGCGTTAGGTAGTATAAATAACCTAGAGAAGGTTTAAAGTATACAGGTGAAGGTACATAGGTTGCATGCAAACATTTCACCATTTGATATGACAGCAGTGTATCATGAATTCAGACATCCACAGCGGTCCTGCACCCAGGCCTCTGGGGTATCAAGGGACACTTGGACCTTCAGTCTGCTAGCTCCATGATTCTTAATGCCCAATCGACTTTAATGTCATAGTTCTTGTATCATTAAATTTGATTGAAGCTATCACAAGCTCCATTAGGAAATGCATTTCATTTGTTATGGAAAAAATGGCTGGAGCAAAAAAAAAGGCACCTGTCAAGATTCAAAGTATATCCCTTGTTTTCATGATTGTCTCGAGTGTCACCCCGCAGTGGGGGTCATCAAGCCTTGAGAGAGACTCATCTGGCCACACCATGGCGCCTTCACTCCTAAAGGCTTGGGGAGCCACTTCCTGAGGCTGGGCATGGAGGCTGCACCCCTACCCAGCAGGCTGCTGCTAGCCGGGGTCACCTCGCGTGGCTCAGGAGAAAGTCCCCAGCCTCGAGAGTCCCTCAGGCCCCGCACTGACCAGGGGCTGCTGGGTCCTTGCTGTCCTGGATCGCACTATGTCATGCTTCCCTACCTAGGCTCACCAGCCAAAGGGAGGGGATCCTCCCTTTGACGGGGACTTCTGGCCCCTTCCCCCAGACGCTAAGTGGGACCTGCACCCCTGGAGAGCAGCGTGAGGATGGTGGTGGGGTGCACACTGGACTGAATTCCAGCCTCCTTCAAGCCCTGAAGCCTGAGGTCATGTTTCTAGGCCTGACTTGCCAACAGAAGAGTTTGCAAGGACCACGTGGTTGTGAGGACCGTGTAGTGGTGTTTTTATTTATTAATGTATTAATATTATTCTAAACCTTGAGGTGATTGCTGAGAAAATTCACATGAAAGCTCTGACACTGAGCTCCCCTCCAGCCACTGCGTAATCAGGCGGTCCTGGGCTCCCCTTCTTTGCCTGTGACTGTCCCGTGATCCCCAGCTCCCATCCAAGGCAGAAGTTTGTGCTCATGTCAAATTGTAATTCCTGCACGTGTGGGCCCCTCGCAGGTTTGCAGGCCGCTCCCTGACCCTCAGGCGCTTTCTACAAGGATCTTCCCTTTTAACCTCTGACATCTCCAACCTCAGCAGATACTTTGGGGGTGGAGACAGGCCGGAGGAGGATTGGGGTCCTCGAGCCACATCAGCAGGAGCAGCATCGAAGCCACTTTCACAGAGCAGGCCAGCCAGGGAGCACCTTGAACATACTGGGCAGAAAAAAGTCTGAGACACCCAGAAGTGGCCCTGAGCTCCCCTTTGCAGACCATCCCCAAAAGAGCACCTGGGCTCATGTCCTATCTGAGATAAGTGAGGTGTCACTAGATAACCTCTCACCTGTGACCCTCACTCATTTCAGGGTCATGCCTGGCCTCCATCCCCCTGTTCCTTTCTTGAAAGGAAATCAGGCTTATCAGCTGTTGGAAATATTCCAGAAATAACCAGCTTTTCATGCAGATAGAAGCACGCAGGAATCCTGTTCTACACCTGCCTTTTCCTGTCTTCTCTTCTTTTCCCCCTTTGCTGGGGGTTGAACCCAGGGCCTTGACGTGCTAAACACCACTCTGTCACTGCCAGCATACCTGCCAGCATACCCTGGTACACTTTCCTTATCAGTATGTGAGTCCTGGGGATGTGGCTCAGTGGCACAGCGCCTGCCTGGCAATTGCAAGGTCGTGAGTTTGATTCCTGTACCCAAGAAAAAAGATACTTAAAATAAATTTTTAAAATATTTATGTAGATGAGAATTTTATCTCTATGTCTTTCCCTGCAGAACAACTTCATGGACGCTGACCTGTTCACCCATTCCTCTGGATGGGCAAGTAGAGTTCTCTGGCCCAGACTTTGGCCTCATAGGGAGCAGCTCTAATGAAAACCAGATGTGTGTGTCCCTGCACTCATGGGCAGATCATCCACAGCACAGACTCTCAGAGGTGCAGTTGCCAGGCTGAAGGTCCTAGCTGTTTGCAGAGCTGATAGAGGCTACTATGCCCTCCAAAGACAGAGGCAGCTTCTGCTGTCAGCAGTGAGATGTGGGCCGTGAGAGGAGAGGATGTGAACGCCTACTGCCTTTACTTAAAATATTGGCTACGAAGCTTAGGAAGTCCCCATGCCGACCATTAAGCTGGCCCAAAGGGAAGCCTGGTTCGTGATCTGCCCAGGAAAAAGGCCTTTCCCACTCCTCAGCCTCAGTAAGGTGGTTTCCCTCCTTGGTCTCTGCCCCACAGATAAACTGCGTGACATTCCCTCACCCAGACACGATGCCCGAACAGCAGCTGCTGAAGCCAACGGAGTGGAGCTACTGTGATTATTTTTGGGTAAGCTGTGCCTCAGTTTCCCCTTTATCAGCCCTCAATGACCAGCTGTGTGTCCTGGGGAGGAGCAGGAGGGACCTTGAGCTCAAAGTAGGGAGGCCTTTCTGACTGAGCCTGAAGTACTGGCTGTCAGTTTGTGTCTGGGGTAGGACCTGGACTCTGCTGGAGTCAGGATGGTTTCATCACCCTCGGGATCAGCAGGGGTTTTGCTGATGGCAACAGGGCAGCCCCAGCACTTAGCAGAGTTCAGAGGAGTGGAAGGGCCGTTTCCTCTGATGCTCAGTGAGGGCAGAAGACTAGACACTCGCTTCAGGAAGCAAACCTAGGCTCCGGACTTGTCACTGGTACGAGTGACCTTGGACAGGACCAAAACCTACGTGGGCCTCGCTGTGCCATCGAAGTCACGCGGGGGCGGTGTGTGGGATCTGGAGAGATCCCCAGCTGCTCCAGAGGTTTCCCAGTTGATTAACGGGCACAGATATTCAACTTTCACAGGCTGGGGAAGGTTCTGCAGTCTGCGTGGATGCGCAAACGTGCAGATGTGCTCAGTGCCACGGATGCGTGAGCTTAAAATGGTGAAAGCGGTCAAGTTTTATATTATGTGCATTCCGCCACCGTTAAAGTTAGCAATTTTTAAGTAAGTGTGGCCACAGGAGTTTGGGTCACTGAACAGGACCCAGGAAGGATCTAGAAAACCCTGCAGCGCTTGACTAGTAAACAAACCTCTACGGCCGCTTTCTTTCCCCTCACTCTAAATGTCTGGCCCAGAAGGGATCTTAAGGATGCTGCTCACACCTATTCCAAGAGTATGGTGGCAGGGGCACAGGTGAGCATTAGAAGGACCTAGTGGCTGAGCAGAGATGGGAACCTGGGTCTTGGGGGACACTGGGGCATTGTTCTGAGCAGTGTGCCCCTCTGTGACATCACAAGCTGGTTTTAACTTCATCCACTAAGTATGGAAATACGTAACCCCAGGGTCCCCATGGGGAGAGGTTACAAGCAGGAGAAGGCTGTTTAATTACCATAACGGGGGACCTAGGACAGATGTGAGCTGATTGGCCAGCAACACAGCCTTATGGGTAGACACCAGGGTGCAACTCAGGCAGGGAGGGGCAGGAAAGGGTGGCCAGGTACCAGAGGAAGCACAGGGAAAACTAAATAGATCTCCTCCTCCTCCTCCTCCTCCTCCTCCTCCTTGTTTTGAGACACAGCCTCATTGTGGAGGTCAGGCTGGTTTTGAACTCATTATATAGCCCAGGCTGACCTTGAGTTCACAGCAAGCCTCCTGCTTCAGCCTCCCAAGTGCTGTGATTATAAGCATGCACCACCACACCCAGCCTTCATTTAAAAATGTTAAGAATATTTGTTTGCAAAGTTAGTTGGGTCCCAAGGTCCCATTTCACGACTTGGCTGTCTTCCTCAGGTCCTATCCGTGGATACTGTTTGTTGAGTACTTCATACAGGCTCAGCAGAACACCAGGCATATGGCCTGAAAAGCCCATGTGTCATTTATATCTGCCTTTTATCCTAAATGACTCTAGGGGATTACCTCATGATCTCCCAGTTTTCAGGTAAAGAAGCTCGGGGATAGAAGAGGTGGCTCGGCCAGAATTGAGTTTCTCCTCAGAAACCATAGTATCTTTTTACTTCCTGGGCTGTGACCTTTCACGAGTATCTATCAGAGGACACTGCTGCCTAAGTCACAGTGCAAGAAGCTAGTAGAAGCCAGAATGGCATGAGGGTGGAGGCATCTATCCTCGGGGTTGCATACGGCCTGCCCTGGCTTAGAGTCGGAAGGCCGGGATTCCCAGGAGGCCGAGATAGCTGCAGGGGTCACCTCGTCAGAAGTCCAGGCTAGTGCCAGTGAACCTTTCAGAGACTGAGTGCCCAAACTACAACCCCAAACCCACTTACTTATCTCTGAGTGTCAGCACTGCATTTAAACCCGAACATTGAGGCTTCAGTGTAGAAAAAACAACCTACCCATTAACTTGATTTGTCTTAAAAGCACAATGCCATGCGTGCCACGGTTGGTCACCCCTGAGCATGAGAGCCTGGGTCGTGGCCCTGTGCCCTTCTATTTGTCCAGAGGTTGGAAGCGGTACAGGGCGCATGCGTGGGGGTGGCAGCACCTCCAGAGCTAATGCATTAGTCTTAGGCTGCTTTGTGCTGCCAGCACCGAATGCCTGAGACAGAGTCATGGATCGTGAACAGAAACTTACTTGCCGCAGGGCTGGGAAGGCTGGGGAATCACATATTAAGGTGCCAGCATCAGTCCCTGGCAGAAGGCAGCAGGCGAGAGAGAGAGAGAGAGAGGCTGGGGATTTAGCTCAGAGGCATAAGCGCCTGCCTTGCAAGCAGGTAGTCGTGAGTTCGATCTCCGGTACCCGATTAAAAAAAAAAAGAGAGAGAGAGAGAAGGAGAGGCCAGACCTGCTTGTACAGCAGCCTCACTGCTGTGGTAACAGCATTAACCCACCCCGGAGGACAGGGCTCTCCCAACCCACCTCGCCATGGCGTCGCACTGGGGACTGAGACTCCTGACACGTGAGTGCTGGGGATCTATTCTGGCCTCAGCAGCCAGGGCTCCAGGAGAGACCTTAGAGATGGCTGCTCCTGTCTTTCTCAGCTGGGGTCAGGGTTGCCAGCCTAATCAGGGTCCTTTCTGGGCTCTCACTTCCCGATCCTGTATGTGGCTTTAGGCACCAGCTATTTCTGTTTGCTTCCCAGGCGGATAAGAAGGATCCCCAGGGCAATGGCACGGTGGCGGGGTTTGAACTGCTTCTCCAGAAACAACTGAAAGGCAAACAGATGCAGAAGGAGATGTCCGAATTCATCCGGGAAAGGTAAAGTCTGGGTTCCGCCAGCTCGGGGCACTGGGTACCAGCTGTCTCCCCAAGGGAGTAGACAGAAGACCCCGGCACCCCACATCCAGCCTGGGCCTGGATAGCGCTGAGGGGAGGTTAGATTAGAGTCCCAGACATATGACCCAGGGACAGATTTAGCCAGCAGATATGCAGCTTTGGCCTATCTAGTGCTCGTAAAGATTTTCTTTTAGAATACTGAAAGATTTTTACATTAAAAGCAGGACACCGAGCATCTGTCAAGAAAGCAGATTGTAAGGATGGACTCCACGTGGCTCATACAGCAAGTGACCAGAGCCAAGAAGCAGCAACCCTGTGGACGGGACACGTGTCCCCATTTCCCTGTCATCTGCACCCCTCCCTATGGGTTCCCTCACAGACTGCTTCGCCCTTTTACTGCCCCCTGACCCTCATTTGAAGCACTGTCCCTTACCATAGCCTGAAAGAGGAACGGCTTTCAATTCACCTGTGAACCAAAAACGCATCCCACGGACACTCTAGGCTGAAGCATCCCCACCCGTCCCCCGCCTGGAGGCTATCACGGTGGCTTATCTGTGGGGCTTGGGAGCATAGAAAGAAGCAATAAGTTCAGCCCAACGAGAAATAAGTAAAACTGCCCAAAACAAGACAGAGAAATCCCTGCCCCATGTCCTTTCCCTCTCCACTTCCTGGGAATCTGCTCAGCACACACCCACCCACACGCCTGCACGCATGCCTGTATGCACAGGTCTCCTTCTAGGGTTTCCAAAGCATGAGGGCAATATTAATACCAAATGGCAGTGTCTTTTAAAAATAATTCTTTTTGTTACAACAACAGTAAACAAGCGACGACGCTATGGTATTTTAAAGCACCTATGTCGTTAGGACACCTATTTTCAATTTGCATAATCAAATCTTTGTTTTATGGCCCATTAAACTGGTAGGAAATTGGGGGCTCCATCGCTCCATCGCTCAGGTGCAAGAAAACAAAAAGATAAAACAGGCAAACGGGGAAGGGGCGGCCTGAGCCAAAGCCTGAGTGTGTGTGTGGTTTACACCCACAGCAGCGTCATGGTAGCAGATACCTCTTCCTCCCAGAGAAAGTGCACATTGCTGCATCTTTTCTCGGTTCATCTTGGGGATCCCCTAGGAAGAGGGGGCCTTCCAGAGCTAGAAGAGGGGAGAGCATAGGCACAGAGGAGAGAATGTGCCTGGCTAGGCTCAGCTTAGGGCAGTCGGGCTGAGGGTGGCAGTGACACACGCTGACTCCAGAGCCAAGAGGCAGATGGCACATGCTCGGCCTGCACCTGGCGCCTGCCATTGGCATTATGACATGGCTAACCTGTTTCCAGAGATCTTGGCCACGGTCTGGAGGTGCAGTCACGTCCTCCTGGGCAGGGCTGGAGGCCAAACCAGACGGAGAGGAGAGCAAGTGACAGAGGCAGAGATAAGTCAGTGTTCAACTCTGGAGAACCAATCTACCGGCCAGAGGTGGTGGGAAAAACAAAGCAGAATTAGGATGAAAGCTGTGTATCTCTGCGCCAAATCCTACACCAGTTACTACTCGGGATGCTGCACTGGGTCTGGATCACCACTCTCTCTGTCATGGAGCCTTGGGTGATGGCTGCTAGGCAAGCAGGGAGCAAACTACAGCTCTGGACTCTTGGAGCCTTTCTGTTCCCACACAGGGTGTCTCTCGGGTCCCTGTCCTGTGCGCATATCGCTAGTTGCACCATTCTCTGGCCAGCTCTGGTTGTGATATGCACAGACACCCCCAAGCGACCACTTGGGAGGGAAACATGGCCTCTGACGGTGCACCTAACGTGATGTGCCCAGTTATACCACATCCCCAGAGCGCTGCCCCGGGAGTGAGCTGAGGGCCTGCCCGCTGGAAGCTGTATCTAAGACAGAATTTTTCTCTGGGGAATAGAATTAGCTGCAGCTCTGGGCACTGTCTGTTTCCATGGAAATCCTTCTGCCCTTAACAGTACTTGGCAATTAGAAGATGGGGACCATGGAGACAGGTGCTGTTCTTGCTTCTGAGGGGCTGAGGTCACCCGGGAGCATCTGAGCCCAAAGTTCTGGGCTGGAAGGGACAGCGGACACACTGGGTATCCCTGCTGGACCGTCCACATTGCATTGTTTTGCAGAAGGGCTCTTACACATCCAGCCTCATGCTTAGAGCTGTGCAGATGACAGCACTCATTTTCACAGCGTGGAGACAAACAGAAATATCCTAACTGTACTGATGAAGATCTGAGGGCCGTCCAAAGAGTTCCATTCATTTATTTAATAAATATTAAACACCTCCTGAGTCAGGCAGACAGACAAAAACTGATGATCTGTCATGATTTACGGGTTCCTCTGCACAGTTTTGATGTGGCAGGGTGGCAAATCTGGTCCATGATGTGGCAGTGGGGAGCCAAAGCATTGTGCTTTTCCTCTTCACAGGATAAAGATTGAAGAAGAATATGCGAAGAACTTAGCTAAGCTCTCTCAGAACTCCCTGGCTGCGCAGGAGGAAGGGTGAGTTGGAGGAGAGTGGTGAGGGGGCAGGGGACATTGAGGAAGAGCGGGCATAGGCCCACTCTGTGTGGGGAGCTCGCCATAGACCTGGCGCACTGTGGGATCTGTGCTCACGTTGGCTGCTCACAGCTCAAGGTGGATCCTCGTGACTGCATGTAGTGCCCGTGGCTCAAAGCAGGCATTCATGGTTCAGAATGGGTAACTGTAACTCAAGATGCATGTTCAGGGTTTGGCCTGGTTCTCATAGCTTCACATGGGTACCCATAGCTCAGGGTATAGACATCAGTGCTCCAGAAGGACGTTTCCACACTGTCTCCTCTCTTGTGACCCTGTGTGTCCTGCCAAGTGCTAGGGTGTGCCGTCCCCTCACAGGTGGAAGGAGCTGGGAGAAAACCAGGTCTGAGAGGAGTTGATATGCAGCTCCGTAGAACTCTATGGGGCGCAAGGCCCATACCCTGCAGTGATAGTGTAGACTTCTTTGGATGAGACCTGGATTGGAGAGCACTCCGCCCAAATCTAATAGCCACAGAAAAATTTGTAGTGGAAGAAAGACTGCAACCTTCTCTACTCTGTCTCAGCCCTCATGCGCTGTTGACAAGCATGACAAATGACACTCACACTGCGAACAACAGTCTGGCAGGTCCTTCTCACAAAGCTAAGCACAGAATTACCATGTGACCCAGAATTCCCTTCTAGGTCCATACCCAAGAGAAATGACCACAGAGAGTCACACAAGCATGCACAGAGTCCTGCTTACAGTGGACATAGGTGGAGGCCACCCAAATGTCATCAGAGGATGGACACACAAGTTATGGGCTGGGGATTTAGCTGAGCAGTATAAGTGCCTACCTGGCAAGTGCAAGGTCATGAGTTTAATCAATCCCCAGTACAAAACAAACAAGAAATTATGCTACATGCCCAGGGGATATCCATGGATATGCATGTGGAATGTTATTTATCAATAAAGAAGACAGGAATATCGATGCGTGCAAACCCCAAGAACATTATGCTAAGTGAAAGAAGTGAGAGACAAAAGGTCACAGGGTGTCTGATTCCGTTTATATGAAACAACCAGAATAGGCAAAGCCATGGAGAAGTAGCTAATCAGTGATTACCGAGGTTTGGGAGCATGGGACCTGCAGACTGAGTACATATTGAGTACTTATTTTCTATTAGGTGTGTATCGGTCTGCAGTGGCTGCGGTAACAAATACCACAGACTGGTATTCATTGATTTCCCCCTATTTCTGGATGTTGGAAATCCCAGATCATAGTTCCAGCAGGGCTAGGTTCTGGTGAGGGTTCTCCCCGCGGGTTGTACATGGCCATCCTTGTCAGGGTACATCTTGTGTGTGTGTGCTGGGCAGTGAGACTGAGTTTTCTAAGTTGTCTTATAAGCACACGAATCCCATCAGATTAGGGTCTCACAATTAACCTTCTATGTCCTTGACAGCAGCCCAGGCCGTTCATTTTCACCTGAGTTACTTCCTTAAAGGCTGTAACCCAGTTATACGTATTGGTGACTGGGGATTCAACATCTGGATTTGGCGAGGGAGGGTGACACAGATTCTTACTCCAGGATAGGATGACAGAATGGTTTGGAACGAGACTGGGGGAGTTGTGTAGGTTCAGATTCCTAAACACTACTGCATCAGTCCCATTAACTTGGTTAATTTATGTTACATGAGTTTCACCACAATAAAAATCATGGTGAGGATTCTCGGAGATCAGAGTTTCGAGTATCCCCAGGAGTCTACTCTATTCCCGCCCGTGCACCCCCTGCATCTATAATCCCTCCTACAAAGATCCCTGAGAAGGAAGATGTTGTTCTGTCTGTGTTTGTCAGAGCTGTGATGTTAGGAAAGTCCAAATCTGCTCTCATGGCCTGAAGTCCTTCCCAGGACAGAGATTTCGCCGTGCGAATGTGGCTTTGATTAAGGCTGTGCAGCAGGCGTCCTCCTCCCGGGAATGGCTTTCACCAGCTGAGTCAGCTGCGTACCACCAGGCGGCCCAGGAGGGCCAGCGTCTCTTCCCAACCTAAGTGGGGTTAGTTAGTTTTTGGTCCCTTTGCTCCACATGGCGGGCTTAGTCACTGGAGCAGGGAAGGGTCACATGGGAAGTAGCCCCCACCGTCGGGGCAGGGGCTTTCCTGAGGATCCCTGTGCCCTGCAATCACTGTGCTCCTCTGGAGTCTCATAGCTTCCACCTCCTCGGGCTGGGCTGCTGCCAAGGACACTGTGTCCTGCCAACACACAAGCATATGCTCCTCACCCCAGTGGCCCAGCTCCACACGCCAGGCCCGCCCCGCCATGCTGAGCACGCATGCACGTCCAGACACACATGAGCTCACGCACACACATTCGCCACTCACCTGTCCATGTGCACAGCCCATCGTTGTACACACAGTGACCTCCCTTGTACGCTCTTCCCAGCAGGCACCTAACCGTAACACTCACACCGTATCTGCACAGTATGCAGCGATGGGATTTTGCATGCACACTGCTTTGGACATTTAACCCAGCCCATCTTGGAAAGGTGCAAAGTGCAAGGCTGGAGCTTGGCACTTGGGGCCAGAGTAGGAAGATGCTGATGGAGGAATCTTGACTGGAGCTGTGTTTGTAACTCGAGCACGGTGTCGGGGTTACGTTTCACAGGACATGTGGGTGCTGGCGAATACACAGAATTACACTACCTCTCCCTTCTGTGTTCCTCTCCTGTGTGGGAAGGAAATGGGACTGTGGTCTTTCCTGGTTAGCACCTTTGATGGTAATAAGCATTTTGATCTGGCTTGCCTCAAACTGTAAGTTGGTACAGAATAGTATCTTTTTATTATTAGATGCTATCTTCAAATGAGAGAGTATATTTTTGGTACTAGGTTTTGAACCCAGGGTCTTTGCAACTTACTTCCATGCCCAACTTCTTTAATATTATTTGTTTATTTTGAGACAGGGTCACACTGAGTCCCTGACTTGCCCAGGCTGGACTTGAACTTGAGATCCTCCTTCCTCAGCTTTCCAGGGAGCTGGAATTATAGTTGTGTTCTGTTCCACCCTTCCCCACCTGGGCCTTCAGAATCAGATGGGCACCCAGGCCACCCAGAAGACCTGTGCATTTTGGGAACAGCTTCCAGGAGCTCAGGGCCCTCAGCCCCTTAGGCCAAGGCACATGTCAATAGCTTGAGTTGCCCTGGCCAGTGGCATGCCCAGTCTTCACTGGTAGCTCTCTAGAAGGTTTTCTTTGCTGCCAAGATTCCTAGATAAAAATCCACTGGTTGTTTCCAGTAAACACCCGCCACAGCCTGGGGCAGCAGCCTCGCCAGGCAGGCCTGGACTGTGATGAGAGTGCTCTGCTTTGGTGGGTAATTCTTAGCTGCCAACTGGCTGGGAACCAGAAGCATCACAACAAGCTCTTTTAATCAGCTTTTGCCACTCAAATTTAATGACTTCTCTGGAGGAAGTGGCTTTTTGATGAAATTAAGTCAACTGAACTTTCAGCCTGGGTTTACTGGTGTGTTGAAGAGGTCAGGAGGAGGAAGCTTGGGTGTCACTTGGAATCGATCACTGAGGTTGATGAGTTCCAGATAACAGAACCTGTAGATCCGGGGGCTTCCCTCTGAACGTCTCGGGACTGCAAGTGTCCACTTGTGTTTGAATCTCATTGGAGTGGAGAGGTGATTAGCTCAGAGGACGTGGCCATTCCCTTGTAAGCCATGAGCAGGGTTAGGTGTATAATCTGGAAGCGGAGAGGAGCCACACTCCTGAGGATGGCTGTGCCTGTGATGTCCTGGGGCCTTGGCCTCTGAGTGCCTCTCGTGGAGGCCACAGTGCTGGAGATTTCCTTGTAAGCAAGGTTTCCGGGTGCCTCCTGTTTGAGAAACGCTTCTCCCTGAAAATGAATCTATTTTTGATTCTTGAATTATCAGCATTTTCAGTAGACATCTGTACCCGTCATCAGCTGACCAGGGAGTGATGAGGGAAGGGCCTGGGGACAGTCATAGCTGCAGAGCAAGACACTGTAGCTAGGGTTGGCACCTCCCTGAGGCCCGGTGGACATCCGGGTTCCGAGTATTTCCCGAGCTGCTCAGCTGTCTGCGGTAGTTTGCTTCCCTAGTTAATAGAGCTAAGGCAGCTTATTTTGAGCTTACTTTGGCTCTGGTGGCTCAATCCAGCTCTGTGGGTGCTTTGTACCTCCCCTCTGCCTCATCCAAGTTCAAGGCTGTGGGTGAGCTATACCTCCCAATACATGGGATTGAGACCCACCTTGCCACCTTAGGAAGGGCTGTGGCTTTGGATCTGAGGTTGCACAACCCTTCCTGGGTCCCCAAGTTGAGAGTCTCCTTTCTGTCGCAGCTCTCTTGGAGAAGCGTGGGCCCAGGTCAAGAAGAGTCTTGCAGACGAAGCAGAAGTTCACCTCAAGTTCTCTGCCAAGGTAACCCCTCGACAAGGTCCCACGCGGGGATATGCTGATACATGGGGTGCAAAGGTCTCTCCAGTTGGAATAGTGTTTGTCATTTTCCATGCATGGAGAACTTCCTTCTCAAATTCATGTCATCAGTGATGTTTGGAGGTGGGACCTTGGTTTGTAATGGATGACGGAGTCATGAAGGTGGGGCCCCCATGACGGGACAGGTGGCTTTGGAAGAAGAGACCTGAGCTGATGCTGTCACTCATACCTTCCACCACCTCCGGAGCCAGCGGGGGGGGGGGGGCTCACCAGATGCTGACCTCTGGATCTGGGCCTCCCCACGTTCCAGAGCTGTGATCTGCAGAAACCTGGATGCTTTACAAAGCCTGCTTTCCTACTATGGAGAAAGGCGGTGACCTAGGGGGTGAGAGAGCTTTGTAAAGAGTTGCAGTGGGAGGAAGAAGGTGCTATTACCAGTTCCTCCCTCTGCAGGACTTAGCGCCCAAGATCGTGTTGACACCCCCAAGTGAGAATTCCCGGCAGAGCTGTAGTACTCACCTCCTTATTCCAAGAACTTCACAGCAAATTATCCCTCCAGCTTGCAGGGAAGGGAGCTGCCTGATCAAAGCAGCAGGTTCTCCCCCTCAGGTCTCCCTCTGTCCTAACCCTGTGCAGTGCTGTCCTCTGGAGCAGCCTCGATCTCCACTGACCACGGGGATGAATGACAGGCAGCCCAGTTAGGGGGCCAGACCCGTGAGCCTCTGGAGGGCTTCTCTGCTCAGCTCCAGGGAATCATGGGTGGCATTTATGCCCCAATAGCAAGACCCCTAATTCTGATAGTTGAGACTGCTTAACAGGTACTTGTAGTAGTGACTGAGTCAGTGTACAGGGCGTAATTCATCCGCATGGTTTTATCAACCACCTTGCGTGACGGCAGTTCTGTTTCACAGATGACAGAGGAGACAGATTAAAGCTCAGCCCGTGGCCACACTGCTGTGTGGATTCAGCTATGGAGGAAGCAGAGGAGGAATAAGCAACGAGCAAACCTGACCCCTGGACCTTTGCTTCTGACATTACCCCTCTTCAACTTCTCAGTATGGGGGTACTTGCCCAGCATACAAAGCCCTGGGTTCCATCCCCAGTATCATAAACCAACAAAACCACAGAGCCCTGCTCCGGAGGCACACTCTGCCTTCCCAGGAAGTGCTTGGAGCAGAGGGCAGGCTGCCCTGCACAAGCTCGTGCCATTCGGGAAGCACTACGGACATCACCATGCAGCCACCCAGCGGCTGGTGGAGGCTTTGCTGCAGGTGCCTCTGTGCAATGGTCTAGCCGTCAGTGCTGGTGGCCTTCGGGCATCAGAGCAGCAGCCTGGTAGCTTCATGGCAATTCCTTGAGAAAAAAGGGGCTCCAGGGATTTTATGGCTAATAAGATCCCCTATGTGCAAATCCATTTTCATACCTGCTCCAGAAGGCATATTGAATTCCATTCTTCATGTTCAGTGTCAGGGCTAAAAAAGCTCTTTCAGAAATGCCTTTTGAAAATAACCTTCCCAGCTTTTCTAGCCCACCAGCTCAAGCCATCACTAATAGCAACAGGTTGCTCAAGAAATGAGATTGCTCTATTCAAAGGAAGTTATACCTGGCTTAAGTGGAAAAAGGGAAAATAGAAAAATGCCCTTCTGATGGGAGAAAATCTAACCATTCATTAGAACTCTGCATTCAATCAGAAGATTCTGGGCCCCGGAGGAGGCAGAGTGGTGAATTTCAGCTCCGTCCTATTGCTAACAAGCTTTTTGATCTTGGGCATCGCACAGACCCCACGGGGCTCTGTTTCTTCACATGTGAAGAATCTGGACAGATCAGTAGCTTCAAACTTGTCTGTTGCCCATAGGAATGGATTTCACACAGTCACCCAGGATGCAGACACCCACACATGTACGCACTCCGTGTCTACTTAGGGATATTCGCACAAGCATGCACCAAGGCAAGTATGTTGAGACGCAGTGCTCACCTTTCTGAAATGCTCTGCGATACTTTCTTTCCGAGTCTGGTCCCTTCTCATCAGAAGTTGGCCCTGACCCAGCCGGTTCATTTGACAACTCCTAGCCACTCACCATGTGAAAACTCCGTGGTGTGCTGCGCAGTCTTTAAAGTTGATTCCAACTTGGAATTTGTTTTACTCTTTTCCAGTGTGGGATGCAAAAATAGAGGAAGTGGAAAGAGCCGAGCTTTGGAAAGGAAACAGATCTGCCCCCAATGGCCAGTCCATCCAGGACAGGTCACACCGGTCCCCATGTCCACAAAGACACACTTCCAGGACTTCTGAGCCCCTCACTAGACAAAGATGCTTACAATCTAGGGATGAATATTATACTTAGCCAACTTTTTCTTTATTTAAAAAATCCTTTTAGAGAAAAAAATCATGTCTTTAAAAATAGTTTATATATAGTGAGAGAGGGAGGGGGTGTCCTTTATCTTGGGAACTGAATGACTTTTGCTATCCGGTAGCATGGTGTTTCCAGAGTGTCCCTTGGAGTTGGGGGAAAGCTTTCCGTGTACGATCACATTGCTGGACCCACCCTACACAGCAGAAGCTGAGGGACCCGGGGATCCTCTGTGCCAGATTCTAACCCTGATACATGGAGTCCAGAAAGCATTTGCTTTCCAGCCCCTTAGAAACAGACCCCAAAGTCCCAGAACCCTCAGGGACACCCATGAGGGTCTGGTTCCCTTAGCAGCTAAGTTTGAATTCCTCCCCCCCAGCAAATGCCTGACCTGAAACCCGCTGTCTTAGTGTTTTGCCTGTGGCTATATCTGAATAGCAGAGGCTGAGTACTATGTAAAGGACAGAAGTACGGGTCAGAGCACCTCTGGAACCTGGGAAGGCCAAAATCCAGAAGTCAGCGTCTGGTGAGAGCCCCTGCTGGCCCCAGAAGTGGTGGAAGGGACGAGTGACAGCATCAGCTCAGGTCTCTTCTTACAAAGCCACCTGTCCTGTCATGGGGCCCCCACCCTCATGACTCCATGTCATCCATTACAAACCAAAGGTCCCACCTGCACATACCGCCCAAGACATACGAACTTGAAAATGAAATTTTGGTGCGTGCAATTGAGGGGACCCATCAAGCCATAGTAATGGGAAAGAAATTCCTACTTATGAGGGCTCAAGTCATGTCTTATAAACTGCCATCAGATGGGGACGTTTTCTTATATAAGGACAGTTCCAGCAGTTTTAAATAAAATAATAATAGTCACAACCAGTGACACTGTGGGGCAGCGGGATGACCAGTTCTCTGAAAGTCTGTGAAGGTTCTTCAGCAGCAAAACTGTCCTCATGTCACCCAGGGAACTGGGCACCGAAATGTTTGTCATTCTCTCTCTGAGTAGTAAGGGGGTGCCTGTCCTGCCCCAGCTCTGGCTGGACACTGAAGTCAGCTCTGAGCAAGCCAGATGTGGCCCCGACCATGGTGATGCTGCCGTGTCACCCTGAATAAGAACACCTACATTCCTGTGGTCTCCAGAGAACAAGACAGTGCTACAGGAGGCTGGAGAGGAGGAGAGCAAATTCACAGTCTCCAAGCTGAGCTGTGATCTATCCAGGGAAACCGAGCCGTGCTCCTGGGGCACCGCCAGGACAGGTGGAGGCTGAATCAGAGGGCTGCTAGCAGCTCCGCCGTGAATTTACCGAGGCTCGGATGACGCCCATATCGTGTTTGTATCCCAGGCACCTGGACACAGCAGCTGATTAATAAATAGGAACGATCAGCGATCAGCTAGTTAAATGGCATCCTGCCCACTTGACTGCATGCGCCAGTCACTGTGATAAGTGCTTGGGGACACAGACAGGTGACATGGTTTCTGTCCCCAGGAAGCTCGTATACATGAGGCTGTGGGACACAAATAAGTGTGGAGACAGCGTGTTTGTTAATTAGCTGGGTTTAACCATAATGTCACGTGTACCGTGCTGACCGTGAGAGGCTGTCTAACATTCCCAGCAGTGGCGGAAACACCACAGCGATGGTCCATAAGTTTATACGGTGCCATGACCTCATATCCATTTTAGTGAGTCTACTCTGTGATGTCCCCATCTTTCAGTGACACGTATTTCAAAACATCGTGCTGTGCACCATAAATAGATGCAATAATTTTTTTTTGTCTTTTTGAGACAGTTTTACCTTGCAGTTCAGGCTAGCTTTGCATCACTTTGTAGCCTACAGGCTGGCCTCAGACTCACAGCAGTCCTCCTGCCTCAGCCTCCTGAGTGCTGCGATTACAGGCTTGTGCCACCATGCCCAGCAAAAAAATTTTTAAATAAAAAATTAAAGAGAAGCAGCTTCAGAAGCTTAGTGGAGGAAGGAGTCACTGCTGGGGGACCACAGTGCTGCCGGCTCTAACCCCTCACCCCCAGCTATGAAGGTTCCAGTCCTCCTGTCCCACACGCCACAGTCCACCTTCTCTGTCCCTGCTGGCCAGCCCTGAATGTGCCCTGTCTCTTCTCCTCCACAGCTCCACAGTGAGGTGGAGAAGCCCCTGATGAACTTCCGGGAGAACTTCAAGAAAGACATGAAAAAGTGTGATCACCACATCGCTGACCTCCGCAAGCAGCTGGCCAGCCGCTACGCCTCGGTGGAGAAGGTGAGAGGCCAGGCCTGTGCTGGAGGGGGACGGGGGCAGCCACCGCTGGGAGAGGGTGTGCTCTGTTACTGGGAGAGGTTTTGTTCCTGTGTGTGTGCTGGAACAAGAGAGGGGGAGGCCAAGCCTCTAGCTCTGCCCTGAGAACCCCACCCTCCAAAGGGCAGGCAGGAGCCTCTCTCCATGGCCTGAGAGCCAGTGGAAGCAAGGAGAGAATGCAGGGGCCACAGTGCCTGTTGTGAGCACCTGAGAACCCGCAGCCCAGGTCTTTGTGGATACGGAGTCTGAGGCGCTGCTGGTTCGCAGCTGACCCTGTGTCTGGGCCTGGCTGCAGATCACCCCCTCCCACATGCCCAGCAGTGGGCAGTGGTCAGAACTGGAGAGAATGCTTGTGTTCAGCGTGGTGAGGAAGAATGCCCTGTCCAGGGGCTGACCCCAGTGCCTCAGATCCACACCCTGGCCAGCTACCTCCACCAAATGAAGAGGAGCTGGAGGTGGCCAGTGGAGATGAACTGGATAAGGGCCCAGCAGGGGGATGGCGGGCACTTCTGGGGGAAGCCTGAGGGTTAAGGCTGGGGAATGGGGTAGCTGATGCTGCCAGCTGCTGCACGCTGCTGGGAGGTGACTTGGGTGACTTCAGTGGTCTCTTCCAATCCTGAGAGGCAGTGATTTTAGGACCTCTCTGTCCCCAATTCGGGTCCATGCACCAATGCATACATGGCCCGAGGGATTGATTTAGGTCACATCCAAGCAAGAAGGGACAGGGAGGAGCCTCTGTACCATCACAAATCAGCTGGGTGACCCTCAGACCCACAGCGCCATCATCCACACCAACAAAGATGAGGGACCCCTCCCGAGACAAGGGAAGCCAGGCCACACGGCCCGGAGGCCCCTGCCCACAGATTTTCATCCTGCCATTGGCCCGCAGGCCCGGAAAGCCCTCACTGAGCGGCAGAGAGACCTGGAGATGAAAACCCAGCAGCTGGAGATCAAGCTGAGCAACAAGACAGAAGAGGACATCAAGAAGGCGCGGAGGAAGTCCACCCAGGCTGGTGAGCTCTGGGCTACATCCAGCTGATCACAGGGGCACAGGGGAGGGGCTGGAGGTGGTGACCGGAGACCGTGACCCCAGAGGGTGCAGCTCTGCCTTGCAGGATGGCGACGGGCATGGTTCTTCCAGCATCTCTTACCATGTCCTGCCTTCTTGTCTCTCGGCCTCGTGTCCAGGGATCTCAAAGAGAGAAACTTAGGGGGTGGAGGAAAAGCAGGCCAGGCTGTTCCTGGGCCGTGCGGAGCTGGGTGACCCATCTCTGACCAGGCACCAAGAGCACAGGGCCCTATCCCTGCCTGGAACCCACAGAACTGAAAATCCCAACCCGCCCCACCTCCAGAGGGAGAAAGGAGCAATGCTCTGAAGGCTGAGCTACAGGAGTGAGGTCTCCCCACCCCAAAAACAGCGGTAACAACTTGTTCACAGAGCCCAGCTTCAGATACGCCCACTTGCCCTCTGTGAGTTGGTGTCTGCTGCCACCTAGTGGTAAAAATTAGCTCATATACAAGGAAGAGAAGAAAAAAGTCCTGTTAAAACCAATAAAAACACTCAGCAACTATTTATAAATGAAACTACATTTTATGATACACAAGGACAATGCATATTAAAATGTGCACTGTGGAATTTGAGGTTAGGTGGCCTTTATGCATCTCAGCTTCTGGGCAACTTGGTACAATTTCATTACAGAATGAAGAAATCACCTTATAGATATTTTGGAAAGAAACGGGGCCAAAATAAATAAATGACATTAATATGGCGTAAGAATACCACTTAATCCAGGCATGATGGCACACGCCGGTAATCTTAGCACTCAGGAGGCTGAAGCAGGAGGGTCGCTGTGAGTTCAAGACCAGCCTGGGCTACAAAGTAAATCCAAGACCAGCCTGAACTGCATAGTGAGACCCTGTCTCAAAAAGACCCCCTCAAAAATGTCATTTAATATATAGCTCTTATAGTGTATGATAGTACATTGCTGGGGTCAGAAGCTTTAGTATAAATCAATAATATATTTATTGAGTTTGGAAGGGGAACTGAGAAAGGCTGCATTTAAATAAGTTTATTGAATGTGTTGCAAAACAATTATTGGTACCTGCTCAGTAATCAGCACACGAGGATATGAAGGTTATTTGCCAGAAATAACCACCATCTGTATTTCCTGCTGTTTTGATATTTTAAAAACAATATTTTATATAAATTAGATCATATTATGCTCTCCTGAGTTTACTATTAATTGTGATATGTTAGAATAATCCTATTTCATTCCCTCTACGTAGGTTTATGTATCCCTTCATGTATACTAGACTTTTTAACATCTGACCGGTGTTTAATTGTATGATTGTATCCAGATTCATTTCATTGCTTTCCTGGTTGATTTTTGGATCTGGGAGAGTGTTTCAGAATGTTCCCCGAGGCCAGCAATGATGCATTAGTGTAACTGTGTGTGGAGAGGACCAGATCTGCACAGGGAGAGGGTGCAGACGCTGGTCAAAAGATTTCATTCAGTTTGATGTATATTTCTAAATTCTTTCCAGACATGGTACCCACCAACAGCGGGTATGATACCTGTTTCTTAGACTTGCATCAGCATTGCCTGTTACCAAAATTTAAAGTCATTGGTGTGCTAGGAAAAAACAAAACAAAGAACCCCAGTAATTTATTTTTGATTTGTTTTTCTCTGTAAGTAGGATTGAGCCTTTTTAAAATGTACTTATAAATCATGTGGGTTTTTTTTTCCTGCAGACTGAATAACTCACTATTATCTTCTCCCTTTTTCTTGTTCAGTGGTTGTTCTTCTTAATGACTGATCTATAAGGATTCTTGGGTTTTTGTTTGTTTTTGAGCTAGGTAGTTCACACTGGTCTTGAACTCACTATGTAGCTCAGGCTGACCTCGAACTTACGGCCGCTCTCTTGGTCCAGCCTCCTGAGTGCTGGGATTACAGAAATGCACCAGTTAATTCTTAGACATTCAGACTGCAGATATTTTACCCTTTATCTTTTCATTTCATTCATTGTGATCATGCTTTTGTTTGTTTGCTGACTTTCGTTACTTTTTTTCTATGTAGTGGTCTTTTCTCTATGGTAGGTGTGACTTAGAAATTCCTTTCCTGTTCTGAGGGTTTTTTTTTAAAGTCAAACTCGTTTTCTTTTTGTAATGTTTTTGTGCATGGAAGGCAGGGCCCGTGTGTTTAGTTTTGTTCTGGTTTGGCTCTGATCTGTAGTATTTTCATGCCTGCCATTTTCAAGGCATTTCACTGTTTAGGTTTCGAGTTTATCTTTGTGATAAGACATGTCTCAGAGGAAATCTTTGACCAAGGGATTTGTTACTACTCAGATAAAAGGATCTCTTGTTCCTCTTTGAAATTATTTTGCATTGAAAGAGCCAAGTCCTTAGAGTGACTATAAAAAATACTACCCTTACTTGGGGGTGTAGCTCAGTAGTAGAGCGCTGGACTCATCCCCCCACGGCAAAATAAACACACCAAAACTACCTTTATTGAGCACTTAACTACATGCCAGGCCTAGCTCCAGGTCTCACAGCCTTGTCCCTTAATCTCCAGAGGACCCCACCATAAAGAGGTTGCTCAGAAAACTCCACAGCTTCCTTCTTCCCGGTCCTATGTCTCCCTCTCCCTCATCATCTGCGAGGTTTCTGGAAAGCAGGGGATCAGGATCATCACGGTATAACTTTAAGTCATCATAATCATCGTCACTGTAGCTCACGTTGAGTATTTTGCAGTCTCTGCAAGTCTCCGTCCTGAGCACTGGGCATACTCGACGTGCTCAATCTTTACAGTGACCTTGAGAGCACAGCCTTGGTGTCCATTGTACAGCTGATAGATGCAGGGCCACGGCACACGGCCAGGGTTTCCATGATCGGGGTTACACTTCGAAGGCCAGTGGAGTGAGCGTGACAGGCCGGCTGTCCTGGTTCTCAAGGGACACTGCTGGGGCGGGGTCTGTTTCTAACCCTTGAGCTGCCCTCAAGAGCAGACGCCCTCAGCCTGCTGCTTCCTGCATTGCGGAAGTCCCCGCAGCATGTTCTCTAAATCAGGCTCAGTAGTTCAGGCTCCAGAGCTTCATGTCTGTTCCTTCCCAGGTGACACAGTCACCTCAGCCCCAGCAGGCATGTACTCTTGCTGGACAGCGTTTGCAGAGAAATCCGCTCCTTCCTGCAGCTCAGTGCCTCTTGGGGTCAAAGGCCCAGTCCGTGGCCGTGAACCACGACCAAAAGAAGCAAAGCCCTCGATCTGGGCTGTGTTCCTCAGGACTCAGCCCTTGTGCTGTGCAGCCACACATCGCCACCAAGCGACAGAGGTGGTGGTGTGGCCAGGCGTGGGGAACAGAGTTACGCAGGAGGCCCTGGGGTGCATGGGCACTGCTCTCTTCCTTAGGAGGAGGCACTGTGATGCCACAGGAGGAACTTGGTGTCTGTTTGAGTCACCAGGGTTCCTAGAGTCCCCTCCAGAATGACTGGCGTGACGACGTTAGCTTTGGGGTTGGCCCATGTGCTTTTCGGACCCTGACCTAGGACCAGGACACCATCTCCTCCATGCAGCCACCATGACAATACTCTGAAAGCTACTTTTAGGCAAAGCTGGGTGGCACAGCGGTGTCTCCTCCAGCCACAAGCTCACCGGCATCACCAGAGCTGCTGCTGACGCCGCAGTTTCTGCCCCAGCAGCTCCGGGGCGGATTCTGGCTTGTTGCATTTCCCGCCCACTTCTGGGGCTGCTGATGCTGCCGGTCCACAGACTGGGATTGCATAGCAAGGCTCCAAGGCGCAGAGACACCTGACAATGTTTGCAGTTAGTTCTCCGGTAGTCCTGGTTCCAACGACAGAGTGTTTCAAACATGCATGTGATTATGGGGAGGGATAGAGTAGCTGAGCCCTCAAGAGTTAATAGTCACATTTGTTCAGATCTTTCATTACAAAATAGAATACAGTAGAAGGAGCTAATCTCCCCTTCCACGTTCCCCAAGGCCACTGCTCTTCTGAGGTTGGTGTGGAACACGTTAGCAGAGGTTTTGTCCTGTTTTGACACAGGGAATGGGCCATCACCACCAGGCACATTATCCTGTGATTCAGGGTGATATGCTGTTACACACACACACACACACACACACACACACACACGACTTGCAGACATCTCTCCTTTAATTAGCACTGAGCTGCATATGTTTTAATGAATCAGGAGGCTCCAGTGTAAATGCATACTACCAAAATATTTCTTAAACTCGTGCCAGAGCCTGGGGTTGGGGTCATTCCTTGGTGTATACACTCTTCCTGAGAAACCCCTCTGAAATTCTTGGTCTCTGAGGTTGAGTTCAGACTGATGTTTTAAGATTAGTTTCCTGGGGTGCTGGGTCACCCCCTCGCTTCCTTGCCCTGCTCCCCTCTTCTTCCCATCTCATCCCTCAACTTCCCAGTGGCTTCCAGGACCATAGGGGAGGAGAGGGCAGGCCACCAAGGCCACAGAAGGAAAGAACAAGCGGATGTCCCATGATGCTGGCTGTTGGCTTTTCCAGGAGACGACCTCATGCGCTGTGTGGACCTCTACAACCAGGCCCAGTCCAAGTGGTTTGAAGAGATGGTGACCACCACGTTGGTATGTGGCCAGAGGGGCCAGAGGGGTGTGAAGATGCCAGTACAGGGGGGCCCTCGGCAGGGGTGGTGGGCACAGAGGGATGGAGGTGACCACAGAGGTGTCATTAGATCTGTTCCAAGGTTAGAGTCAAGACTGCACCCTGGGTCTGTCTGTGCATTCAAGGGCCTGGACAAGGGCCAGCACTGCTGTACCCAACTCAGGCTCTGCACTGAGGGTCTGCTGTCCAACAGACAATGCCCTGAGCAGACCCTTAAGGTGAACGTTCACCCCACCCCCGTACATGCACACAGGAGAGTCGCAGGCAGACACATGTGCAGGTGCTGGGCAGGGGAAAGGCACGGAGTCTCACCAAAGCAGCGGACCCCAAAGATGCTCCACGGAGAGCTGCGTTACAAGGGGCAGCGCCTCCTCGTGGGTCAGACCTGCCTGGGTAGGAAAGTGTGACTGCTACTGGGGCCACACGGAGAGGGACAGTGCTGCTTATCCTGCTGACCCGCTGCCCAGGGCCACCCGCTGTCCATCCAGCATGCAGCCAGGCAGCTGCCTTCCCCAGGCGTTAGCCCACCAGGGCTGATTAGAGGCCTCTACCAGGGCCAGTGACCCGGTTTTCCTGCCTAATCCCCTAATTAAGCCCCCCGCTTTGCCCCACTTCCCGGTTAATCACCTGGGCTGTGACCTAGTTAGCACAAAGTAACAGTATAATCCCTTAAATTCCAAAGACGAGGAACTATTTAGAAACCAAAGGACAAGCCCTGTCCACGCTTCCATTCAGGAACCGACTGCTCCCCTTCCTGACTGTCCCCACCTGGCCTCTTCTCTGTCCCTCGGCACGAGAGTGGACAGAGGAGGGAGGTTGCCCAGAAGGGCCTCAAGGACACAGACGTCAGAGTTTGAGAGGCCCAGTGCTCCACCACAGCGGGGTACCGGGGCACTAGATCTGGGGCTGTGCTGCTGTAGAATCACGATTAAGAACGTGATAGACTCTGGTTTAAATCCTGCTCCTTAATTCCGTGTCACCTTGGCCAAGTGACATTCTCTCTAGGTGATAGTTTCCTGGCTTGGAAAGCTGGGAATATTACAAAGCTTCTTTCTTTGAGTGAAGACCTCCCATCTGTGGAGGGTTTTCTCCTGATGCCTGACCGAGTGGACTTTCAGGAAATAAAGGTCTAGCTTCTGCCGTACCTCACCTTCACCCCAGAAATAGTGCTGGGGTTCATTGGAGCTCAGAGGGTCAGCTGGGGTTGACGTCATCAGCTGGGGACTTGTGTTTTGGATGCATGGCAGGCTGGGACCCGCTGAGTGGGGAGGTCCCCAAGTTGGGGGGGGTGCACTCAGAGGTCGCTGGTCTCTTCTTCCCTGGCAGGAGCTGGAGCGGCTGGAGGTGGAGAGGGTAGAGATGATCCGGCAGCATCTGTGCCAGTACACACAGCTGCGGCATGAGACAGACATGTTCAACCAAAGCGTGAGTCCCTACCCGCAGGCTGAGGCCAGCAGGATCCTCAGAGGCAAGGGGCCAGGGGCAACCACCAGGCACTACGCCGTGGCAGTTTAAGTGGCTTCTACAAACCAACCCATCCTACCCTGGGCAGGGGCAGGTGTACCTGCTCATGAGTGACATCTGGGGGCTACCCTGGGTGACCACATGATTGTTCCCCAGTACATGGGACAGACGCTCCCTTTAGCTGTGGAAACTGATACAGTCAATGAGCAGACAATACTGTTTCTCTTGATGAATTTCTCAAAAAAAATAAATAAATAAATAAATACAACTCACAAATATCCAAAAAGTGTGACCTGCTCTGGGCTCCAGCTGCTCCTCCTGTCCTTCAGAGGAGCGCCTGCCATGAAACCTTCTAGAAAGGCTGCTCTGAGCAATACCCATTCAAGTACAGCATGACATCTTTTGACAGTGTCCCCTCTTCTCTGTCCCTTGCAGACAGTCGAGCCTGTGGACCAACTACTTCGAAAAGTGGACCCGGCCAAAGACAGGGAGCTGTGGGTCAGAGAGCACAAAACGGGCAACATTCGCCCTGTGGACATGGAGATCTAGACACGCCTGGGCGGCCCTCGGGGTCCTCCCAGGAGAGGGGCTGGGGTCCCAGCGAGGGGATGGAGGCCCCACTGGGCAGAGCTGTCCTCCTACCCAATCTCCTGGTCCATTGAGGAGAGGGGGAAAAGCTGGTGATTCCAGAAAGACGACCGGACAGCCCAGCTGGGGTTTCCCCAGCATCCCCTGCCCAGACGACCTTGGACCCGCAACCCTGCCCTTGTCTCTGAGCCCCCCAACTCCCATGCTGTGCTTGCTGCTCTGAGAACAAACTGAGGCTGGAAATCTGTGGTCCCTGCTGAACTCCACGGGGTGACTGTTGTAGCATATGTTCCTGGATGCCCCAAAGGCTGTCCTCCAGCTGCCCACCTTGTCTGCAGGGCTTTGGAAGATCGGGGAGGGATATCTGTGTCCAAGCCGGGGTCAGGCTCAGAATTGTGACTACAAGGAGCCCTTTGATTTACAGCCCTCACCCAAAATCCTTTGCGGCCCTCCCTGTCTTTTCCAGTTGCATTCTGGGAACCCACCTCTGAATTTCTTGACTGCTTTTCATCCCTAGCAGGCTTGGGAAGAAGGCTTGGCTTCTCTCTTCCCAGACCTACCCTGCCTGGATGGGTCAGGATGGAACTACCTCATTTGGCAAATTAGCCCCAATTTGGAGCATTAAATCATGGCTCCTCTCAGATCAGGCATTGTCTGTAAAATCTCCCCCAGGAAACCCCAAGCCACCCTGCCCTCCCCTGCCTTCTGAAGTACACCCTCTGCCCCATCCCGCCACCCCATCCCAGTCTCAGGAGAGGAAGTTTTCTGAAGTTCTCAGCCAGCAACATCTCATCCAGCTATGTGCGTGTCCATGGAAGCAAACCAGCTCATCCCAGAAACCAGCCAGCCACAGGAGGTCTGCAGGGTCTGTCTGTCCACTGCCCTCTGCATCCCTGGGCCACCCTTGCCTCTGCTGCCCCAGGCTGCTCACCGCAGTGTCATGGGGCCGGGCAGTCCCCATGAGAGACAGGTCACGCCAAGTCTAGGCCATCTCCAGATGGCTCGGTCTGCTTGTGCACAGGGGTTTGGGAATGCTGGCCCTTGTTCAGGCACTGGACAAACACTGCAGACTCTCCCACGACTGCAGTAAGGCATTAACACCAGGCAGTGTCACAGTGCAGGGCCTCATGGGGCACCAGCGCCTCCTTCCACTCTGCCCATCTTCCCTGGAGACCTGGGGGCTCTCAGCACTGCCACAGGGTCCACCTCCTCTCTTCTTTCCTTCCTCCGGTACAAATGTGTTCTTGGCCATGGTAATCTAGAGAATCTGTCTGAGGCAGACAGGGGTGGGGGTATTAGATGTCTCGTAGAGATGAGGGCAGATTCCAGCTGCAAGCAGGTGCCCTGAGCACCCATCTTCCCACGTCTTTCCCACCGATGACTTTGCCTTTGACTGTATACCTCCCGTAAGGGCCAAATCCTGTGACCCCAGCTCACCGATCTCCCCCACCTTCCCTGCCAGTGACGGAGGACTTCTGATTCTCGGGTCTTTGGGCACTTCCTTTAGTTCACATCAGAAAGATGTCCAGTCCACTAAACTGTCATTTTCCTTACTGAAACATTCCAGCCCCAGAGGCCAGCGTTCCGGTGTCCACCAGGCTGCAGGCTGGCGTCTGTCCGTCTGTCCGTGTGGTGGAGAATCAGCCCCTGCGGTTACTCCCTCTAGACCTGGGCTTGGGCTCGGATACCAGCTACTAACTTTAAGATACTGTTTCTTGATTTCTTCATTAAAAACGGGTGCTAGCGGTAATTGCCTTGTGGCTCAGTAAACGAATCTGGAGGTGATTTTCAAGCGTTCAAAGCCAACAGCCTTGTTATTGACACAGGTATTTTGAGTGCGATGTGGCTCACCGACCGTCTCCTCTCTTCTGTGTAAGGGTTCCCGCATGCTCTGGCGCTAGGATGGAGGAGGCTCCTGCTCCTTCCGGAGTACCCCGAATTGGCCATCCTTCCAGAAGTCCATCTTCCCCCCTTAATCCCTACCCCTCATCGCTTGAGCTCATTCACATACACCTGTTCTTTTTTCCCCCCCAACTCTCTGTTCACCCATCAAGCATTTAGTTAAGGTCGAGCCACGTGCCAGGATCCAGTTTGACAATGAGCTCTGTGGTGGAGAAACCCGGGAGCTTGGTTGGCGTAGGTGTGTCTTTTCCCCAGTGGCCTGGCAGGTGGCTGAGTGGCGTCGGTGTAAAGGCATCTCCAAACTGAGGCGCTCAAGGCACTGTGTGTTGTGCTGAGTGTTGCAACCTAGATGCAAAAGATGAACACCATGTCTGTCCCCGCTGTCCCTGTGGACAGGGGAACATTTACAGCTCTCTAGAGAGGAAAAATCTCACTCATCTCCCATATCTACCCAGTGAGATTCTTGAATCAGAAACTACTGCCGCGAGCTCATGGCAACACCTAGATTTCCATCGCCTGGTCACCAGACCCTCATGGTGTAGACCCAGCTCTGGTCGGTTTCACAGATTTCTTTTGTTGGCTTCCAATAACTCTCCTTGCAGTACCAGAGAGGAGGAATGAAGCCCAAGCATAGCCAGAGGGTGCCGGGAACAGCATGGGGAGTCAGATTCAACCCTATTAACAGGACCCCTCCAGCAATGGGTAAAATCAAGATTAGGATGAAGTCTAGAAAATCTAAAATGTACCCTGGAGTAAGAATCTCGGTACCCAGGTGGCACAGTCTGTTTTTAAGGTGCTGGGATGGAACCCAGGGCCTCGCGTGTATTAGACAAGCACCTCCGGCTCTGTTGGGCATAGCTTCATGTGTGTCTTGCTGCTCAGGTTATGACAGGATTTGCTGGGGTTATTCAGGGTGAGGATACAGCCGTTGTCCGATGTCTGAGACCAGCTTAGCCCCCCTACCCGCTGCCACCTGGGAGACCTAATCACAAGTTTGTCCACGAAAGCCTGATGTGTTTGTTAATTGTTTTGGTTTTGTGGTGCTGGAGACTGAACCCAGCCCAAACTCGCACTAGGCAAGTGCTCTACGACTGAGGTACGTCCTCGCCCCAAAAACTTGTTTAAAAAAATCTCTAAGATGAACGATGTGCCAAGTGGCCAGTTGCCATGACAACCTCTAGGAAAAGCCAGCTGTCACCCTTTTATTTTCCTTCTACCTGCTTTTGGGCAGCACTGCAATGCACAGGCTGTTTCAGGGGGACCACGGGGTCCTCTTCCTACCTCCACCCCGTGGCCTGTTGACCTCGGGGGATTTCTACAATAGCAGAGACTTCTCTACCTGGCAAGGCTAATGATGGAAACAACAGAAACTATGTGAATTCATGACCAGGGATCTGTTTCTATTCCCTTTGAGAAAACCAACCAATTGCCAGGTTAGCAGATGGCTGCGTAAAAATCCTGGCTGAGCCAAAGTCCCTTCTTGGAACTATAAAAGCCATCAAATGCAAAGCACATCAAAGATCATGGCTCATTTAGATTTTACCCCAGTTGCAAGTAACCGTGATGCAGGACTCAGGACCTGTTCGTGCTTCTGTAGACAGAGGAAAGCCCTTGACAAGTGTCAGGTGGGGGACAGAGCAGCAGCCCACTGGTCGCACCCGGTCACCGTTTCATTCTTATGGTTCTTCCTCCCACCACCACATGACTCACAGCCACCTTTTTCCAGGATGGTGGAGGTGGAGCTGACCTGGTAATGTTTGCCCCTTGGAAGTGTGAATTTTGGTACTTATGTGGTCTTGTAACCATTACCAAAATCCAGATAAGATTCACACCCCCTACTGTGGCCAGTTTTTTCTTCCCACCTCTGACCAAGCAAGTGGAGTCACACCGATGATGAAGCCTTTTGTGGCCTATGATATTGTAGGTGACAGTCGTGTGTCCCTTTTCATCGCTGAGTAGTATTCCATCGTATCAGGCGGTCCACAGTGCTTTCTTGTTTTGTAGTGAACCATTGGGCCTGGCAGTTCATGGCCTAGCATCTTCGTTTGGTTTGCATCCCACCCCACCTCTCCCTGCAGCTCCCAAGGCTCTCTTCCAAATGCCAGCCATGCCCACAAGTGGTTCTTGGCATTTACACTCACCTTTTTGGTCCGTGTTAGGTTTTTTCCAGTGCAGCAAGCAGCCAGAGCTTGGAGGGACAGTGGCAGATAGGGTCAGACACAGCTGCCTTTCAGATCTGCAACCCGAAGCTTGCATCCCAGCTAGAAGATCCACACCCTTCCGTACGCTCACCGTAGGCTCTGTGTTCCCTGCATTCACTCGGTGTTGGGGCTGTGAGGGGCCAGTGGTGGCCCTTGACACACCATGATCTCCGTGCCAGTGGCTTGCTGTGCCAGCTGAGGGAACTTGTTCTAGGTGGGCTCTTGGACCTCTCAGTACTGTGTTCTGTGTCCTCCCCATCTTGTTTTCTGGTTGGTACCCCCTGCACATGGTCATACCTAACCTGCATGTCATCTGCACAGCTGCCTAGAGTTGCCTACAACCCTTGTGGGGGGCACCTCTCCATTTAGGCTGAAACGGAACCACAGAATTTCATGAGCTAAGAATGAGACCAATCCTAGGACCTCCCCACTGAAAGATAAATTATATGTTGTTATCTTTGGGATCTGTCCTCAAGAGCCAGGCCACGCATACATACAGATGGTGTCACCTTGGTGGAATCCTAGTTCTGGACCTTGCTCAGCTGGTGGTCACTCTGACCCTGGCCTGTGCCTACAGCCAACTAGGAAGCAGTAGATGGCAACAGGCATACGACTGAATTTAGGCAAGTCCAGGCCAGGCTGTGAGTGTGACCCCAGTGTCCTCCAAGATACGTCTTGATCATGGCCTGCTCAGTGGAAGACACCTGAAAGTCCCTCCACGTGAACTGGGGACATTGCTGGGTTAAGGCCAGATATCTCCAGAGCCCATAGGATCCTGGGTAGAATAGTTCCCGGAGGACTGGACGTTGCCAGGGAGGACTCCACCTCCCCTCACCTGCCAGGAGTGTTGTTTCTGATGGGACCATACTGAAGGAGAGAGGCCAGACTCAGCAGCTTGAGTCAGGGTAGAAAGAACTGATCAAACCTATGCGCCATTCCCCACTGCTAGGTGCTGGGATGGCTGTCAGGAGAGGGTGGACAGTGTCTTGAGTGGGTGGGGCCTGCTTTGGATACCCTGAATGATGTAGGGGACATTGGTCCTTGGTGTTTGGGCCAGTTTCTAGTTGGACTGTGGTGGGTGGGATGTGCAGGCTGAGGTCCAGGGTGTTCTCACAGGGACAGTGTTACATGGGGGTACAGAGGAAAAGCCTGTGGCACTAGAGAAAGCCAGGACTGGCCTGCCCAGCTGCCTCATTTCCCTGTACCCTAAAACCAGACCTTATATACTCATGTTAAGGGGGGGTGCTTCCCTCTCTGCACCTCCCTTGGCAGACAGACCCCCCAGCATTGTGGCGTTCAGGCAGCTCTGTGTGGACCCAGATATTCCAAGGGACACCAGCCATCCTGGGTGATAGGGCCCCCAAATTTGGGTCTCTTCCCTTTCCGTAAGAAGGAGATGACCAGAGGCATTCCCTTCACGGACACAAGCACATCAGCAAGCCCTATGAAAGTGGAATTTTCTAACAAAATAAACCTGCTTGTCCAGTCTGTTTTCTGTAACTTTTGCTAAATACTTTATACATTTTTTTAATGTTACAAAGCGGTGTCTCCTGCCAGCATTCCCCGCTCTGGTATGAATGTGTTTACTCTACGGTGTATATCCTTTCCTCCTCTGGCTGCCTAGGTCAGTAAATAAAATCGATGTAATATAATTTATAAGTAACACTGTTGCAAATCTGATCCCCATGGAGGCTGTAACCTGCCCCTCCCCACCCAGTAATAGTATTCGTGTGTATTAATGCTGAAGAATTAAACGTTTCAAGAGTTTAAATTTTGAAGGCGTTTACTATATATAATTGTCCCGCATCAATATAAAGTGTTTTCAGGACGATTACTGCTCTCACTTTTCCCCTGCAGCTCTGTATGTACATTTGAGATGCTGAGATTCATCCCATGTAAAATAAACTGTCCAGAGACTTTGCTTTCTAGAAGGCTGCCACGGTGTCCGTTGAGGGGTTGGTCACAAAGGGCTGCTGGTCATTCCACTTCTGATGACAGGCGGGACAGCGGGCAGCTGGATGATGGTCCCTAGGTGGACCCTGTGTGCTGGCCCTAGCCCCGACCTCTGCTGACTTCCTGTCTGCCTGAGTTCCAGCCCTCCGCTTCCCTTCTGTAGCTGCTGGCCGTTCTTTTCTACTCGTCCATTTATTCCTCCAACACTCACCGAGCATCTCTCATATGCCAGACAGTGCTCTGAGCCAGCAAAGCACACCAGTGACTGAGACACTGGGCGCCCTGCCTTTGCAGAGCTTGTGTTTAGTAGGGACAGAGACAGAAGAAGCTGGAGACCTAATAACTGTGTCCTACTGTCCGGGTGCAGACGAGACGACGTGTTGAGCAAACAGGACAAAGCTGAAGGCCTGGGTGGGGAAGCTGCTATGGTACCCAGGAGAGGGGCGTGACCTTGGGAAGGTGGCATCTGATCGCACACAGACCTGTCGGGTCACGGGGGAAGGTTCTGGCCAGAGTAACGGCTCGAGGCCAGTGTGGCCGGCACGGATGGAGGCGTGAGGAGAAGGGAGCAGGTGAGCTCAGGGAGGTGGCCGTGGGACGGTGCTGGCCATCACGGGGCTCTGAGATGTATCACGGGGATCCATGTGCACAGCCCGATGTCGTGCAGGTGGGGCAGAGGTGGTGCTCCCTGGAGAGGGCACATGCCAAGGCAGGCGGGGCAGCCAGGTGCCAGGGTGATGACAGGAGGGAGTGGGAAGTGCTGAGGAGGACGCCAGGGGTGTTCACCCAAAGGATGGGCAGCTATTTTCAGCAAGCAGGTGGCCGGCAAGCTGTCTCCCCTCTCAGGGCAGGGCTTTCTGCAGCCAGGAGGCTCCCGCTGTCCTTAGATCGTGGCAGAGGAAGTGGAGGAACGGGGCAAAGGCGGGGGCCTGAGCCCAAGGAACAGCCAAGACCAGGGTCCTGTTCGAGGACGACGGGCCCGGCCTCCTGCAAGCGTTTGCTTCTTCTGGTCCCGGCCAGACTGGCAGGTGGGAGATGCAAGCAGCCCTCTCCCCACAGTGGCAGCTAGCAGCAGTCTTTGGGGTGCTGGAGGGTTGATGGCCCCGGCTCAGACTTAACAAATCCACTCACTACACATCATCTGCTGCAACTTGTTTGGCTAAGAAGCATGAGGTCTCCCTCTGATAGAAGATGTTTACGCAGGTTTTCAAACAAACGTCCAGGTCATGACCCCTCAGCATCAACACAGCTGCCTGAAGTCCCCTCCCTGGGTCCCCTCTGGGGGAGAGGGACTTCTCTGGGCACAGCAAGCTGAAGGATATGGGCTGTACTGCACCGCTTCTGACCCTCTTTCCTCCTCACCCCAGGAAGGGAAAGAAAAACTTGGGGGTGAGGGGTGGGGCTGGCAGTCTCCTGTTAAACCCAAGGTCATGTGTCCCTTCACCTATGACCTTTTCTGTTGCCATGGTGGCCCCAGATCTTTACCTACAGACATGGAGATCTTGGTACCCTCACAAGGCCTTCTTGGAAAGAGGCAGTGAACGAAGCCCAGAACAGGCAGCGGGCAGAGCTGAACTCTCCTGGCTTGGTCACCAAGCACCTGTGTGACCAGGCCGGAGACCTGTCTTGGAGCCCCCAGTGACACTGGCCTTACCTCATGCACAGTCTTGATACAGACAGATCTGGCATCTAGAGACACTTCTCACAATACACCCAAGGCTCAGAGCCAGGGCCAGGATCTCTGCCAAAAATCACCTTTTTACTCCTCCCTAACCCCCAAGACTGCACTAGGCTGCATCGAGGCTCCATACATGAATGTGAAAAAGTTAAAAAACAGAACACACACACACACACACACACACACACACACACACACACACACACACACGAAGGTTTCCTGAGAACTCTGGAAATGTATTGGATAGGTTATACCAGAAGACTAGATCAGCTCTTGGATACTTGAACTTCTAGGTCCTTCCAGGCCCTTCCTGAGTAAGGTCAAGGTGGGGGGCATGATTGGATAAGTATTTCTCAAAGGCCCACGTGTAAAAGGTCTGGGAACCAGCTGTGGTGCTACTGGGACCATTTCGGGGTGGGGGGTGTCCAGTGACAGGAAGTTAGGTCACTAGGGGTGTGCCCATGATGGAAGCCAGGACACACAGGACCTATTTCTTTCTTTCTTTCTTTTTTTTTTTTTGTCTTTGTCCTTTTTATCGGTACCAGGAATCAAACTCACAACTGCCTGCTTGCAAGGCAGGCGCTTATGCCGCTGAGCTAAATCCCCAGCCAACACAGGACCTTTTCTGTCTCTTCATCTTCTGCTTCCTGACCACGAGGTGCTAGCTCTGCCTCACATTCTGCTTTGCGATGAGCTGCCCCAGGCCAGAAGCAATGGGACCGGCTGGCTGTGAACCAAAGCCCCCAACTTGTGGGTCACAATCAGTCCTTCCTCTGTTTTGATTATCTCAGGAATTCTGTCACAGTCAGGGGCCTGGTGGCTTTCTCTCAGCAGTGAGACCTTGTTTTGCCCATCATAGCCCTTTAGGTATTGGGGCACAAACCCCACTTACTGCCTCAAGATGGCAAGATGGGCATGATTCTCAGCCCCAGCAGGGAGGAAACAGCTTCCTAAGGCAGAGGACCAGGCTGCAGCCCAGGTGTGGCCCCCTCCTGCAGTGCTCAGCTAAGCCAAGCCTGCTGCAGCCTTCCCACTAGGTGACAAGAATTCAGGGGGGCACAATGTGCCCGGGGGCTCCCCTGGTGCTCTGTGCTTGTCCCCAGCTGCAGCATGCTCCAAGCCCCCCTTGTTCCTGCCCCATTTTTTTATCCATCTACTTACTCAGAAAATACATGGCCCTGCCTACTAGACCCCAGCACCACGCTGATGCAAAACACAACCTTCAGGCTGGAGCTAAGCCACAGGTGTATGCCCACATCATTTTTGTTAATTTTTTAATTAATTGCCAGAGTTTTAAAGTGTGGACATTGATTTCTGGATTTCCTTGTTATCGATGAATGATTAGGAAAATGGATATGGGTGCACCTCAGCTGACAATGAGGGTTACACACCATAAACCTACTATAAATGAAAACTCTCATGGGTCAAAAGTGTGTTAAATGCACTTAAGCTACTGAGCCATAGATTAACCTCACCTACCTTAAACAAGCTCAGAACACTTGCTTTAGCCTATGATTGGGCAAAATCCTCTAACACAGAGCTGGTTTATATTAAAGAGTTGTATATCTCATGCAGTTTATTGAATACTCTACCAAAACTGACAAAGAGTGGTGGATTTGGCACCACTGGAAAACAAATTGTACTGCAGGTGGATCCATCCTAAATCCAGGTCTGTAGGTACCGAGCACTTGTGGGCTAGGATTGGTTTATTCTACTCTATGGCACACGTTGAGTCGTTATGGCCTCATAATAACAACCAGGTGGACAATATTCTGCCTGTTCACCCAACAAATATTTATCGAGAGCCCAGACATGTCAGGCCCTATTCTGGCAATGCAGATGCAGCCAGAAGCATCATGAAATCACTTCCTTTCTGGAACAGGCCCTCTGGTGAGGGCAGTTTGGAGCATGTCCATGGAGGTGGGGTGGACATGGGAACTGTGCGGTTGGAATCAGAGAGGTCAGAATGGGTCTTGGTCGGAAGGTGACATTTAAGCCAAAAGGTGACCAAGGCAAGGGAGGAAGAGAACCTCTCAGCCAAAGAGAGGTTAATAAACATGTGCGCTCCTGTGACCCCAGCTACTCAGTAGGCTGCAGTGGGAGGGGGGCTGCAAGTCTAAGCTCAACCTGGGCAATCTGTAAAGATCCCATCTCAAGGCAGCCAGGGAAGTGGCAAAGCTGGGGTGCGAGCCCTGACTGGCTCCAGAGTCTGAGCTCTTAACCACAGCCCTGCAAGTATCCACCTGAGATGCCGCCACCCTGAGCAGAGACACAGAGTTAGTGCAGAGGACAAGCCCGGGCCACCACAGCACTTAGAGGGCCGGAGTGGGGCTAATGGGACACCCTGGCTCCAGGGTCCCACCTCCTTCCTCTCCTCCTGGAAGCCAAGATGATTCGTTCACCTGCGCTCAGCTCTTTGTTTTAATCTCTAGAGGGTTCTGCAAGCTCCCGGCCCCTCCTCCCTGCAAGAGCTGAGAGCTGGCCATAAATCCCTCTAATCCACCAGCTCCTCGCCCTTACTGCCCGCAGCCTCGGTGCCCCGGCAGCCAGACCGCGCGCCCTACCCGCCACCAGCCGGTGCCCACTCGCCCTCACCCATGGGGAACAGCAGAAGCGGGGCGCTGTCCAAGGAGATCCTAGAGGAGCTTCAGGGGAACACCAAGTTCACAGAGGAGGAGCTGGCCACCTGGTACCAGTCGTTTCTGAAGGAGTGCCCCAACGGCCGCATCAGCCGGCAGCAGTTCGAGAGCATCTACTCCAAGTTCTTCCCAGACTCGGACCCCAAGGCCTACGCGCAGCACGTGTTCCGAAGTTTTGACGCCAACAATGATGGCACCCTGGACTTCAAGGAGTATGTCATCGCCCTGCACATGACCACCGCGGGCAAGACCAACCAGAAGCTGGAGTGGGCCTTCTCCCTGTACGACGTGGACGGCAACGGGGCCATCAGCAAGAATGAAGTGCTGGAGATCGTCATGGTCAGTCTGGGCCCAAGCCTTTGGGATGCAGCAGCTGCTGCTGCGGAGAGATGAGCCAGGGTGGTGGGGCGTCTGAGAGAGCACGGAAGGCAGGTTCTCTGGGCTGCTGTGGGAAAGAGGCCCCTGCTCACAGCTGCCTCTCCTTCCTGAAGAAGAATCTGGGCTGTTTCCTAATATTCAATTTTTACATTTTATGTATTTATTTATGCACTACTGGAGCTTGAAAACAGGGTCCTCACACTGAGCTGCATTTCTAGTCACTTTTTATCCTGAGACGTGGTCTTGCTAAGTCACTGAGTCGCCCAGGCAGGATTTGAACCTGTGATCCTTCTGCTTCAGCCTTTCAGAGATTACATAAGAAAACTAAAATTACCTCTAATCCCAACATCCAGGGAAAATTACTCCTAACATACTGTATGACTTTTCAGTCTTTTGCCTGTATAATTTTAAACGACTGTAGATCTACTACATATTCTCATATGATTTTTTTACCATATATATTTCAGTTACTCTTTTATTATGAATGTTTTCTATATCACCGCACAATCTTCAGAATCAATTTTAATAGCTGTTTCAAATTCCGTCTTATGGAACTGCCATAAGGTTATTTAAACATTTATTTATTTTTCATTTATTTACTGTGGCACTGGGGATCGAACCCAGGGCCTTTGCACTGAGCTATGTCCCTCGCCCTTTTTTTGTTTTTATTTTGAAGCAAGCTCTTGCTAAGCAAATTGCCCAGTTGATGCTTGATCATGCAGTCCTCCTGCCTCAACCTCCCAGAGTGTTGGGATTGCAGGCCTGCAGGCCCAACTTATTCCTAAAGGGAAGAAGAGGGTGTTACTGCTGGAGGCTGCACAGGGTGGCAAGCTCACGGTTAGATCACTGGCCTGGACGCTGGAAGTCATGAGTTCTGGTCCCAGCTCTGATGCCAACTGGCTGTGTGGCTGTGGGGAACACCCATGGCCTCCCCATGCCCAGGGTGAGGACTTGGTGGTCTCTGTGGCCTTTGTGGGGGACATGAAGGTCTGAGGGTTCCCCCACACCACACACCCATGTTGAGAACAGGTAAGGCAGGCACGTGGGATGCGTGGGTCATGTCCGCACCTGGTGCCTGTGGATCAGATGGAGCTGCTCTGGGAGCCAAGGGCACCTCAGCTCACCTCAGACACTGCGCTGCCAGGAATGCTGCCACCCCGCCCTGCCCTTCTCAGGGGACTGAGAAGAAACTCTGCAAAACTGTTGCCCGTCCTGGACTCCAGGCTATTTTCGCAAGCATCGCTGCTCCCGCCTGGCCTCCTCCTGGTGTCTCCAAGGAGGCAGAAGTCTCCAGCCAGAGATGCCGCCTCCTGTCTCCCATCCCAGCAGGCCTGCCTAACTCTGAGCCTGCCCAGGACCCAGGCATCTCTGGCCATAGGCGCCCTGTTGGGATTGGGCCAGCCCTGAATTTTCTGAGTTGGTAAAACCTCAGAGGCCTGGAGCTGGGCAGGCACACAAAGGCCATTTTGTCCCTTTACCTGATCTCACAGGTGTGTCCTGCTTTACAGAGAAGGTGAGAAGGCTCCATGAGCTCACCTTTCTCTGGGTCCCTCCCTGAGGGGCTGGAGGGGCTTTCTGAGCCCTGCAGACTCCACTCTCACTGACTTTTAGCTGGCCCTTCCCCAGCCTCACCCCATGTCCTCCAGCACAGGAGGACGGTTCTAGAACAAATCTACCTGGGTTAGAATCTCTGCTGTCTGCTGAATGACTTCGGATAAGTTCGTTTCCCAGTTTCTTCATTTATAAAGTGGGCCAATAATACCCAATTTGGAAGATTGTTGTGAAGGTTAAACTTTAAAACATGAGCCACTATTACTATGAGCCAGTTCAGTGAGGAAACCACGGTCCCACAAGGCCCAGAAGCCATCTGACCTTCTGAAACTCAAAGTGGTAGGCTCCATGGTAGTGGTTCTCAAACTCCAGCCTAGTGCTGCTCTGGGATTATCCTTGGGAAGCTTTGATTTCTAGTTCCCCATTTTTTAAAACATGAAAGTATTGCATCACCATGATCAGAAAACTGAGACAGAACAAGAAGGTATAAAATAAGAAATAAAACCTTTTTCTGCCCCTTCCTCATAATCTGTCCCATCCAAGGACCTCACAAATGCAGACGTCACAGCCCCACGCTCGAGGCATTTTGGTTGAGCTGATCAGGTAAGGATCTGGGCTTCCATACTGCACCAGTGTCTAAAAGGACACCAGTCCTGGGTTATGCGGGCACTGAGAGGAGATGGTGATGAAGGTGACCCCAAACCCCTAGGTTTCCCGTGCAGTTTCTGTAATGGCTGAAGCCATTACATTCACATGGATGGTGTGCCTTTTCCACACTTTGCCAATACTTGGTGTTTCTGGTCTTTTCTTTCTCTTCACTGTTGGAGATCAAACCCAGCTAGGCAAGCCCTCTACCACTGAGCAACAGCACAGCCGCACCTCTCTTGATTTTCACAGTAGCCATCCCAATAGGTGTGAGGGGATACAGCTCAGGACGATGTGAATCAACTTCCCTAGGGAGAGCTGGTGTCCAGTGCCCCTCCTACCTCTGCTGGCCATTCATGTATCTTCTTTGGAGAAAAAACGTCTATTCAGGTCCTTTGTCCATTTTAAATTGGGCTATTTGTTCTTTTGCTATTGAATTGTAGCAATTTGTTAAATATTTTGAATATGAATTTTTTATCAGATATATGGTTTGCTAATATTTTTCCCACTTTACAGGTCTCTTTTTCATTTGTTGTTTCTTCTGCTATATAAATGCTTTTCAAAATCTGATACAATCCCACTTCTTCAAAACTCATTGTCAAAACCAGTATCCAAAGCTTTCCTCACGTTTTCTTCTGGGTGTTGTATAGTATCAGGTCTTGTGTGTAAGTCTTTAATCCATTGACAGGAGCTTTGTGCATGGTTTGGGATGGGTTTTCCCAGGACTGCCAGCTCCTCTCTGCTCTCTGTGACACATTCTTTCTCTTGATCTGGTACAGGCTATTTTCAAAATGATCAACCCCGAAGATGTGAAGCACCTTCCAGATGATGAAAACACACCAGAGAAGCGAGCAGAGAAGATCTGGACATTCTTTGGAAAGAAAGATGATGGTGAATTTCTTTTTCTTCATTGATTTTAATTTAATGGTCTCGGGTTGCTTCCTAGAGAGCTCAGATTGAGTCTTCACAGCACCCAGGTAGGACTAAGGATATTTCACATCACCAGGCTTCGCTTGCAGGGCTCTGAGGTGGGAGTGGCCAGAGGGGCAGCCGAGCCAGTTCCGCTGCCACTCTAAAGCTGGCACTGTGGGAAGGGGAAAGCTGCCACAGGCCTGTCACTTACAAGACTCATTTGATGCCTGGGGTCCTTTGAGAGAGAAGGAAGCTTCTAAATTATAGAGTGCTTTTGAAGAAAAACATCTTTGTTATAATAGAGTTAACTTACATTTAAGGAATAGCAAGATGCCAGAGTATTGGCTACCTGTATGCAAATGACCAGTTTAGGGTAATGGCAAATGCCTTTCTCTTTAAATGGAGAAGCTGTTCTTAGACATATTCATTTACTTGTTTTTTAGAACCAGGACAGCTTTGCTTAGCCTTGAGTTAGCATCAGCCCAAGTAAGCAGGATCTAAATTTATCTGATCTCACTCTAGGAATTTAGTTTGGATTCTCCAAGCAGTATCACCAAGTGGAGATTTGATTTAAACTAGAAGCTAGGTGTTTATTGAGAGGGAAGGCCATGAGGTAAATGGGGAGGAACTAGAGGAGGCTGGAAAGGTCACTGGACTGTCCCTGGGTGTGACTTCTGTCAAGGAAAGCGGGAAGGAAGGAAGGAAGGCAGGCTGAGAAACATGGTAGACGGTGGTGCTTTTCTCTGACGGTGTTGGCTAGTTGATGGGGAGTCCACAGGGGGCTGCTGTGGTGCCCCTGTTCTGCTCAGTAATCATCTGGAGGGTGGCGGGGTGCAATATGGTTTTTCAGTGAAAGCAGCGATGGATTCCAGAAGTTGACAGCTGGAGCTGATGGCTGTGACTGGAAATATATCGTAGAGAAACTGGCATCAGGCAGAAACTAAAACGCAGAGGCCACTGGGGCCTCAATGATCAAAACCAGTGAAACAGACAGTGACCCCACTGAATGGTGGGGTCTAACAAATAGTAGGGAACAGCTGGCTGATCTGATGGCTTCCAGGATGTCCCTGGAGTCAGCCCTGTGCCCTGATGACCCAGCAGAGGGCACCTCCTTAAATCCTGTGCCAGGCACTTCAACTGCTCTGGCCTGGCCCACCACCCCACCTTTGAGTGCTTTATCCCACTGGTCTACAGAAACTCTAGCTGCTCAGTCACTTCTTGGGACTTCACTTTAATTACTCCCTTTTGGGGCCCTTTACAACCTTCCTCTGGGCCTGTGCAGCTCTCTGTTGTGCTTCTGCTATTTGCTAATCTGAAAACTGACCAATGTGACCACTGCAGGAGAGGGCTGCTGGTGACACGCCCTTCCATTTCAGGAGACAGTGCGTCTCCAGGTCAGAGTCTGGTGGTGGGAGCTTCAAGCTCTGCGTGAAGGTGCGTGGGGCTGTCAGAACTCTAAAACCCAAATTCCACCACCAGGCTTGCATGGGGAACCATCCTGCATCCTAACCCACCATGGGTTAAGGATGCTTCAAAGGACATGAGCCAGTGGACATCAAAGTCAGATCAGCACTGCTATCTTGAGCATTATTGTGCCCGAGGCACTACAAGCGTAAAGTCATGAACAGAAAGAACCAGTTGTCTCATTCCAGAGTTATTTCTGTGTGGACTGTCTTCCCCACCAGACCAAGAGTTTCCTAAGGAGTGACTTTAATTCACTTCTCTCTGCTGCACCCACCCAACACCCCGGACAGTGGCCTCAGCCCCAAGCCCTCAGCCTCAGCCCCAAGCCCACGGGCGTCTGGCATGCAGAAGGGCCTGGTAACCAGCATTTCGCCACCTCACTGGGCTGATCCTCAATGAGGAGGCAGGAAGACTCCTGAGGCTGCCTGTGTACTGTGGGAACCAGAGATTTTTCTGCAAGCCAGGCTCTGCCTGGCATCCTCGGCCCCTCCTGTTAACTCGCCGCTCCCCTGGAAACCATAACCGTCTGCTTCTCCACAGACACCCTGGGCCTGCGGTCAGGTCGTTTTGCTCTGCTCAGTCATGCAGCAGGTTTCCCCAAACCTTGAGAGTTGGGGTGGTATTATGAGATACTAAGAGAAATACTTCCTAATAACCAGCAAGGCAGGGTCACTGGCCAATCTGAAGGACACGGAACCCAGGATGTTCATCCTGGAGACCTCCACAGCCCTGTGTCCTCCTGTTGCTGGTGCATGGGGAGGCCCAGGGGTCTTGGAGCGGTGCGGGGTGTCTGGTGGGTGGAGAGCGCCCCCCAGGGGTTGCACTGGGCACACTCCTTAGACATCAGCCTCATTGTATCTTGAAATAGCCCGTCCTAACTGATGTGTTTTCCCATGTGCAGATAAACTTTCAGAAGAGGAGTTCATTGAGGGGACCCTGGCCAATAAGGAAATTCTGCGACTGATTCAGTTTGAGCCTCAAAAAGTAAAGGAGAGGATAAAAGAAAAGAGGCAGTGATGCCATCCGCTCAGCCCTGCCCTCCTCTCATTGCCCACCTCGACACCTCTGAGTGTGCGCACACACCCTCCCACACATATACGTGTGCACACACACGCACGCATGCACACCCAAGGCCGAGGCAGAGGCCTTCAGACCTCCAGCCGGGCTGCAGCACCGTCAGCTGTCCAGCAGCCCCTTCTCCTCCTGTCTTCCCTCCTCCTTCCCCGCCTGCAGTGGCCGCGTGATAATCCCACGATTAAGTGACAGGACTCCCGAATGCTAGCCCTGCCTAAGCTCCTTTGTGAATTGCTGAGTAAGTGGATTCCAATAAATTCCAGAGGAACTGGACACACTGTTGCTGGTCTTGTTTCTGCCTCAAAGAAAAGAATGCATTGTGACTGGGGTGCTTAGCCAGCAGGGGGTGCTGAGGAGGACTGACATGGTCTTGCTGTTAGAGTGCACAGTTCAGAGCGGGCAATGATCTTGAAGATGCCACACGGGTTCCATGGAGACATGCAGCACCCTAGGGTTAACGTGTCAGGGAGAGCAAGGGATGACATGCCTGGAGGGACGCGGATTCACACCCAGTGGACTGTGTAGGGTGGGTGGAGGTGGGAGAGCTTGTGCCTCAGAGTGTGGAACGCTGACTGAGTCACGGAGGCAAGAATAGCATCTATGGTGCCAGGACTGTAAGCAGGCTGGGGTGATGGGGCGGGGGGAGGAAGGTAGATGGTGCCAGATCCTCAGAAGCCTCCCTGAAGCTCCTGTGGAGCACCGGCACCACCCTGGGGGCGGCCAGGAAACTGCAGTTGAGGTAGGAGGGATTTCTATTTACAAAAGCGGAGGACCAAGCCTGGGAGCAGGAGGCTGGCCCAGGAAACAGGGTGGATAGAGAGGACGGGACCTTGTAAGGATGGCAGCCAGGGCGTGTCTGGAGCACTGGGAGGACAGTGACATGTCTACTGGGTTTGGAACCCGAGGGGGTGTTATTGATTTCAGCAGATAACAAAGAGTTCAGTTTTGAGTTAGTGAGGAACAGAGGCTCAGCAACGGGAAACAGCTTGCAGAGTGAGTCAGCTGACAAACAGCCAAGGTAGCACTTCCCACCAGCCCACATGGCCTCCTCCGCAGAGCTCCAGAGCTGGGACACCTAGGCACTCGTGAGAGGCCTCTCCAACCACACCACGACCGCCACTCACCCTGTTCCTGTGGTTAGACGGGCTGGCTGGACAGCCCAGGGAGATCTGGGTCTCGGGGTCTCAGGCTGCAGCTGCGATGATCACCCCACAAAACTGGGCCAACCACACTACACTATCATTATAGAGTGGTGAGACTCTGCTATGTTTCCATGGTGGAATTAAATTTTAAGTGTTGCACGGATGGGAAGATTAGTCTATTTGGACTCCAGCAAGCTATTTTAAGTTTTCAGGAAAGCTTTGATCTTCTTCTTTGGTTCATCCAGTGTTCACCTTGAACACATATTACAATCTCTCGGGTGCCTTTAACACAAAAGGGAGAGATGAAAAATAGATAAACTAGACTTCCTCAAATTTTTAAACTTTTTTTCTATCCAGGGCCCTATTAAGAGAGTGAAAGATATACTGCTTCTGATGATGGATTCACGTCCTGAATACATAATGAACTCCTTCAACTCAACAACCGCCCAAAAAAATGCAGTGTTTTTTGAGACAGGGCCTCTATGTAGTGCAGGCTGGCTTCAAACTCACAGCAAACCTCTTGCATCAGCCTCCCTAGTGCTAGGATGGCAGGTGTGTGCCGCTGCACATGGCTAAAAATCCTATTTTTAAAGCAAGAACATCAATAGACATTTTTCTAAAAAGATACATAAAATTGCTAATAAGTAAACATAAAAGATGCTCAACATCTTTACTCATAAAGGAAACACAAAACCACAGACATTCAGATGGCGATTCACAGTAAAAGGAGAGGACTTGCCTTTTTGAACTCTGACCTTTGACCTCTGCTTCTGGTCCCTCCCACTCTGCCCACTCTAAAACAATGGACTATCTGGTCACCAGCTAAAGCCACAGGCCTCTCTCCCCACTTCTGCTCAGAAACAGTGCACCCACCTCTCCAGGCATCTGAGAGACCCCAAGCTCCAGCGAGAGGCAAACGGGGAAAGATTGGACACGTTGCAAATCGACTTAAATAAACTTGTTTTAATGATTCGCAAGGTGAGAGTAAGCAGTATGGGTAAAAGACAGGGTGTGTGATTAAACCCAAACTTCACATGATGTGTACCCCGTGGCATGTACTTATACACCAGGACGATTTGATTGTCTGACATTCAAATGCAATCCAGTATCATGTTTGTGCAATACTAGGGGTGAGTCCAGGGCCTTCACATGAAGCTATATTCCCAACATTGTTTATTTTTTATTTGAAGACAAGGTTTTGCTTAGTCACTAGATTGGTCAGGTTGGCCTCAAACTTGCAGTCCTCCTGCCTCAGCCTCTCAAAATGTGGGATTATAGGTGAATTCCCCCACATGCAGCTCAGTTTTTATTTTTCTTCTTTTCTGAATCTGTCAGCCCTGCACAAAAGCATCACACTCACCCACTCCCACACTCGAGACACAACAGTACTTATTTCCACAGCAACATAACTTCCTCCTCTTGCACGTACATTTTTACCACCGCAAAAGCGACGCTCCTAGATGTGAACAGCACTGCCTTAAGCTGTTCTTGGGACTCCGCCACTGCATCCGACCTCTACTGCCTGGTACCCCCCAACCTCCCCAGGTCAGACTCTCGTACACAGCTCACATTTCCCACAGGCAGGACGGGTTCCACAGGCCCACTTGACACAGCCACGGACCTCTCGGTGCGACAGTCCTATTGCTTTACCTGGGTACTCTCTGTCTTTCAAGGCTACTCTGTGATGTCTGCCTGGAAAGTCCAGTTCTTACCGGTAGGGCCCGAGGGCAGGGACAGTGGTGGATCAACAGTCAGAGCGGAAGGCACTGTCGTCAATTCATCAGCGGCCAGCCCAGCAGAGAGGGTGTCTCCCAGGCCTGAGGAATGTCAAGCGGGTCAGGCTTGGAGAAGTCGAGCTCAGAAGGGCAGGTGGAGCCAGAGAGGACTGTGGATGACATTCAGAAGGTTTCTGAGCCAGCAAAACACTCTCTCACACTCTGCCGTGTTTTCCAAGGGCAGGCTTGTGTCAGAATTCCTGAGGGGCTGGTTCGACAGTTCCAATCGCCAGCATCATCCAAAATTCATTCCTTTAGACTGTCTGCCACAAGCCTGACATCCGGCATGTCCTAGGGAGGTCTCATGCATCCTAAACCAAACCTCCAAAAGAAACTGTGTGTCAGGAGGGGAAAAGCAAGAAATCCTGGCTAGACTCTAGTTAACAAGAGGCTTCTCTGCATGCTGGGGCTCCATTCATTTGAAGTGCGGACCAGAGCCCCAGACTGGTGGTCCTTCTGGGAAACACACTGGTGGGGGTTAAAAGGGTGACTTGAGGTGGACGGAAGCTATGACCATCACACAGCTCCGTTCATACAGAGCTTGAAGGACCTGGATCTTGACCTCACATCCAGATGAGCCCGATCAGAAAGGAGGATTCGGTACTAGGTCACCCCCATTCTCTGCCCTGCCATGTCCTTGTCCTTCTCAGGAGCCCTCAGTTTGCAGAGCTGGAGTGGGGTCTTCTGCCTTAGATCTCACTCTCTTCCAGAATCTCCTCCGTGGTGTTGGCCAGGGTGAAGTCCCCCTCGCTGCTCTCGGACAGGCTGATGCCCCGGGGCCAGACTCTGTGGCCCTGGTGGGGCCGGGTGTTCAGCCCTGCCAGGGCCTGAGAGGTCAGATGTGAGCTGTCTGATGAGGCCTGCGGCTTGTGAATTGTCTGGGTGCCATCTCCCTCTGAGAGCTTCTTGGGACACTTCCCCAGGAAACGAAAGTTCCTCCTCAGGACCCAGGCCCTGCAGCCTGAGTGTCGGGCAAGCAAGAAGCGGACCCAGGACTTCCACAGCTCGGCCTTCACCTGCCAAAGGAGACAAGGGTGGGCTTATCCTCTTGAACTCTCATGTGTCCATTCAACGAATGTTTATTGAGCAACTATTTGGTGCCACCCTTGGGAAATTTACCTTTTAACTGGTAGAGACAAGCAAAGAGCAACAAACAGAGACACTAAGTATGTCAGACAATGACACTCTGAGACCCCTAAAAACAGTGCGATAAGGAGTGTTCAATGAACATTACAGGAGGCCACAGTTTGGGACTAAGATCCTACACTGGACCCCACAGACAGACTGGAAATCAAAATGAAGCCATTATTTAGTCCCTGCTAATATTCCATGTTATCAGATCAAAATTCCCTGGCATTCTAGGAAATCAGAGGAGAGAGATAACAGCCAAATTTTTCTCCAAAATCTGCTTTTTGTCCTTTTATTTCTTCTTTCTTTGGCCTCTCTCTATAAAATGAACCCTCTCCACTCTGCACGGTGGAATACTCCTATTGCGTAGAAGGAAATGCTGGCTGATTCTAGAATTGCGAATAAAGCCAATTAAGAGCTTCAAAATAAGTTATTGTAATTTTTGTTCTTTTCCCAGGAGATTAAAAGCTTGAGCTGCAGCCTTCAGGAAAGGACGTTGCAGAAGCCCATAGATAAAGGCTGGTTCCCAGCCTTTGTGGTGCCGGGATGGGGGTGGAAACTTTAAGAGGTGGGTCCTAGTGCATAGAAGTTAGGAGGAGGCCTTGCAGAGGACCCTGGAGCTGTCTCCTCTCTCTCTGCCTCCATGAGCTGAGCAGCGTGGTTCCACCACCTGCTCCTGACCACAGCATTTTCCCCGGCCAGAGGCCCAGTGGCAATGAGACCCAGCAGCAGTGGGGGCCAGCAAATCTGTGAAACCACGAGCCAAAATGAACTTTTCTTCACTTTAAAGTTGACTATCTCAGATATTTGTTATAATAACAAAAACTGGCCAACACACCCGAGAGCTAGTTGGAATCATGTCACCATAAAAATTATGGTTCCTAGGTATTGAACCTTTATTTGATGCTCACATGCCCAGGGTACCACTACACGCCAGGGACAGGTATAATTTCTATTTTACCGATGAGGAAACAGGCACAAGACCTCGACTAATTCACAGAGCTCCTATGCAGACGTGCCAAAACTCGAACACAGTTTTGGACGCCTAAGTTCACGCCTGTTTGTTTCCTCACACTTTAATCCTAGCAGGCCTCCAGCAGGACATGACTGGAGATCTGAGTTTCCTGCATCCGCCCCTCTGATCAAGGGTGCCTCCTGTTCACTCTACCAGATGCTCACAATGCAAGTTTGTCTCAGCATGAGCAGGAACCTGGGGCAGGACTTCAGCCATGACCTCAGAAGAAGCCAGAACAGTCACATGGAAAACTTACCTCTCCATTAGCAAAGCCATACTGCAAGGCCACGAGGAACCCCTGCAACGGGAGGAAAACATGCTGTGAACTTTAACGTGAGAGGCGATGTGTCTGGGATCTCTCAGCAAAATCCACGGAACCTCAAGCAAAGCGAGCAAGTACGTTCTTTACACTAGACAAGATTAATCGTACTGCTTGTGCTAATTTAAATCTCCGCGGCGTCTCTTCTTACCTTGACACCCACCAATAGCGTCAGCCTAGCTGTTTGCTTAGGTGCTCATGAATGCATATACAAGCTTGATAATGATTAAATCCTAAGACCATGCCTTTCATTGGATCATGCAAATAATGGGCAAGGTTGCTATCTCATTTCCAACTGTCTGTGGTGGTCATTGGCTAGTTTACATTGTCCAACTTGCATTCTTTCCTTTTGGAAAATGACTCTCCTCTATGGCTTGGGCTTCTAACGCAGCTTTCAATTATTATGTGGCTCCCATATTTTAGGATGACCATCACTACAATCTTTGGCCCAAATAGGCCTGAGAGCCAAGCAAAGCCAATCAGCATTTTCTTCGCAGGGAACGGACAGAGGTTACACTGTCCTCCCTGGGTCAGCCTGCTCTGCAGATCACCTAAGCCCAGAGATGGCACTGCCATCTGTCAGCTGCATGGAGACAGCCACCTGAAGGTGCACCACATAGACGTCAGAAATGGTGAGAGACAGATTTCTGGTGATACTGTTCATTTCCAACTGTGTCAGGTTCCAAAAACTGCATTTCATATTCTTGACAGAATATTCCCATCACGCTTAGAATAAACTCTTATCCCTGAGGGGTCCTGGGTGATGCTGGCTCTGTCTGACTGTGGTTCATTTCATCTGATGCTCTGTTTCACCTTGACCACTATGTTTCTTCCACATGGGCCTTCTGGACCCCTCCAACATGTTCAGCTCAGGTATTTGGGATCCGCTGTGTGAATCAAAGTGAATCCAAGCAGTGAAGCTCTGTCATCTCATACACATCCTATCGCCAGGGATCTGGAAGATGGATCTGGCACTCTGAAAGCATGGCTACAGTTTCCTCTGAAGTGGTTTTCAGAGTGTTAGTTACAGCTGCAGTCATCGAAGGACTTGATTCCAGAGTGACACTCGTGGCTGGCGAGCTGGTCCTGGCTGTTCTGCTTGTAGGACTGTAGATCATAAATGAGCTCAGGATCGTTACTTTTAAAAACCAGTGCATATCCTGTCAGACATCCCAGCTGCACGGTAACACAGTCACAGTCATGCAAATAAAGAGGTAGCATTTCCCCCTCATAATAATCATTAGTTAGTGTGCACCCAGCCTTGCAGAATGTGTTCTATTCTTTAGATTTCAGAATCAGAAATATTTGTGGTCAGTTTTCCGATCTTCTCCTTTAGCTGGATGATGATGCATAAGTTGGGTATGGTTATGGGTAGGAGACTGGTCTCTTTCCATCGATTGCTTGAGTGCCTTCCTGACATGGAAGTTGGCCTCCCCCTGACACTCTATGTTTTCCAGAACTTTCTTACCTCAAATATCTGTCTAATGGGTTTCTTAATTCACACACCACCAAAAAGAAGTCTTTTCAGACCATCTAACTTTTGGTAGTCACTCCAGTAATCATCACAGTAATCTCTTTAGTTTTTACAGCACCAAGATTGTATTATTTTTTGTCTACTTAGTTATTATCTATCTTGTTAATCCCACTCACATAATACTAGCATCCTAGCTAGCATCCTAGAAGATCCCCAGCACCAGACACAGTGCCTGAAATGTAACAGGGGCACACCAAATATTGATGGGTGAGCGGATGAGAGAGTTGAGTGTCCGTGACTTACAATTAAGATTATTGTCTTGTATAGGGTCAAGCTGCTCTTTTTTTGTTCTCTACTTATTTAGAACTGTGGATACAAGGATTCCACTGAAAAAATTACAAGCCATCGTGAAATGGCGTTTTCATTTACAAAGCGGTTATGTTGGGAAGTTTCCACAAAGAGATCATCTCTTGGATTTGGAAATTTCCACTGTATTCACTGCTAACTGCCAGAGGTCTGGAATCAAAGATACTTTAGCTTATGTTTGTTCCCCCCAGACTTCTATGCCCCCTGACTTGTCAAACAGCCACCAGTGATAACTCCCATGCCTTGATTTTTCCTACTAGAACTGAGGACTGTGCAATTTGGGCTACATGTCTGATTTACTGGAGCTGGATATGTGTACGGGGCTCAAGTACTACAAACTGTTTTAGGGAAAAATTTCATAAAATCTCAGAACTCAAGAGAAACGGACACATCTCCAAATAAAGAGTGAAGGTCCCAGTATCAGGCTGATTTCCTATATCTCTTGAAAACAATGCTGGGGTTAGGTTTTCTTCATGTTTTTTCTGAGCCAGGCCAGCGGTCTCCATGCTGGATCAGTCAAATGCTTGAATTGCGGCCACAAGTATGAAATTTAATTTCCCTTCTCCTACACACCTAGATATTTCCAAGGCTACAGCTTCTAAATGGGAGCATGGTGGTACCCGTTAATCATTTTTACACCTTAAATCTCATTAGAGATGTCCTGTGTGATGGGCTATGGGCACGGGACGTAAGAAGATCTAGCTTTCAGAGTGCCAGAATTCTCTCGAACAAGTCAGCTAAAATGGGGTTCCATATGATAAACATATCTTTCTACTCCCTTGGGTTCCTGCTCCACACGCTCTGCTCACAGCAGGAGTCTGGTGGAACTCTTCAAGCTGAAAACCAAAATCTAAGCTGAGTGAAAAACCCTCTAAAGCAGAAAGGGAAGGGAGCACTTAGGGGTAATGCCCATTCTTGCTTGTGGACACACTGAGCTACAACCCATCAAATGTGCCTCCACATACCTCTCTCTCCCCTGTGTAGTGGGATGGAACAAAACAGTGCTAACATATTCTGAAGGCTGGAGATTCTGCCCACACACAAGTGTGTGGTTTCTGGTTTCATCTTAGTGCAAAGCGCCCTGCAGAGATCTTCTGACTCCTCACGTTCTGATGGAGACCAATACGAAGCAGCTCTGAGCAGCATTTAAGATTAATTGGCTTTCTATGTTCACTTGTGAGCCTGTCCCAGGCCTAAGCCCCTTGCCTGGAGATGGGCAGAGGATTCACAGCAAGTGAACCTCTGTGAATTACTGGTCCCAGCTGAGGCCTGTAGTGGCCTGTGATGCTGTGACACCTCAAAAGGCAAGACAAGGCCACAGTCGAGGTTGCCTGGCTCCAACCTCGATGAACTAGAGACTGTAGCTGCAGGTTCCACACTCATGCAGTAAACGTCAATCTAGACATGACATAATTCTCCTGATTAGTATAATTTACTACTTGGAGAAGTCTTTGAACCGACTCCCAAGTTCCTGCTCAGTTTCCTGCGTTTTCTACTCTAACCCCTTCCTTTGTTTGAAAACCAAATAAATGCAGGCCACTCGAGAAGTTCTTTGTCTCAGCCCCAGAGAATCTCGAGTTCTGCTAGTAGGTTTTGTGCCTCCTGGAGCCCTAGCATCATACCCTTGTCTCTCTTATTTAAGCCTTCATTGTCACTCATTTGAGAGATTGTGGGCCTGATCAATCTGTGACAACATTCCTCAACAATATGAGATGGTGAGCTGGATATCAGCTGACTGCAAGGCGCATGATCCGTGTGGCAGAAGGGCTCCAGAGATGGCCCCAGTGGTTTCTCCTCTTCACATAGGTTGAAGTGGCATTCTCAACAGGCACAGACTTCTGAGACTATGGTTTATGGGAACTGGAAATTTCTACTTCTTCCCTCTAGAACATTAGCTCTTGAGATACTCTAAGAGTCCACAAGCCACATTGTGCGGTGTCCACCACACGTGGAGAGGCCACATAGAAAGAGCTGAGGCTCCCTGACTTACAGTCCTAGCTGAGGCCCTGACTAACAGATCTGGTGTGTCTAGCAATGTGAATAAACCACCATAGATGTTCCAGCCTAAAACAGACTTCAGATGTTTTCAGCTGCAGATCAAATTTACATGCATCAAAAAGATCACAGCTATTCAGCTCAGACATTCCATCACAGAATCATTAAAAATGACCACTCAGAGGTGGGGGCAGGAGGATCACCATGAGTTCAAGGCCAGCCCGAACTACACAGCAAGACTTTAGCTCAAAAACGCAACAAAACAAAACAAAATTATAATAACTGTAAGTTGATTATTGCTTTCAGCCATAGAGGTTTGAGGTGGCTTATTACACAGCAAGAGATGACAAAAGCATCCTCCCATATCCAGGGAATCTGTGGCCTAGGGCTAGGTTTTTCTAGATGTCTGGTCCACATGTCTGCACATAAGTGACTGAGCACATAAATGTCCTCAACCCTCTGTGGGTGTACGAGATCACGTGACCAGGGCTTACACTGGTCAGGAAAAAGGGGTCACCAGCTGCAGGACTTTGTCTTTTACCACCCTTCCCATTGGGGATTATCAAGATGAAGGCCCAGCAACATAAGAAATCCAAATTTCTAAATCTTTGGTTTTGAAATCCTCCAAAACTGAAGTAAATTAGACGTGTTTTTATAATGAAAAGAACAGTTACCAGTGAGTCTTCGGTCTCAACTCAGAGCTCAAAGAATTCAGCTCCAAAAGGAGAGGGGAAATCACTGTCCAACAATCCAACTTGTATCTCCAGCTCTATTTCCTCAGCCTTCAGTGAGCGTACAGTGAATAAGTACAGCTCTGCCCTGTGCACAGAATCTCAGCAACCCTATCTAGAGCAAAGGCACTGGACGGGACCTAGGTGTCTAAGGGGTAGGTGTCTCCTGTTAGAGACATCTGTTAGAGACCTTGGAGTCTCACCTGAAAGGCATCTGTGCACAGAGGGCATCGGCCTGCAAGGTGGTTGCATGGGACCTGACCTCTGGACAGAAGTTTCCTCTCTGCTACTTATCAGCAGGTGCAAGACCTCTGTCCTTTGGTTCTTACATCTTTCAGAGAAGTGTAATAATTCCTCTTTCACAGGGATACTGAGAATCGAAGAGCTTCGTGTTAAATAATTCCTAGTGCATCATTTTAATTCTGTCGGTATTTTTACTACTTTTTAAGATTATTTTCTTAGCAGTTATTTAAAGGATCATAACGTATCTTTTACAACTGATTTCACATTAATGCTAACTTAATTCTGTTAAAATATAGAAATTGCCTCTAATGTATCTCTATTTACTCATTCTGCTTTATGCTATTATTATCATATATATTAGATCCTTATATGCTATAAACCTAATAATGTACTTTATAATTGTTATTTTGCACAATATTATGTCTTTAAAATAATTTAAGAAAACGGGCATGGATTTAGCTCAGGGCATAATCATCTTCCTGGCAGCTCAAGGTTGTAAGTTCGAACTCTAGTACAAAAAAATCACTTAAGGAAAAGAAAAACTTCATATACTGTACAGTCTTTCATATTTACCTGTCTACCTTTTCCAGCTTTTTATTTTTTCAGTGCTGGGGATTGAGCCTAGAGTCTTCATAGTGAGCTACATTCTCAACATCCACAACCATTTTTAAAAGTTTTGAGACAGGGTCTCACTGAGTCTCAAAACTGACCATGCTGGTCTTGCATTTGAGACCTTCCTGTTTCAGCCAGAGTGTTCAGCCAGGCAGGCATCACTGCAGGTGACTCTTTTGCAAGAATTTTTGTTTCTTCACGTGGATTTGAGCTTTTGCTCATCTGAGAGCATCTTCATTTCACCTTTATGCCGGGCAGGTGCTGTGCTGCTGAGCTGTCTCCCCGGCTCGCGGCCTTTTGAATATGTCACACCATTGCCTTTGCTCTGTTGAGTCCTCACCTATTAGCTGTATTGCTGGTCCTCCCTGTGATGGTTTTCATTCTTCTGTTACTTTCAAGATTTTTTCATTGCATTTAGCTTTCAACAATTTGACTATCATGTTTCCAGGCATGAATGTTTTTATTTAACACTATTTGGAGTTCACTGAGCTTTTTAGATACATAGATTACTATTTTTCATCAAATTTGGAGACTTCTCCATCACTGCTTCTCCAACATTTCTTTCCCTCTTTCTCTCTCTCTCCTCTTTCTGGAGCTCTGATATGTGCACATTGTTATGCTTAAAGGGATTCACAGGTCTCCAAAGCTGTGCTATTTTTCTTTATTCTGCTTAAAATGTGTAGACTACAAAAATCACAGTTGACCTATTTTCATGTTCATGAATTCTCTCTTCTGCCATCTCAGATCTGAGAGTTTGTCTTTCTAGCAACATGATCATTTCAGTTATTGTACTTTCCAACTCCAGGATTTCCAGTCTAATTTTATAATTTCTCTCTTTTTGAGTGGAAATTCTTTAGTTCATGAACCATCATCATCATCACACTTTCTTTTAATTCTTCAAACATAGTTTCCTTTCTTCTTCTGAACACATTTACAGTGCCTTCTTTGAAGTTATTATCTGCTAGTTCCAACATTTCTGTTCCCCAAGAGATCCGCCATACATCCCATATATTTTTGTACAAAGACAGAAATTCTAGATAATGTATTATAGCAATTCAGGATTCTGATTCCCCACTCCCCACTCCTGGAGTAGTGGTAGTTGTTTGTTGGCTTAGTAAATATTCTGGACTGCTAGTTCAATGGAACCTGTCTCCTCTGTGGTGCATAACCAGCCACATGTGTGCTAATTTTTAAAGTTTTGTTTTTATTTGTAAGTCTCATCTCCAGTCAATTTATGTGAGCCTAATGGTCAGTTAGTGACTGACCAGAAATTGTGCTCAACCACCACGGGCTATTGAGTCTCCCATGGCCTTTGCCAGTGGATCTGTGTGTGGCTTGGGGAACACATTCAAAGTTCAGAAGTTTATAAGTCTTCCTTTCCACCAAATCCTCCCCTGGCTCCTCTACGTGTGTGTAGGAACTCATGTTCAGCCAGGAGTGTGTAGGCATCTTTTCTGATCTCTTTTTAATGTGTATGCAATTTTGTGCATGTGCAAAACATCTTTGCCCACCAGAAAGCAAGGTGGGAGTTGATCACGTCTCACTATGGCAGTTTTATCCTTGTCTACCTTTTAAATGTCTGGTCAGCTTACCTGTCCCATTTCTTACCCTAAATGGGATTATAACCTCTGGCAATGACATTGGTTTGCCCTCTTCCTTTACTACCAAGATTTCTACTGTATTTGGTAAAGCTTAGGCATGTGAGACTTCCCTACTCTCTGATCCAAACCGAGTCAGCTCTCTTTTTACTCAGAACCTGCTCATTCTCACTAGAACTTCTTCTATGGTGGAGCAGGAATTGGAGAAGAAAAACAATCATAGACAACAACGACAGACTCTCACTGTTCTTCCTCAATTCATTCATTTTTCTTGAAGAAACACCACTTAATCTTTTCTTTGCCTCTGGTTGATTTCTAGGCATAAAAGTGGTAGCTACTGACAATTGTCCAAATTTATCATTACTTCTTGGGGAGAGGATTTGCCATGTTTCTCTCTTCTCCTTTCTACAAGTCCTGCTTCGACACTAGAATTTAAAGATGATTAACTTGAAGATTACTACTGTGTGATGTCCATGTCGTTAATGGTCATGTGTTGAACTAGTGACTTTTGCTGCTGGTTCACGCCTCCCAGCACCCATGCCCTTGTAAGTTCTGCTGTCTTCATCCTTGGATGGACTTGTCACTTGCTTTCAACAGCAGAATGCAGCAGATACACCAAAGTGCTGGTTCTAGGTTTTATATTAAGAGTGCCTGGCAGCTCCTGCTTGTAGGCTCTACTTGGGAGACTAAATTGTCCAACAAGGAGTTTAGTTACCCTGTGGGAAGACTACAAGAGGGCAACAGGAAGAAAATGAGAGGCCCTAAGGCCATGTGGACCTGAAGAATGTAGTTAGTATCAAGAAAGGGAGGTCCCCAGAGAAGTCAGCACCGACTTAGGCCTCTGCACCTGTAAGGAAACCATCATCAGGAAAAATCCAGCCCCAACAAGCCTCACAGACAAGCAGAGGTTGGCCGTCCCTACTTTGTCTTACCTGGATGCCCAGTTCCCAGAATCATAAGACGTAATTTTAAAAAATGATGATCATCTTAAGCTATCATCAGAGACAGTTTAATCACCAGATAACCAAAATATTCAGAAAATCTCACCGCAGCCAGCCTGTTGTTCTCACGTGCAGCCCACACACATCTGTCAGGTTCAGGAGCCTCCAGGGCGGGCTCACTCCTTCCTATTCAAGTTGCGTGGTGTATGGTGCACATATCACCTGCGGCTCAGATGAGTTTCCTTTTGCACAACGCCCTTCAGAGAACTCCACCAAAATAGGCCCTTAGTAAAAAGCTTTGTATTGACACTCACAGTTAATACAATCATGAGTCACACCAACTTTTACAGTCCATGGAAGACAATGGCTTTTGTTTCTGAATCATGCTGGCAGGGTCAAAGCAACATTCCTCATCTGCACGCTCTTCTCATTGTCCAACAAGAAGTTTGAAGACCCTCACCAACAGAGCCTATTGATGCTAGAAATCTATTTCCGTCCCTGAGTGCTCTCAATTCTGAGCCTTTTCGGGACATGTGCATTTTATTTGCCCAAAGCCAAGCCATGAAGATCAGACTCCTACTTACATGGAACGAGCTCAGTGTCAGCTGAATGAACAGTCGTATACGTCTGGGAAGTCCTTGGACTTGGTCATCAGTGATGAAAGAGAAAAGGATCTCGTGAACACCCAGCAAAGGAATGAGGAGCAGGGTTGACTTTGCCAATCTGTAAATGACAATCAAATGACAGTCATGAGGGCCACATCGTGCCTGGGCACCATTTCTTGCTCTTTCTTGCAGCTCTTATCCTCTTGATAAACAGTAGATTTGCTAGTTGGTCTCCTTGATGACACGTTTAGTGCTTACGGGCCATTGTGGGCTCATCTGTTGCCACTTCCCTACCAATGGTAGAGGCTCAGGGAAACATGAATGAGTGAATTAATCTTGCCACATAGGCTACCCTTACATGTTGTGCCTGAAGAATAGATTTAGTGTTTTTGCCTGATGAGTAGATTTCCATGCATGAGGCTATCATACTAAAACACTCCATCCTTCCCATGCTAGAGAGGTTTCCCATGGATGGGTTAGCCATGGCCCCTTTCAGTTTCAATACTCAAGGGTGCCAGCATCAGTACTTTAAATGCCAGCCCGAGAAGAAAAAGGAAATGGGTTATCCGGGGTCACACACAAACTAAGTAACAAATTCCAGCCTGGAAGTGCGGTCTCTGAATTCATACAAGGCCCCGCATACTCCATGCTGGGGTTTACCATCAGCCCTCTGGCTGCCCTTCAACCTGTGATAGCAAAGAGCTGCAGGAAATGGGAAACTGATCCTCCTCATAAAAAGTGCATGGGGGAGGGCTGGGGATTTAGCTCAGCAGCATAAGTGCCTGCCTTGCAAGCAGGCAGTCACGAGTTCGATCCCCGGTACCGGTAAAAACGAAAAAGACAAAAACAAAAACAAAAAAAAAAGTGCATTGGGGAAGTTCCCCACTGTATACAGTCTACACAAAAAGGACAAACATTCCTTAGCACCACCCACATGTAAAGTGCACAGCTGGAGCACAAATCCTTCCAAATGGTGGATCCCCACGTGGCTATTAAAATTCCTTACGAGCTTTTAAAATATATACAGCGGGTTCCATATCCATGACTTCACCAGCTATGGATCAAAAATATATTTTTTTAAAATTGTGTCCATGCTGAACATGTAGAGACTTTTTTCTTGTTACTAGTCTTTAGACAATACAGCATTACAACCACCAATATAACTTTACATTGCTTTAGGTATTAGAAATAATCTGGAGGGCCAGGCTATAGCTCAGGGGCACAGCACTTGCCTGGCAAGCAAGAGGCGCTGGGTTTGATTCCCGATACAAAAAAAGAGAAATAATCTAGAAATAATTGAAGTCTACAAGAAGACGTATGTATGGAGGTTACATGCAAATACTGTGCCCTTTCATACCTATATTTGAGACTCGGTGGGTTTTAGTATCTGGGAGGAGGGGTCCTGGAAACAACCCACCACAGATATACAGTACCTGGGCTCAGGTGTCAACACCCTGGATCAAAACCTCCGTGGGTTGGGTCCTGAAAAGGCGAATTTTGCAGAAGTGCCCCATGGCGTCCTGGTAAGTAGCCACATTTAGGAATGACTGCTGATTACTGTTGAGTTGCTTCTTCATTAGAAACTAACTACATAAGCAAAGGTGACTCATTCAGGGTACGAACAAAGCTACTGTGTTATACTCATTGGAAAAAAGCAGTTTCTTTGTAATGCAGTTTTTACTCAAGTTGCTTCTGTAAGAGCCAGGCTAGGAGGAAGTCCCCCACCTCTACCTCCACCAGCACCAGCACCACCACATCCCCTGAAGGCAAAGATGTGGAAACCCAGAGTGTCCTCAGTATTTCGTGGGTTGTTTCTCCAGAAGAATGAACTCCATTTAAGAGGAAGAGCTTACTAGAATCTTGTCTACACGGCCCATTCAAATGTAACATCATCCGTGAAACAAAAAGCCATCACTCTGTGGTCTGACAAGATGTAAAGCCATGAAGGGATCTCATCTGGACACCTGGGCTGTGTGTGCCAGAGCTTTGGCTCCCGCGGGAGGACCGCAGTGGGGAGATGAGGTGTCCACCAAGCTCACATCTACTCCCAGTTCCCGGAGTCACTTAGCTAGGGAACGGTGACCCCTCTGAGAGAGAATATGCCAAGAGCTTTCTTTTACTTCCTTTTTTACTTCTCTTGGTGTTGTGGCCCGCACCCATGGCTTCATGCATGCTAAGCCTATGCTGTGTCTACCCCTGGACCTACATTCCCACCCCTAAGGCTACGTTTTATTTCCAGAAGGGTTTTAAAAACCCTCTGCCTCAAAGATTGCAAAATGGTAATGGTGGGTTGGATTTGAGGGGCAGTTTTGTTGCAATTATATAGTGATTTTTTTTTTGCTATTGGTGATATCTTTAAATAGTTGGGAAATACCAACCAAAGATAATCAAATTTTCAGCTTTTCCAGCAACATATGGCCCAAAATGACTGCTTTGCAATTGTTGGTCACAGCCAGACAGTTCCTTCCCCTGACCCTCTAGAGGAAGCTGGAATCCCTAGCCCATGCTGAGCCTGAGTTCGTGTTATTTCCTTGGCCCCTGCAAACATATAAATCATGACCTTTGCTCTGGGTTTGAGTGGAACACACTCACATGCTCAGCTGTGAGCACCTTGTCTGACCATCATGTCCTGGGACCATGTTACGGTAGCATAGGTTTTTTTGAAGAAATTTTTTAAGTTGGAATAATTTTGCATTTATGCAAAAATCACCAAGGTATTACAGACTGTCCCCAGACACTGTTCCCTGAGTTTTCCCTGATGCTAATATGTTGCACTAAGGCAGCATATGTGTGAAAACCAGGAAGCCAACTTTGGGATTGAAACACAGCTAGTAACTAAATGCTGGACTTTATTTAGATTTTCCTACTGTGTCCTTCTCCTATCCTAGGATCCCACATTTCATTTAGTATGAGATAGTTGTTTTTAAAATATAAAACAAATTTAAATAAAAATTTTGGGTCATTTTAGTCACTACCACCCCTCTGGATGGACACAACAAGGGATTCTTCACTGCAGCTGTTACTCTAACTTCTTAGACTAGAATCTTATTTGTGTTCCAGTTCAGAGGACAATCCACAAATAGCCACAGCAGTTTACTCTTAGGAACTGTGTGTACACTTACTTTTCACCCACAATCATCTGTTTATTTAAGTGATACAGTTTAGTGCAGTCATTTAACTATCCAACAAATGTTTACTGAGCATCTGCTCTGGGTACACAAGTGGGTACCGTGGGAGGGCAAGACTGTAGCCAAAGGCAGGAAGGTGTGGGGACCCAGGTCCTGGGTCTGAGTCCAGATACCACTGCTATCAGTCATTAGCAAAGTGATTTCGGCACATTACCTAAGCTATCAGTTAGTTTCCCCACCTGTTAAAAAAGGGTTACATTAATAATTGCATTCATATGGCGAGTCATCATTAGCACTGAACACACAGAGCGGGGTAAACCCTCAGAATAGAGAGTACCTTATGGTAAATGATCAGTAAGTGTAGATTATCACTATTTGTAAAGAGTGTGAACACGCAAACTTACTAACTTCTCAGTTGTTACTGGGACATCACACCTCTTTTTTCCAGCGATTCTTTATCAAATCTAGCATAAAAATGTCCAAATTTGACTTTCTTTGTGTTTTCATTCTCTTATAAAGACTCCTGAGTCACATAAAACTTCTAAATAAACCCTTATACTTTTGCTGCAGTTAATGCATTTTATTGATTTATTTTTCGACCCAGTCGAAGCCCTAAGAAGTTCAACAAAACATTTCCCCCCTCCACTGCTCACAGAGATCTTTTTAGAGAAGTCTGTGAGGTTTAGCATGTTAAGAAATGATTCTCCTTTATAATTTCATTGCAAGTTTGGTCTCCACACACCACATGGGAAGCTAAATGCACTGATTTAGGGAAAGAGAGTTGCTTCCCTGCTGAGACCTGAAAAGAACAGAGAACTCCAAGGGATCTGGGGGTCTGCTGGGCCCTGTCTGAGTTCCAAGGTCACTGACCGCCCTGTTTAGGGCTCAAAAGTTCCTCCTTTGTGCTAGCCTCAGTTTACTTCACCAAGCCAGAGAGATGGGTCATTTACTGTCTCCTTTGCTTGATGATGGAAGCCCAGGCTTGTGGGCTAAGAACATGAAAGGTTCTCCAGCTCCTGGAAGTTTGCTTCCTTGGCAGGGCCTAAGTATGTTTAATTTAAACTTTCCTAAAATATACTCCCGGCGTGGGGCCATATCTTGAGCATTACTTTCTGAAAGTTCTCAAAAATCTCAGAGCTGGAGGCGGCCAGGCCCTACTGGAGTCTGGGTGACGGGTATTGGGCACCACAGTCCCTTCTCAGGAGGCTTCCAGGGAAAGTGAACATGCAGGAGGGATATGGGACAGGGAAGGGGTCCTGTGAAGCTGCCATGCCCATGATCCACCGGGTGCCTACAGACAGTGCTCCAGAACGAGCATGAGGGAATTCAAGATGCTTCTTAAGAGCAGAGTGGGCAAATGAGGTCATAGAGGCTGTAAGATTCGCTACCTTGGGAAGTTAAATAAGGTGACGCGGGGCTTCCTGAGACACAAATCTCTTACTCTTTGCTAATTAATAAGCATAAACTAAATATCTGTATTACACACAGAAAATGAATGAGTAAACAGAAAGGAAACGGCCAGCCAATTGGAGGCGGGAGCACAAAGAGGGGGAAGTTCTAGGTGCTTATCCCTCCCTGCTCAGTGCAGGATGCACTGGCTGGGGGAATGAACCACCTTCTCTAGGCACGTGGTCTTCAGGCAGTGGGGGTTTCTCAGCATCTGCAGCTCCAACCTTTCTGCTGTGACAGCGTGCTCACGGAACAACATTCTGGTGATTTCTAAGTCTTCTAATGTCAGGAACAGGAATCTCTGTTGTCATGGTCAGTGGTCATGTCAGTGGTCCCCAGGTTTCACACATTTGCATTGTGCATTTGTGATTGGTTCATCGTCTAGAGTTTGAATTGATGGTGTCAGTGCTACACCCACCTAGGGGTGGAGCCAGCACACAATGTAATGGCAGGAAGAAGGTGTGTCTCTCTCTTGCTAATTTCTACCTTGCTGTTTGCAGCCGCCATGAACTGCAGCCCCGCCATGCCACCCTGCCTTGGAGCCAACTGAGTACGGACTGAAACCTCCAAAAACTGTAAGAAATAAACCTTTCCTTTCCCAACTTTGGGCATCGGGTATTTTGCCTCAGCAACGAGTTAAAAGTAACTAAGACATTGGTGAAGCCTGTGGGTCCTAGAAAGGAATGCCTACCCCATCCTTACTTCCAAAGACATTAAAAACAAACACTGGTTGCTTTATAGACATTCACTTCTACTTGTAAGTTCAGTGGTTATCGTCAGGCACACAGGAGCTGAGAGGGGTCTACCATGCAGCCTCCAGGTGGTTGAAAACTTGCCAAGGTGAGGCTTCCTAGGGTGAAGGCTTTGGGTTGACCCACACCCATGTTCCTCTTCTCACACATTTTTCTTCAACAAGGAGAGGAAAAAGGAGTCTTCAGAAAGATTGTGTATGTCATAAGCCTACATTCCCACTCTACAAGCATTTATCCTGGGTCATTACTCATTTATCCTGGGTCAGACCCTACCACAAGGGTCTCTCCAGGTCTTTACTCTCCTCCCTTGTTATGGCTCCTAAGTGGGTATGTACCCTTCAGGGCTGTGCTAACCAATTGATTTACTATTGGGAGAAAATATAATCATACAGGACAATAGGAGTATTGTGTATATTAATTTTATCTTTTACTTTCTATTTTTGCAATATATATACACATATATATTAGTTCATTATTAGACTGCATAGGTATGTTGAGGAACATGCTCAAAATTTCTTTTCTGTCAAGAGACTAAACTCAGGAAATCTTAGAAACCATTCTCTCGGATAACTGTAGAAGGAACCCTGGGAAAGAGGATAATGAGGCTGTATAGGAGCACATTCACCATGGCCCAAGCAGGAAATTCCATGTGTTGCATATCACTACAGTGCCAGCTTGGGGAAATCTGTAGGAAGTTCACATGGTGGGGTTCTGTCTTAGTTACTTTTCTCTTTTTGCTGCGACAAAATACCTGACACCCAAAGCTAAAGGAGGAAAGCTTTATTTAGCTCACATTTTGTAGAGGTTTTAGTCCATACTCAGCTGGCTCCAAGGCAGGAAGACATACGGCAGAAGGCAACCTTTCATGGTGGCAGCAGGTAGCAAAAGCAACAAGCGAGAGAAAAAGGGGGAAACAAGCCTATTTCCACCCGTTTTATTTTATCCAGACTGCTGAGATTAGAACCCTGCAATCACCCAGCATTAACCCAGCATCCTTAATCTTAGCATTGCATTACAAATCAGTCACATGCTTTAGGTTCAGCCACCTCCAAAAAAATCCCTGCCCCCCACCATGACTGCATGAAGCTTCGGGGGGACATCTAGACACAAACCATAACAGGTTCCAGCTCACGTCTCTTGAATCAGAAAAGCCAGTGGAGGGGCTCATGAGCCTCTGAGTGAGCTTACAAGTAGAAAGGATGGAACACTACTACAGAGGTCACTAAAGATCTAGAATATGGGGTCAATCCCAGGGACATATTGTAGACTCTGAGAGCATAAGGCAATAGGGACCAGGCAGAGTCCCTTGCAACTCATCTGCTTCCAGTTTCTGTCTTCTGGAGGATTTACTTCTGTCCATCTTCTGGGGCACACTGTCTGCCTTTGTATTTGGTTATTGAGAGGACCACTCTCCCTGAATGGACCCAAACAGCTCTTGGAGCTCAACCTTCAGAGGAGTTAGAGAGGCTGAGCCTTGGGAGAGGAGCCAAAGAGGCTGCTTGGCCACTTGGAGGCCTGGCTGGAGACGCCGGAGAGTCAGCTTGACTCCCTGAGGACTGGGCCAGGCCAGTTCCCCAGAGATAGGGGTGTCTGCAGAATGTTTGGGACAAAGCCCTAACTAGAAACTATAGTATATCTTTGCCCATTCCTGAACCACTGTGTTTATCCTTCTAGACCTCCTGGAGGGAAGAGCTGGGGAAGACAGAATTTGGAGTCTGGATATTGAGCAAATGCTTCTCCCCACATCTCCTTAGATTGGGCCACCCGTATCCACAACCTCTTTGAGTCATTGTAACAAACAGGAGATAGTTCTGCCACAACATTTCCATTTTAAACACCAGAAAACAGGCCAACAGGCCAAGCCACTTCCCTAAGGTCCGTGGGTGTGATCAGCCCCTTCTCTCCTACCTTATACCCCACACCAACGTCTTCGTTCTTAGTAAAGTAGCAGACCCCAAAGATGGGTTTACATTGCATTACCTCCTATTGCAAGCCCAGTGCCAGGGATTTTGGAGGCATTTAGTGACTTGTCTGGTATTTGCTCCAGGCCCTGGGGTAGCCTTAGAAAGAGTGAGAAGCAGGACTCAAGCTCTCTTTATACTCCCATCCTCCTTCCCTGCACAAGTATGTGAGCTAAACTTTCTATTATTTGAGTTAAAACACTCCTTCCTCAATAGCCCTGCTGAAATGCACCTGCCACCTTGAAAGTAAAGAATTACTAGGAAAAGAAGGAAGGAATTCTAGATTTCTCATTCATTTGCTCATGCTTAATTTATTAATTAATTAATTTATTTAATAAGTATTAATAAATTATAAATTATTAATTTATTAAAATAAACAGCAGTGCAGGTCTCAAATATATCTGCCTTACGACAAACAAGGGCTGCTGTCACCGTAGAGAGCAGAAGGTGAGTCACAAAGAAAATTGATTCTATGTAGAGTGTGTGTCCTTAGAATCTAGAAATCGGTGGCTTTATTTGTCAAGATCTCAAAAATACCCATATCCTCGCTTCTGAGTTATGAACATATCTTTTATTCTGTTGCCTCAAATCCTTCCCCCAGGAAGGTAACTACCAAGGCAGTCACTTGTCTTTAATTGCTTGTTCTTAGGGACACTGGATCAGTCCCCCGCTGTTGACTACTTACCGCTCACTTCGTTTTCTTGAGATCAGAAGGTCTTTGTCTCGGCAATAACTTTTTCCAGAAAGTCTTGAGAGAGGTATAATAAAGAGGCTTGTTCCCTCTTTCCAGCAGAAGGACTGGAGCTCTGAACACTGATCTCAGACTACTCACCTGTATTTATAATCTCTGAAGCACATCTGATGAGCTTTGAGCTTAGAAATGAGAAGCTTGAGAATTTTCAGGAAGATTAAGAAGTTGACCTTGGGGAAAAGAAAGTAGATGTTGGTAAGAGATAGACTCCACATTGCTGTGACTATCAGGGTCGCCCAGGGCTGGGCCACCAGCTCCTGGCCATGAAAACCTAGAGCAATTGGGCAGCTAGCGGGTCATATAGTAAGTGCTTGTAGTAACCTCCATGGTCCCGAAGGCCATGATCTAAAAGTATGGAAGGGCTCTTGCCTCATCACTCAGTTTAACCTTCTGCATAGAGGCGCCCTGGTTGTAAAGCCATCTGAGAAAGGTGGACAGACATTTACAGGATTATTATCCTCATCAGCTCACCATTATTATCATCACTTTATGATGCCAGGGTCTTCACAGTGAGCTCCATCCCCAAGCCCTTTTGTATTTTATTTTATTTTATTTTATTTTATTTTATTTTATTTTATTTTTGAGACAGGGTCTCTCTATGTAATTCAGGCTGGCCTTGACTCACTGTGTAGCCAAGCTTGCTATTAAACTTGGTGATTATCCTGCCTCGGTCTCCTAAGTGCTGGGATGTGTGTTACCATGCCCAGAACTCTTTTTTCGTTTTAGACATGGTCTCACTAAATCATTAACTTACCCAGCTGGGCTTGAACTTGTGATCCACCTGCCTCAATTAGCATCATCATCATCATTATTATTATCATTTGTCGAGTATTTATTAGGCCAGGTTTTAGGCCAAGAACTGGCCCAACATTTCACGTCACCTTCAAAATAATTCCCTGAGACAGCCATGGCTAATTTTACCCCCATCATACAATAAAAAACAGACACAGAGGGGATAAGTGTAATTCCCACAGATGCACAGCTGGTCAGGCACTGAGCTGTGAGCAATCCCAGATTTATTTGATAGCCATGCTCCCTCTAGTTAAGCAGACACCATACCACTTCTATTCTTTGAAGAGCATAGTCTGTCATTGTCTAATCTGAGATCCTATCACCATTCGGGGATCCACTGGGAAGTGCATGCACCCCACTTCCTGGAAGATTTTCCATAACTCCTGTGGACTGGATGAATCCAGTCCTTTTTATTAGCTGTGGTAGAAATTATAAAAATATATATACAAAATTCACTACAAAAGACAGAGCCTAATTTCTCCCTTGCCTTCCCTAAACTCAAACATAAGACAGATTTAATAACTTGGATCTAATAAAAAACATGGTGGCAGTGATGCAACGTGACTTCTGAACTTGGTTCTCGAAGGATGGCTTACACCTGGCATGGTGTTTCTGGGATCGCTCATGCTGAGGGAGGCTGATCACCATGTTGTGAGGACACTCAAGCTGATTGTGGAAAGACCCACATGAGAGAAGAGAGTCCTCCCACCAACAACCAGTTCTGCTCTCCAGCCACATGTGTAAGCCACCTTGAAGTGATCCTTCAGCGGAAGCAAACCTTTAGATGGCTGCAACCTTGGCTGGATTTTGGCTCATGAGAGATCACAGACCTCAGGGAGGTACACAAAAGTGGTTGAGCCTGGAGAATAAGGATGAGGTGTGTGAGGAGGCTGGAGAAAGGAGGGACAGGAAGGGTAAATAGACACATGCCTTTCACGGTCACACTGACAACACAGGTTTCCTTCCCAAAGTAACGGAGATCCCGTGCTTAATCTGAAGCAGGCAAGCAGCCTGATTAATTTGCTTTTCTGCATTTCGAAAGCTCATTTTTCCTATCAGTATAGAGAATGATTGGACTGGAGGAAGGGAGACCAGTTGGGAGGGATTTTCAGTTCTTGGGGAAGATGATGGAGAGCTGAACTCAAGGCGCTGCCCTGGGATTTCCGTGATGGGGGGAGAAGCCCATTTGAAATCATCAAATTTGAGTCAAGTGAACTTTGTCACTGGTTGTATCTGAGGCAAAAGATGAGCCTAGTGTTTCACCATAAATCTCGAATGTACGTTAACACCCTTCACCGAGAAGGGAACAGTGCGGAGCAGGGAGAGCATTGGTGACGGGAAGGTGAGGGGCTTCTGGGAGAGACGTCCCAAGGGGGTCAGATATTTTTATTGAGATGTTAACAGGAAGATTCCAGCCAGGGCAGAAAGCCATGAATATGATGAGGTTATCCACAAAGACTAGATTCAGAGAGGAGAGACAGACAGACAGAGACAGGGAGACAGAGACAGAGACAGAGACAGAGACACAGAGACAGAAAGAGAGACAGAAACAGAGAGACAGATGGAGGAGGAGATCCAATTGCTCTGCAGTGAAGAGAATGGAGGTAGCAGTGACCAGAAAAACAGTGAGAGAGAGCAGCTGGGGTAAGCCACACGGAAGTGACATCCTAGAAGCCAAAGATAGGAAGAATCCTAGGAAAGTCCGAAGGCTGCATAAACTTTAGTCGGAATATGACTTCATGTAGCGATCAAGCACTAAGAAGCTGTGGAACAGAGAAAGCACAAGTCAGATTCCAGAGCTTTGGTGTCCGAATAAAATCTAGAGAACAGAGACGGTGCAGGCAGTGGTTAAAAGGCGTATCGGCAAGGGAAAAATTGGTGGACAGGGAGCAGGATGCAGATCTGCCACCTCTTTTCAGGGTTGGCTGAGGATCTGAGCAGCAGTTGTTGTTTTAATTGTAAAGACTTGATGATGCTCCTGGGCAATGGAAAGGAACCAACAGAAAGGACAATCAGGTGACAATGGAATAAAGCCTCTCCCGAAACTGATCCAGCACAGTACTGATGTCCCTGTCTAGAAGAAAAACCCTCTAGCTAAACACGAGCCATGGAACCCAGTAGGACCTGTCATTGCTTGCTTTACTGGCTTTGAGGGAACTAATATTCAGTGCCAAAAAGCTAGAGATTCAGGCAAGTGGGTGTTTATCTCATCAGCGAGCCAACAGGAATGAGGGAGGTTCTCAGCCAAAGGATATTTAGGAACAGTAAATTTAAATACAAACTAAATGTAACCAAGTGATACATCCCCTTTAATGGGATGTCTGTTTTTCATCCTAAAGATAAAACTCTGTGCCCGGCTTAGTGATTTGTTGAACAAAGGCATTTTTTCTCACAAAGTAAGCTTGACGGGAGAAAGGCACATATTTCAGCCAATTAATTTCAGTAAGGACTGTCTCCTAGGAAAGGAAGGGATGGGATGGGCAGCACGTGGATTCTCTGGTGTCTTTTTGTCTCCCAGAGACCAGACAAGAGAAAACAGGCATCACTTAAGGCCTAGACAGCACAGCTACATTTTGAGGTGTTACATACACTTTTCTGCTCCAGTATCTGTCCACAAGGCCTGCAGGGGGGCCGAGGGGGTTGATAGCATGGAAGGCACTCAGAGGGAGTCCTCATGAACCCCTTAACTCTGCCACTCCATCCCAAGCCCCTGATCCTGTGGCCTAACGTGTGGATAAAATGCCTTCCCTTAGAACTGTTCCTTTGGCAGAAAACACACTTTCTCTAAGATCCTGATGCAGTGTTTGTGTTCATGGAAGGCGAGGAATTCCGGGAGCAGAGGGAGGACTCCCTTCTCATCCTCATTTATTCATTCTTTTTTATAACAAGACTTTGATAATACGATCTGACTTATTTTCATCATGGAAGATCAAAGAAGGTAAGTTTTAACAGAGGTAGGGCGGCACCTGTCTAGGAGAAAATCCCACTGTGACTCCAGACAAGGAGGGTATGCGGTGAGGAGATACCCAGCAGCAGGGCCCCCGGGTCCCTGGCAGAGCACAGGACCTAAAGAGGTATAAGGCAGTAAGGACTGATTGTGTCCATTGATTATTATTTGCAAAATAAGATGGTTAGTAGGAGAAAATCAAGGAAGGCAAATGATCATTGACTTTGTGACTTCATGAGGCTAAAAGATGGTTCATTCAAATATGGATTAAAAACCACTTTTTCATTGGCTGTTCAGTCTGGTCAGTCTATTAACTCTAGGATATGAATAGAGTGACCTTGTTCATTACCATCATTTATGAGGCTGGACCAACTAAGCTGATCAGTTTTACAGGAGGATTCAGTCTAAGACAAGAATACCCTGTGATCCAATATGACTCAGCTGTAAACGTACAACCAATTAACCTACGAACTGAAGTATTGTATGCTGTCGTACAGAAAGAGCAAGGTGGGAATTCTCCAATTTCTGTGTCTGGTGAAAGGCCCAGGGAATATTCTGATTCTATGGACATTTTCAAAGCAGGAGACCTTGTACCAACAGAGCGGCAGGTGAAGTCTGCCAATGTGTCTGGACATCTAGCGTGATGTTCATTCACATCAAGCCGGATGCTTATCAGCAAATGCAGAGCCAAGGTAGGGGTGTGGAGGGGTCCACCTGCGACACTGGGATGCTCACCACTTCACCTCCATCTGCAGCGGGAGGCTCCTTGTCCAAATACCCCGAACACCAGCACAGCTGACTTTCCTCCAAACCTCCAGTCAAGGATCAAATGTGGCCCAGGTTCAAATGTAAAAAATTGTGAAATGCCCCAAAATGCCAGCTCAATCTCAATTATTATTATATTTTTGGTGTTTTAGTTTAAATAGAACAGGTCTGAGGGCAAGGGATATATTTTTTTCTTAACATAATAATTTATTTTTTCTTATGTCATAGTCTGGTGCACTGTGGAAATTTTGAGCCATGCAATCGTTCAGGATCCAGGCTCCAAAGGAAATTAATTCTCTTTTGGAGCTGAGCTATGTCTACTCAGACTGTTGGGAACTTCAGTATGGGGTCGTACGATCAAACATGAAGGCAGTCATGATTCAGTCTGATGAGAATCAGAATTATACTCATTAAATTCTGAATCCCATGAAGAGAAAAATTTGAAAGAACCTAGCACCTTGCCAGTGCAGAGAAGGTGCTCTAAGAATGTTACAGAGAGAAGGTGGGTGCCCGAGAGTTCACTACTGGGAAAGTTTTATGGGCGGGAGGTTTGATCCCATCAGTCTGGGTGGAGTCTTGGTCTGGTGTTTTTAAGCCCCCTCCCCCAGGTTGTTCCAATGCTCAGATACTGTCCAGCCCAGAGGTTTTGTTTTGTTTTAACCTAAGCACGCTAACATTTGGGACAGGATAATTAGTTTTTCTGGGGGGCTGCTCTCAGCACTGTAGGACGTTGTGTTGCATCCCTGACCTCTACCTGACTAGATACTAATAACAACCCCTCTCAGAAATTTGTGACAATTAAAAATTTCTCTAGACATGGCCAAGGGCCTCCAAAGAGCAGAATCACCTCCTCCAACTCTGGTTTTACAGAAGAAATAGAAGTGAAAGAGGTCAGCTGACTTGGCTAAAGAGCTTACTACAAATCAGACCCCAGATCCTGGCTTCTAGATCCACTTCACACTCCTCACACCTCACTACAGATTTCTCATTTTTCTTTCACTTCTGGTAAAATATAGAGATTCAAGCTGGGCGTGGTGGCTCACACCTGTAATCCCAGCACTCGGGAGGCTGAGGCGGGAGGATTGTTGCAAGTTCGAGACCAGCCTGGGCTAGACCGTGAGCTCAAGGCCAGCCTGAACTGCATAGAGAGACCTCGTCTCAAAAAAGACAAAAAAAAAAAAAAAAAAAAAAAAAAAAATAGAGATTCTACTCTCCAGGGAGCCCTGAAACCAATGCACAGAACCCTAGAATCCTAGAACTGTGCATGGTGGGAACTCCACAGGTTTAAGTCTCTACTGTCCGGCAGAGTCTCTTGTTGGAGACTGATGGACATGGACACTCCAAAGCCTTTCTCTATGGCCCATATCCGTATTCTGCAAATTGATGGCCAAACATGACTGCCTTTGACCAGAGGGAATTTTCCTCAGCTTCGTATAGACGCAGATCACAAGAGTGTAGCACTTTTCTCTAAGACCTTTGCTGACCTGAGGATTCGTGTGAAGCAGCCCACTGAGGATGTGCCCATTGATTCCATTAACTGAGAGAGGACAGTTAGGAGCTTGATTTCTGAGGAGGAACAGTCCACTAGACGGATGTGGGGCCATCAGATGAGCATTTCAGGAAGAAGGAATATGGAGGCACGGGAGGACTTGGATTTGGAGACCGTCAGGTTTCTCCACGTGCAGTACATAAGCCAAGGACACTGTGATTGCACAGGCAAACAGGGAATGATGACACTTAACACACTGAGGAGTTCGGAGCCTGCCTGAGGGACTCATTCAGAGTTACAAGCCGAAAAGAGACATAATCAGCCTTTACTCGGAAAAGGCCACTGCGATTTTCAGTGTATGAGAATCAGGATTCAATTCTTGGTACACACAAAAAATCCTGGCTAGAATATGGAGGATAAATTGCTAAGAACAAGAATGAAGGGCTTGGTTCATTCTTGCCAGAGGAATAAATAAGAGCCATAAAAGTGAAATTAAAGAGGAGACAAATCATCAGGATCTTTAGAGGAAGAACGGACAAGGCCCGAAGTCTGAGCAAATATTGCAGAAAATGAGCAAATGCAGCTAGCGGGTGACTCTGTGACTCGGCTCTACGGGCAGGTGAACGGTGGAATCGTCGGCTGGGTGGGGGGAGAAGCAGGAGAGGAATATGTGGAGGGGAAGATGAGGAATCCACGGTGAGCTAAGCTGACTGTGCAGTCAGCCACTCCTAGAGGTGCGGAAGCTGCAGCCAGCCAAGCTGATTTTATCCCAGATGAGCAGATAGAGCATATGCGCTTGTCCCGCTGAGAGTCAGCGTCCCTCTAGGAGCTTGGAAGTAGCCGATTGGAGAATCAGCAACGGATAAAGAGCTTGACAGACTTTAACGTGCCTCCAAACCTGGAGAGCTTGTGACAATGCAAATTCTGATTCAGGAGGTTTGGCAGGTAGGAGATGAGAGCTTGAATGTATGCAAGCATAGCACAGTCCGATGTTGGTGGTCATGGTCCCTGAACCACTTTTTGAAGAGCAAGACTGAGTTAAAACACTCCTCAATCTCAGCCACATAACTGGAATCCTCTCTTGGGGAGCCCCTTCTGAGATCAGTGGAACAAAAATGTCTGGGAGTCACACCCAAGCCCAACGAATTTGTAAAGCCACCCCCACTATTCCTAAGAGAAACTAAATTTGAGCTGTGTTTGTAGGCTATTGGTGTAGCTTCTAGAAGATTGCAGAGTGACTACTGGTCATCATTCCCTGTTTGCCTGTGCAATCACAGTGTCCTTGGTAGAGTCTGAATTTCATCAGAGAGCACTACTGAGTCCTCTCTTGTTTTATTAGTCAGCAAGCATCTTTCAGGACCTTCAGTGTGGGTCACAAATGCCCACTGAATACATTTATCGGGAGTCCCCATTGGGCTAGCTTGCCAGGATGACCACAGCGTGCAGTTTACAGTGGTACCAAAGAGTTTTCAAGTAAGCACTTGAAGTTGGCAGGTCCTGGAGATGAGACAGTGTGAGATTCAGAAAAGATGCAAAAGAGGGTGTGACCATTTCTACTTTGTGATTTGAGTGTGCAGATACACTAGCACCTAACTCTTCGGTCCGTTGGCAAGATTCACTGAGCTCATACACAGAAAGCACTTGCAACTAGTGATGCTATGTACAAAGCACTACCGGGCAATGCAGAGGTGCCCAGAGGAGGCAGGTGCTGGAACCCCAGCCGGACGATGTGGCCAGAGAGGAGAGGATCGTGGAGTATTGGATAGAGATGCGAGCCGGGGCTCACAGTGCTGCATGGGGCGCGTGTGTGGCTGACTTCGTCAGTGACGTCTGCTCTCAGCTGTGTTTCCTGGGGCTGGGGGAAGACACCAGCCGTTGTGCGTCACCTCACCCACCAGACATGATGTGACCCAGCCTTGCAGTCCCCAGACTCTCTGCACCCTTGGTCTCCTGCCTTTTTTTTACCAACATTCTTCCCTTGAGGCCTAAGCAGACAGCTGCTGCTTTGTATTTTATTGACAAGTTCTGACATCTTATGAAAACTAGATGTTTTTTTCTCTCACGATGCCATGTGATTTACACAGAATAGCAAATCAAGCAACTTCTCAAAAGAGATCAGAGGAGCACGGAATATGGGGCCCAACACCCGGCCATGATGGCCCCGTGTCTACACTGGAGAATTTCTACCCTCTACTCACGGATCTAGCCAGCCTTTCCTACTTCTGGATAACTCCTTGGTCTTTCCCTTAAGTGTCTTTGACAGATTTCATCTCCACACATTACGATCTAAAGGAACCTTAGGACTCAAGGCCAGACATCTCTCCTCATCCTGAATATTCTGGCCATAACGAATCAAGGCCCCTCCCCTTAAGGTCTCATAGTATCACCCTAATCCTGGTCTTACCACCTCTCACAGCTTTGTGTTAATACCGATCGTGAGTTTTCTTCCTTTAAAAGTAGTTTCCTTGATCCTTCCTCCTGCTAATGGTGTGAGGAAAAGCTCCTTAGCTGCTGCCTCTGGGCTCCCCTTTCCTGCCCAGGGCCTTGGGAGAATCTCAGACCCAGCGAGAAGGAGACTTCAGCGTAACTCTGAAGTTAGACCCTGAAGCAGAACAAGGAAAGTTTCCAAATTCTCTTGCAGCAGAAACTGCTCACAGCTCAGCTTCTCTTTCTCAAGGGACCAGGGAATTCGGGAGCCAGGATCAAGGAGGGGTGCCCTGCGGCTGCTGAGCCCAGAGGGAGAAGAGGTGAGCGGGCGGTCCTTACGGTGACACAGAGCAGCATGGGTCCTCGGATGATCCACCAGATTTTCGTATTCGTGTTTGTGGCCCAGCACCTAAGGGCGTAGAGCAGGCAGAAGATAACAATGTTATGAGGTTGGATGGCAAAGTCGCACGCCCTGTAGAAGAAATCTTGCTCTAAACCTTATGTCCTGCCAATCATTCTCCTAGAAGTGGGACCAGGAAAAGAGAATTAAAATTCTTTGTATTAGTCTGGGTGCTATTAGCTTTTTTTACTTTGAAATTGTTCTTCACTGTTCATAGCACTGTGTAAAGTTTTCTACATGATCCTATAAACATGAATCCTTATATACAGATTCTTTATTACTTAGGAAACTGTTTTTCCATGTTTCATATATGTTACATGTATATCGTATGTGTTATATATCATATATGTTTGGTGATTATCTGGGAGAAGCATATAATCACACAATACACATTATTCAGCAACAGACTTAAAGTGCAAAACCAGGAGCTAACCTGATTTTTTTCATAATATTCCAAGATACAAGTATGCTACTATTTAATCAATAATTCTCATTCTGATTGGCACTCGGGTGTTTTTTTGATTTTTGGCTTTGCTTTTTTATTTTTTCTCCTCACTGTGAACAGTGCTACAGAAAGTATTCCTGTACTTATGTCCTTACATACCTAGTACCACATCCAACCCATAAACATCTGTATGTTCATTTGCCTGGATAACCAAATTACTAAACTACTAGAAGATCTTTTGATCACTTTATTTGTATTTGTAAGTATATTCTAAAAGGACAGAGGTGGGAGAGTTTAATTTCTCTTTAGGAAATGGTATCATTCTATATTTGAGCAAATTACTGGCGCACAGCAGAGGGAAACCAGTGAGCCACCTACCCGCTGTTCTCCAGCAGCGCACGGGTAACAGCCCAGGGGACAACAAACAGCACGGGGAAAGCTGAGGAGAAAGAAAAGGAAATGTGAGGGACAGAAGGCTGCAAAATGTGCCTGCCCCCACCCCAGCCCGATGGTGCCCAGGGCAGCCATTTAAAACTTATAAAACCCAAATACAGAATCATGAACTACAAGAACCAGAGAGAGCTGGGGGGGGGGGGCGACTGGCTGAACCACTGCTTTACGATGAGAGAAACCAGCATCCGAAGAAGAGTTCACGTTATAACTCAGAGAGGATCTAAAGACATAAACCAAAATCTCCCGAATCGCAGGCCTAGGTTATTTCATCTGAACCCTGCAGCATCAAATTCTCCATGGTTTTGTAGATAGGGGTTCCAGGTCTGGATATTGTTTCTCATCTTTAAATCCAAAACACAACCTTGAGCACTTGCTGTGATAGACTAAATGCTGTGTTTTCAAATTTGTATATTGCAGCTTTATCCCCGATGTGATGGTATTTGAAGATAAGGCCTTTGGAGACAGTCAGGTTGGAGGTTGGCGTAAGGTTGGCATTCTTGTGGTTGGCTTCATGCTCTTATAAAAAGAGGCAAGATCTCTCTCTCTCTTTCTGTGTGTGTGTTTGTGAGTGTGTGTGTATCTGTCTGTCTATCTGTCTGTCTGCCTTCTCTGCAGTCATGAAGAGCGCCCTCATGAGAATACACTCATGCTGGATTTCCTGGCCTCCAGCACCACGAGAAAGCAATGTCTGTCATCGAAGCCACATGGATACTTTGCTATGGCACCAGAAGCACACTCATGCAGCTGACAGTAGTGCGTTGTCATCTGATGCCATCAAAGACCTTTCCATGTTTGCACTGAATATACAGTACCTGCACATATGTTCAGGTATGTACACAGATACACACACACACATGCACACATACACGCACACTTCTCATCAGAGTCTCTTGTCACTAAGGAATTATCTGTCCCAGAAGTTGTCTTCCAGTTGGATTCCAAACTCTAAGCCAACACTCTGTAGGGCTCCCATGTTCTGCTGAGTCCCAGGAGAGGAAGCTGGGAAGTCAGGTCACTCACCCCAGCCCACCACCAGGTATCTGGGCCACAGCCGCCTTTCAGGAAGCACTGTGGGCTTCAGCAGTGCGTGGAGGTAAAGGCCTTCGACCAGCAGCCATAAGTGGTTGGCGCCTACAAAGTAGTGCAGGAGGACTTGGACAGAGCGGCAGGAGGTGGACACCTGCAGGGAAGAATAACTGGAGGTCAGCCCTGGCTTCCCCAGCACGCGATCCCCTAATGGACAGAGAAAGGAGGCACAAGCCCTCCTCTGTCCTCTCCAGCCCTTGATGGTCATCTCAGAGTACTGGGCAATAATATAAATCATCAAGGGGGCTTCAGAGAGCTTTTAGAAACCAACTCTTTCCTGACATTCTAGAATTTTTAAACAAAAACAGGGAACAGTCATCTTCAACACCTGCTCCAATCCATACACTAAAAGTATTCTCTAACCTCAGCTTAATGAAGCTAGAAATCAGTAACTAAAAATCTTTATATGGTAAGAAATGAGAAAACAGACATGGTAACCCAGAAATCAAAGAAGAAATTATTGCAAAAATTAGAAAATATTCCTGAGCTAAGTGTAAGGAAACCATTGCATACTAAACTTCTGTTGTGCAGCTAATAGCAACCCTAAAAGTGAAACTTTCAGCCTGAAGTACATTTATTTAAAAAGAAAAATGTTGGAAATTGGTTATCTAAAATAATGCCAGAAAAGTTAGAAAAAAGAATAGCAAACTGAATCCAAAGAAAGTACATACAAAGAAATAATGAGAATGGAAAAGAGGCCAGGCATGGTGGTGCACACATGCAATCTCAGCTCTTGGGAGGCTGGGGCAGAGGGATTGCTGTGAGTTCAAGGCCATCCTGATCTCCACTGCAAGACCTTGCCGCAAGAAGACAGGAAAAAAAAGAGAACAAAAGAGGTTCTCTCTTGTTAAAAGAGAGGTTAATAAAAGAGATCAATGTCAAAAGTTTGTTCTTTGAAGATTTCAGTAAAGTTGAGAAATGTCTGGTAAAGGGAATCAGAGAAGAGTCCAGATACAAAGAACCAGTCACAGGCATGCAACTGAGAGCACATTACAGACCCAACAGATGTCAGCAAGATCTAAAGAGAATCAGTATTATATCCATAAATTTGAACAATATTATATCAGTAGATTTGAAAAGTTAGATGAACTAAGTAAACAAATTCCTAAAAAGATTACTATCATTGACACCAGAATAGGAAATATAAAATTTATAATTAACCTATAATTCAAAATCTTCCAATACAGAAATTCTTTGTCCACTTGGATTCACTTTAATCTTAAAATTCTTCCAAAAATAGTAAAGGAAGAAACACATAACAATTTTTTTTTGTCTTTTCCGTTTTTATCGGTACCAGGGATCGAACTCACGACTGCCTGCTTGCAAGGCAGGCGCTTATGCCGCTGAGCTAAATCCCCAGTCCCCACATAACAATTTATTTTAAGAGGTCAGCATAAACTTGATACAAAAACTTAACAAAAGTTTTACAAGAAAAGTATAGCCAATCATCAGTGAGGAAATGCTAAACAAAACACAGTATTAGCAAACTAGGAACATGGTAAGTTGTTATTGGGAAAACAGCTCTGTTGCATATTTCAATTTGGAAAAGCCTTGCTGCTTTAAAAACTGATTGCAAAACGGTTAAGATGGTCCAATTATTTTGCATACAGATGAAAAACTTCCCACCCAAGAATGTACAGCAGAGGTGGAAAGCCCATCGCTTCTGATTCCTTGACCTGGCCCACTCTCGGGGGGTTGAGGTGCCCACAGAACACAGGCTGCTTCTCTAACCTAGAAGTCTTGGACACCCCTCACCTCCCTGTCCCCCTCCTCCGTCCCCCCTGCTCAATGAGAGGCCCCGTTTAGACAGGGGGATGAACCTACCTCGGACAGGTAGGACATCCACCCGCTCTCGTCGTCGGGCCTCCTGGAGTAGGAGCTGGAGAAGACAACGTCCTTCACCAGCACAGCCACGGCTCTCAGAATGAATGATGCAAATAAATTCATGTGGATGTAGTTGCGAGTACAGTGGAGTTTTCTGTGTGAAGAGACAGGGAAAAATGGCTCAGCCGAGCAGGCACATGCTTGACCTGCCTGGAGAAAGACGTTTTCCAGTTCGGGCTCAGAGCTGGGCTGCTGAGTCAGGAGATCTGACTCCCCCGTGTCTCATCTTCCCCGTGCGTAAAACAGGGTTATAGTAGCTTCCGCTGGGGACCTGCTGGACATGCAAGACCACATGCAACCATTTACACCTGCAGGGACTTTCTGATGTCCTTATTTCTTGCCACCACTGGAGGAGTGGGCCCTCTTATTTCCTAAAGAAGAAAGGTTAAGCCACCTGTCCACAGTCCCGAAGCAATAAGTGGTACTGAACATATCCAAACCCAGAAACTCTGAGGCCAAAGCACAGCTTGCTAAGCCTCCTCTGCCTCTGAGGATGACAGTCTTAGAGAAGGAAGTTAAACCAGTTAATTCTGATAAACTGCCTGTAACAAGTGCCCAGAAAAATGTCAGCTCTCACCACCTATCGCTGGACGTCCTGCTGCTCTCTGGCACGCAGGCTGATGTGACACTGAACATCAGTTTCTCACCTGGAGAACCTTTTCTAGCACTGTGCCTTCTATGCAGCTCCTACCCTAGTCCACTTTGCTGAAGAGCTATTATGACATTTTTAGTTTCGAGGTATGTCCTTGGGTCTTACCATGTGTGCATTTTTCTCCCTGAGACTGGGCTTTCTTAGTTGTCTTGGAACTTGAGGCAAAACAGACATTTATCCAACCCAGGTTCAACAAAGGCCACTTCCTGCAGGGCTGGGCAGTTATTTCCTTCTGGCTGGGTTCGGGGACTTTGGGAAGGTGAGTGGAGGGACATCACAGATACTCGGGAGGCCCAGGCTGTAGAATTCTATAGCTTACATCACTATCCCAGGAAGGTCATGACTTCCCTCTTAGAGTCTCAGAAAACTCTCTAATTGAGGGCTCAAGTGAAGCCAGACCTGGGCTAGCAGAGCCCAGATGAGAAGCTGCTCTGGGACTGGCAGCCAGGTACCTAGAGTCCACAACCAGGCCTCCACATGCTCACTCTGCAAGATTTTCCTCACTTATGGTCCTGAGTGGGCTGAGTCCAAAGGGTGGCCTCAGAGGCTCCCTGGTGACCCCATCAGTATCTCACCTGAGCAGAGACTAAGAATGCCATTTAATAATGGACTCAGCCTTTGGATTCTGAAAGATGGTACCAGGAGCAAAACCAATCAGACCCTAGGCTGCTTGTTGTGACCCTGGCTCCATCCCCCACCAGCTGAGGGGCACTGGGCACGCTATCAGGTGTGATGGAAAAGTACAATAAGCATTTTAAACTAAAAAAATATTACAGTAAGACACCTGCTGCCAAATCCCCCTTCCCATAGCCCCTGCCTCTGGCACTCTTGTGCCATGGCTCTCCCTGATTTCTGAAGCAGGTCTGGAGGAAGTCCTTTATGTACATGTCTTTAGTGGTACAGTTGTGGCTGCTTTGGGGGTCTTGACTTTGACCTCTCGTGGTCATTGTGACCTTGGGGAAGAGCCAAATTTCCCAGACTTGGTGAATAAGGTCAGTGGGACCCACCACAATGTTTTATAAGTCTGCCTTTCCATGTAGATGGCTTTCCATAGCAGTGTTCACTGTATTTTCTTAAACATCAGACCTAGGGAAGATCATGAAAGAGCACTTCCAAACCTGCTTGAGAAAGTAGGAGCTCTCCAGATAAGTGTGTGTGAAGGGAGTATTTTGAGGGGTATTAAGAGTGATAGATTTTTTCTTGTAATAAATTTTTGTATTTACGCTTCATCATATATTTTGGCTGTACCTGGAATTCTATCTCCATTTTCCAGTGCACTCGCCTGTAAATCAGGAGCAATCATAGCGGGAACCTCCTAAGACTAGAATTAGTCTTAACTCAATTAGGATCAGGGCTTCATTGAGGGTGGGCATGGGGGTGAGATTTAAATGATTTAATGTCCGTAGAGTGCCAAGAGGAAGCCCTTCAATAACTGACAGCCATGGCCCTGGATTAAAATCCCAGTTCTACAGGGGAAGTTTCTAACTTTCCTTTAGCGATGATAGCTCCGATGGAGTTTTGGTAAGAGTGGCCTGCGGTATGATTGGGTGTGGCCCGGGAGTTACGCCCTGGCTGGTTGGCTGTGACAACACAGATAGTATCAAATCCCAAAAGTAGTGTCAGGAGTCCTGGACTTAAATTCTGTATGGGAATCGCCTTTCGTCCCATTCATTAGCAAAATGAGACAGGCACATGAAACGCTCTGTCAGGCCCCTTCCAGCTCTGATGGTCAGTGACATCACACAGCCCAGTCCTCTATGGCCTGCTGGAGGCAGCCACTGAGGAAATTACAGGACACCTTGATGAACCCGTGTCAGAGCTTCTACTCACCTAAGAAACAAGAGAAGACTAAGCGCCAGGAAGAGGGAGACAAGAGACACGGAGTAGCCCACGGTGTACATCAGCTGCAGGGTTGCCAACAAGGCATAATGATCCACCTGGACACGGAGGAAGAGCACAGGTGACCACCAAGGCAAGGTCCACCACCGCCAGCCTATGCCCAGGGCCACCAAGGGTCTAGGCAGTGATGGAGACACGGCTCAGCCCTTGTATGCTTATAAACCTTCCCTTCCTACCTTTATACACAACCTAGGAAGGGGATGTAGGCTGCCCCCTTGGGCACCTCAGAGGCTGGGGAGTCCCAGCGAGTGAAGAGCCCACAGTGGACCCAGCACTGATGCCCCAGGCATCGAGGTATCATGAAGGAACTGTGTCCAGGACAAGAGGGCGCCTGGGGGATGGAGGTGGGCTCTCTCCCCCTGGACAATTGTCCCTGGAGTCTGTAGGTCCTTCTCCCTGGAGAACAGAGCCAGGTCTCTGTCTGGGTGATTCCTTTACATAGTAAAACTTCAGAGATGAGCTCCTGCAAGAAAGCCCAATGGGATCCGTGAGATATTTCCCCTAATTCCCAGGATGGCCTGACTGTGATAAACGGATCATTTATTGGAAAATCTGTGCAACTAAATGTGATTTTCCGAGAGTCCCATCTTCTTGCTCAAACCATCATATATATCACTGGCAGAGCACGTTTCTTTTTGCTTTTCTTTTTCCTCCCTCTCTTCCTCCCTCTCCATCCCCCCTCCGTCCCTCCCTTTCTCCCATCCTTCCATCCTCCCTTCCCTCCTCCTTCACTTCAATCTCTTCTCTCTTTTTTGCAGTACTGGAAATGGAACCAAGAGACTTTTTCCTGAGTTGCATGCCCAGCTTTTTAAATTTTTTTTTATTTTGAGATAGAATCTTGCTAAATCACTGTTATCCAAACTGAACTCAAACTTGTGATCCTCCTGCCTCAGCCTCCAGAGAGTCCTGGGGTTAAAGGCCTGTACCACCATGCGGGACTAAGGTTATGTTTCTTAACAGCTTTTTGTACAAGAAGCCACAGTAAATACATTGTTTTTCAATTGTTTGGGCTGTTCTCTGTTTTTTTGTATTTCACAATCAGCTTGCAGATTTCTGCCAAGATTCTGTTGGAATTTTGACTGAGATTTCATTGAAACTATAGTTAAGATTAATATCTTAACTATATGAAGCCCAAGAACTTCACATATTTCTCCATTTTAATTAAGTTTTCTTTAATTTTGCCCTATTTCTTTTTAATTTTCAGTACATATATGTAGGGAGCGGCACCACCGCCCCATTGCTGCCTCCCTGCCTCCCTCTCCTACCGGCATATGATGCACCTGCCTACATTAACCATAATCCTCTCCTGCTTACGTCACACACCCGGACGTGACGATGACCAATCAGAAACCACCCCGTAGCCTCTTCCTGTCCCACCAGCCCGCCCTGGGCCCATAAAGGATGTGATCACTTCCTGAATAAAGGAGGCTTGATCGGATTCTCTCGACTTGCTTCAACCTCCCTTTGTCTCCTCCCTGTTCTATTCATCCTGGTTCCCCCTCCAGGTACACCCCACAGATGGATCCGCAGGCCAGATCACATAGATCCTGCCCATCTTTTATCAAATGTACTTTTGTATAGTTCATATTTTAATGCTGTTACAAATGGTATTTTCTCTTAATTTCAGGGTTTTCAATTGCTCACCATATGTATATGAAAACAGAATTGATTTTTAAAATTTAATGTGCATCCGGCAACCTTGCTAAACTTATTTGTGTAGAGTTTTATGTGCTGTTTGAAAAACGTTTTTGCTTTTTCTCTTCTGAACTCTATGCCTTCCATTTCTTTTTCTGCCTAATTGTTCTAAGGCCTACAGCATAATGGTTATTTTGTTTTGCTTTGCCTTGTTTTGTTTTTTTGATACAGGGCCTCTCCCTGTAGTCCTGGCTGGCCTCAAACTCGCTATGTTGCCCAGGCTGGTCTTGAACTTGCAGTGATCCTCCTGCCTCAGCCTCCCAATTGCTGGGGTTACAGGCATGCATCACCATGTCTGGTGCTCACTGTGTAATACTGGCTAGAAGGAGAGAATAGACTCATGACCTTCCTAAAGATACTAGGGGTAAGTATTCACTCTTGCTAACTAGTATGTTAATATTTCACTAACTAGTATAAGGATGCTCCTTCATACAGATTTTCTATGGCTACCATAATAAATTGTCACAAACTTGGCAGCTTGAATCAAGATGACCCACTGTCAGACAGTTCTGCAAATCAGAAGTCTAAAGGCAGTTTTATCGCGATACTTCAAAGTGTTGCCAGGTCAGCATTTTTTGTGCAGGTGCCAGGGAAACACCTGATCACCTCCTTCTCTAACTCCTGCCCTTCTCGCTTAGCTCCCCTCCTCGTCTTCAAAGCCAGGGGTGTAGCAGCTCCCTGCTCTCCTGCCTTGCTGTCTGTCCCTCCATCTTTGTTCTCGGACCCTAACATCACCGCCCCACTTTCATAAGGACACTTATGATTACATTGAGCCCATCTAAATCGTCCAAGATAATCTCCCCATTTGAGATCCTTAACTTAATCACATGTGGAAAGTCCCTTTTGTTACATAAAATAAATATTCTCAGGTTCTAGAGTCTAGGACATGGATGCCTTTCAGGAAGGAGCCACTATCCAGACCATCACACCTGTGTCAGACTGAGAAAGTTCTCTCTGAACACGAACAGGTGGAGAATTCTGTCATGGGTGGATTTTGTCACATGCTCTGTCATATCTGTTGAGAGGATCACATAGTTGTCTGCAAACAGGCTCAATTGCATTGTTAGTTTTCAAATGGTAAGACAACCTGTGTATTCTTTGTTTAGCTGCCTTTGATCATGATTTTTAAACGTTATTATTGATTCAATTTGTCAAAAAATTTAAATTTTTATTCACCATAGTTCATGTTTGTGGTACACAAAGATTACGCTGATCATGAGGAGCTGGAACCTGCAGAGAACAGATCTGATTTATTTAGACAGCTTCCCTCTCCTCTCTTAGTCTAATTTTGTATTTGTTCCTGAGGGATCCTGGCCCGTAGTTTTATTTCTTTGGAATGTCCTTGGGCTTGGTGTTTGTTTAACCTCATTGACTGAGTTGGGAAAATGTCTCCATCTTTATAATCGCCTGACAGTTTGTGTAGAGTTGGTATTATTTTTCCTCTATTTTTTAAAATTTTACCAGTTTTGGTTTTATGAGCTTTGAGAATCTTGCTACTAGATACTCATATTTAATTATGATAATGGTCTCCTGGTGAGTTTATGTGGGGGATGAGGTGTCACTTTGTAGGCCCAACCCCCTCTAACCTGTAATTTACAATAGCCGCCCTGGTATGCGAGAAGGAGGTAGAATAGGAATGCCTGTTTTTAGTGAGACCCCTCACCCTCTGGAATCCATACTGTGAGCTGGCTTTGTTTTGCAGAAGTCTTGAGGAAGTGGCTGGCCACCCTTTGTGACACTAACAGCAGACAAATTAACAACATTCTTGAGCTAATGAATTTCTTCCTGGGCTAGAGAAGTTATGAGAACTGGTTGTGATTATTTACTTCACTTAGATAGCTTTAGAATAAACATTGTAGTCTGTCACATTGTAGCTTGCCACAAAGAATGCCTTTTCACTACTTAATTATCTGGGCTCTGTGAACTGATCGGGTTTACTATATATGAATCCTAAAATAAAGATTGTGCGTGCAGTGCAGTGTAACGCGGTACAGACAGTAAAGGTGTCTCTCCTGTCTTTCTTTTCCGAGCACTGTACCCCCCGTGTCCCGATCAGGCGTGTGTGCGTGTTTACCTTGCCCGGAGTTCAGAGTGCTCTAAGACACTCACGACAAGTGGCGCCCAACGTGGGGCTCCAAAGGTCGCTTAGGAAGGTAAGTATAATTTTATTACGGGAAAATGGGACAATCTGCTTCCTCTCCTTTCTTAAAAATTCTTAAACATTTATTATCTATATATGGCATATCGCTCAGGTCAGCTGACTTGGATATGTGTATTGATACAATTAAAAAATATAATCCTTGGTTTCCAGATGAAGGAACTTTGGATGTAAAAGTATGGAGAAAGGCAAGGGTTAGTATAGAAAGGGCTATGCAACAGGAGGAGAAGATTCCTTTACGTTTTTGGGCTATTTGGTCGGTTGTGTACTCTTTATTAAAAGCTATGGAAGATAAACATATTGTAGAAAATCTTCAACTAGAAATTAAGCCAGTTATTCAGGAATTGCCCCTCACAGAGGAGGAGCAGAATGTAGTTCAAAATGACGCTATCGCTTTAAGTAGTGAAAAGGCGTCCAAACTAAAAGTAAAATCCACTACAGCCGACTCAGCTTTAGCTGCCGCAGCAATATCAAATATGACAATCGCCCAATTTTACAGGCTATACAGCATTTAACACAAGAGGTGAAACAACTCTCCGTTAAGCAGAACCCGCCTGTAGTTCCCTCTGCACCTCCTCCATCTAACCCTAATTGGAGTAAAGCCAAGCTAGCTTTGGCTGATCTACCAAAATTAGGGGATTCTGACGAGGAAAAGCCTGCCTTTGCTTTCCCTGTAATCAGGCCGCAGCCAATAGATGGAGCGACAGTTCCCCCTAGATGGGAAGCATTTAATATAGATGATTTAGCAAAATTAAAAAAGGCTATAACCCTTTATGGCCCTCAGGCTCATTACACTAAAGAATTAATAACGTCGGTAGCAGATCAGTATGGTAATCTTGCTCCTTATGATTGGAAGGCCTTGGCCAAAATTCTTTTAAAAGAGCCAGAATATTTTTTTTTTTATTTAAGAGGAAAAAGAGAAAAACACAAAACAAAACAAAGCAGTGTAAGGTTACACATAATACATAACTACAAAAAAAAAACATAACAGTAAGAAATCACCTGTTAATAGATTACATAATATCATCTTGGAAATAGTTGCTCAAATCACAGTATCAAAGAATACAAAGTAGACATTCAAACGGAGAGTCTGCAAACAGCTGTGTTCAATGATCCAAAAACATTAATATAGTCAGCTATTTAACATCCCTAAACACACTTGTTGTTATATCCGTTAGAGCTCTT